GCAGCAACATATGCTAAGAAATGGGCTTATGATGAGTTTAAAGAAGAATGATATAAGAAAACAAGAGAGGAAATGAGATATAAGAAGTCTAATTTACCTAAGAGTAGAAACTTGAGATTGATGTGGTTAAAGGAGATTTTACAAAATGCCTTTCACTCAATTGGGATCTTTTCATTGAAAAAGCACAGAGGGATCAGGGCAATTTGGTGACCTTTTTGGTGACTTGACAAGGGAATTCCATGGTATGTGAACTTGAATGAAAATGGGATGTAATGGGATAAATGTGATCCACATTTCACAAATGAAAACCTGAGTGCCAAGAAAGGAAAATCATAGCAAAAATTTCCTTTGACCTCTGAAATCATATATCCCAAGGTTTGAAATCACCAGTCATAGAAAGGAGGTACCTACACAACAGAATAAGATTCAATGCTTACCTCATCCTGCCAGGAGGGGAAAAGGCCTTTGCAATTCCAACACGCAACAAAATAGGAATAAAAATATGTCAAGGATGGAATTGTTTCCTGACTGCTAAGTATAGCAATAACTGGTAGAGGAATTGGTTTTCAAACACAGACAGGTTATGCCCTCTATACCAATGATGTTAGTTTTGAATTCTTTTATACCTGGATGTAAGATCATAATGAGAATGTCTTCAGAGAAATGACCTCAGGTGTTCTTTTTGATATTTATGTCATTATTAAGATAATTCTGGAAAGGCAAAAGTTCTTTGGCATGTATAATCATGAGTTTTATTCCTTGGGTTGGTGTAGAATCCTTACACAAAAAGGTGCTTTAGATGCCCTTCCAAAAATAGATATTTTCCAGAATATTTAACAGTGGCACTTGCAAATGAGATGGTAAACTTCTTTTCTCTGAAAGAAAGGCATTTTCTATAAGAACTTAAGGAGTGTACTGCAACCTTGAATTTAATTGATGGTTTCTGTGTGAGAACTGTGTACTTTAACAGTATGCTAGGACAAGTTTCTTTATTCAGTTTCCTTTTCTTTAAACATTTTTAGGTACAGGTATCCATTCAACACATGTCAACACTCCTAAAGACTTCCTTTTATAGTATCTCAGTGAAACCTAAAAAAATGTTTGATCTTCAGTGATTCTGAATATAGGGTTTGCATTTTATAGGTGTTACACTTGAGAAACTGAGTGTGTCTGCTTCTATCTATAAGGTCTGTTTGCAACTACCTAGCACTCTGTTTGCCATGGGAGTGTTCTGCAGATGCATGGATCTAAGTGTAGTGCTTTGTACATGTCAGAGTTGTATCTATTTTCAAACTATATTATGTGTGAGTGCTGTTTTCTTCATTAAATACACATGTTGTAAAATACCTGAAGTGCAAACATCCCATATTGGGTGTCAAAAACTTACTACTGTTGTGACATGGACCTCATCATGTCAGGTTCTGATGAAATTGCCATGCCCAGTGTCTGATCACGCCATTCTCTCTAGCAGAATAATTAGGGTCAATTGCCAATCAATGGAAATAAGGAAATGAAAACTTTTAGTGGTGGCTACCTGTCTCGTGCCCCAAGGTATATTTAATCCTTTAGTTGATTCAACCTTGCCTTCTGTGCCTTCACTCCTAGAATTAGATATGTAATATTGGGAAAACATGATACAGGGCTACTGAAATTATTTCAGGTTCTGATCTTTGCCATGTTCCTGACAAGGTCCAAGACTGTCATCTGCTGTTTATTACATAGCACTAACTCATTAGCATCTGAAAATTACTTCAAATCACCAAAGCAGGATGTTTAACCTCAAGGTTCTTAATTTCCCATGGACCTCCTGTTTAGGATTCTTGTTCAAGTCCTCTGGTCATTAATAATAATAAAAGCCAGGGAATCCTTTATATATATATATATATACCATGCCCCTGATGTGTGATGAGTTGGTCTCCAGATGATATTGAGTCTGTGTATCTGTGGCCACAATGGATGTGCATCGCATGACGCACCCTCTTGCATTGCCTAATATTTTTGATTTGTGGGTGACAGGAAAAATTCCTTAAACCCAAGGGACAGAAAGGCATCTGATTTGGTCATGCTGCCAGTGTCCATTACAGCATTAGGTCACTGGGAGTCTCCTAATATCTTCGGATTCCACAGAAAAGTAACATTGTGATCCCCCTGGAATCGAGCGCATTCAGAGTGGTCATTCCTGTGGCCAATCTTTGCAAACATAGAGCATGTCACCATCCTGACACAGTGAGACCCAGAGTTCTTGCCCTTGCTGGAACAATCAGGAAAGGAGTCAGATAGACACACCAATGCAGTAAAGTCATGATCACATTGTGCAATCACTGATCTGTGCATTGCAGAATGCCTAAACTTCTTGACCTGAACCTTGTGCTGTCCTCCCCCGTGCAGTTGGTGCTCAATTTCTCATGTCTAAGGATTTTGAAATTCTCCAAGATAGGCAGATTGAATTTCTATCCTGGAATCTGAGGCTTAGGTACCAGTTTATTCCAATAGGAAGGCAGCATATGAATGCTGTACTGCGAATGTTATTAGATGACTCAGAAGGTCAGCTGTATCAGTAGGTGAAGGCACAGGACCCAGAGAGAGCCTGGCCCTTTGGCTTTTATTTCCACTTCTCTGACAGTCTCATTCCTGTGGCAACAAGTTGACAACAAGGATCACTGAAAGTCAGCAGATAAGATGGGACATGTGCTGCTTGCTTGTTTCCGGCAACCTAGACATGTGTAGAGTGTTACAGTAACTGGCTTCTGAAACAAAGCTCAGTGCTCTGCTGAGGAAGTACACCCAGACCTCACAGGATTCCCCAGACCAGGAAACACTGTTAAGGTAATGAGGGCCTGTGTACTGGACTATGAGAAATGTCAGAGAAGACTAGGCCCCTATTTCTTCCCTATCCTTTAGAATGATTTTTATGTCATCACCTCTCTGTGTGACATTGGTTTTTCATCATAGACCCATGTTCTCAGAATGCATAGATATACCTGATATTGGTACATAAAAAGTGCAACTTAACTCATGGCCAAGATAGTTTAGAGGGCAAGAATTTGGGAAATTCAGACAAATTGTCAGTTTGCATTAGTCTCCTGCAAGGAGTAAAACAAGCTGGGTGTCAAAGTCTACTCTTCTGACATGGACCCCATCATAAAAAATATGATATTCTCCATATGTTGCCATGATAGTAAGATATTGGTGCTTTCTGGTCAGTCTGAGGACATGGATTGATATGGTGTCTGGATGGTACATCACTATAACCCTCCAAATGTGTTTAGTTAATTGAACAGAAAAGCAATAATTCTAACACAGAATAACTTATCTTCCATTGCTGGTTATTGGGGCCAGGATGAAGATACTGCAGCCTCTGAAATTCTCGGTAATGGTGGCAGAGAATACTGCAATCCTTTTCGCCTTTCCCCAATATAGGAATGTCACAATGCTGTGCCCCGGTAATGCTCAGTGATGAAATCACTGATTACCCATCTTTGAATTCAGTCTTTCAAACCCTCATAGAATCAAGAAAATAAAAACAAGGGTGACTGTACATACTTGTATAGTGTAACAGAAAGTGAGTCATCACATGATACTACATAATAGTCACATTAAAAATTGTTTCCCCTCAAAATATGGGAGATAAAACAGTTTGCATTGTTTTCTGTCATCCTGCAAAAGGGAACAGTGGTAGCCATATTCGGGAAACATAACTGTTGTTAAGAGAACATCTGACCTGGACCTCAGATTGTCATTTTTATGAGTTGCTCACCATCCTCAGAGACTTATTGTCATCATAGTAGTATAGACAGCCTTTCTCTTAACCCCGGTCTCTTTAGAATGATACAGGAAAGCTGAAATAGCTAAACTCTTTGACTTTGAAATGGATGGTCAGGACTCTAAAGTTTTCTTGTTGCCCATATTCTGACCAGGGGTACTGAACCACAATCAGAATGCACATATGGTCTTCTGCCTCTTAAAGAACACTTGAGATGAAAGCTTATGAATTTCAAAATTGTAGCTCTATTGATCAAAATGAGAAAATTTACAGAGCTTTTAAAGTGGATAAAATATTTAAAAAACACATCAAAACTGGCAAAGATGGTCTTCTAGTTAATTTTAAGAGACATCCAGCATTTGGATTTCATGAGAATATATTTATTATGAGATTTTTCTACATTGGTCATTCTCCTTATTCTGATCTCCCCTATGTTTACATCTTCATCTCCCTAAAATAACCACCGAGTTGTCCTGTGTCTAACAATGCAGTATGGAATTTTTATTTTGTCAAGTAACATGTGAACTATATAGAATCATGCAGTGTGTATCCAAGTGCCATCAGGTAATGGATATTTATGAAACAAGTAATGTCAACAGTAATATCAGAACTGTTTTTAATGCAGGCCTTGTGGTTTGTGTGTTTCTGTTTGGATAAAATCCCAGTATACAAAACCTCCATGTTGTAATTCTCTACTGAATTTTCAAAAGTTCAGTTGTAGTTTTCTCTAAATTGAAAAGTTTTTTTAACATTAATTCTTACTAATTTTCCTGAGGAGTAAATAGTTCCACACTGGATATTCCTTAAGCTCATTTTTCCAATCTTGGAGCATGTCACCCTACTGATACAGTGTGAACATGAGCTGTTGCCCTGGCAGTATCAATCAGTATGGGAGTTAGATATATAAACTATGGCAGTGATTTGAAGATCACATTCACGTATAAATGAGCTGGGCAAGGAAAAGGGCTTGAATGTCCTGGCCCATTCCTTGTGTCCTACCTCTCCAAACAGTCACTGCTCTCTTTATCAATATCTACTATTTGGAATTCTACAAGACAAGGCAGTCTGAATTATCATCCTCTTCTTATGGTCTAATCCTAGGTGATACCCAAAAGGAATGGAGAGCCCAAGTTCTATGCCTTAAATGTCACTGAATTCCTTGAAGGTCATGCATTCTAATGATTGAAGGCAAAGACCCAAAAGAGAACATGGTACTTATCCTGATTTTTCAACTTACCTGAAGGTGAAATGTTGGCGCACCAAATCGATAACCTTGATCACTGAAATGCAGAACAGATTTGATGGACATGGGCAGAGTGCTGATGCCTGGCATATTTGAAATATATAGATTGTCCCAACAGGTGCCTTCTGAGGCAGGCTAAGTGCTCTCCTACAGAAGACTACCTGGACATCACAGGATTTCCCAGACAGTGAAATACTGCTGGGTGAATGTGGGCCTGTGCACTGTCCTCTGAGAGTGGTGTGAGGAGACTTGGCCACCATAACTACCCTGTCCTTTATCCTGGGCCTTAGCATAATCCTATTGAGCATGATTTTTTTGTCATCACCTTTCTTCATAACATTGGTTTGTCATCACACACCCTAGTCATCAGTAGGCATATGTATACATGATAGTGGTACACAAACAGTGCTGCTTACCAGGATTAAAAAGATCATCTAGAAGGTAGGTCTCAGTGACCTTTGGAGAAATGGTCAGCTAGCACTAGGCTCCTGCAAGGAATAAAGCAGAATCAGTTCTCTTAGGCAAGGAAAATTTTGCGGTTCCAATATATCATGTCAGTATCAGAGGAATTGCCATACCCAGCTAAGGAACACTCTAAATCTCTACATATTTGGGGGTAATTGGTAATCAAAGCCGGGTATAGATATTGAATAATTTTAATGCTTGTTACCTTTTGCTACTCCTAGAATTTTTAACGCTTCATTGTTTCACTGTCATTCTCACTGGCTGCATTCATAGCATTAGCTGACAGACCATTGGGAAGTCATATTATAGGTCTGATGAAAACATTTTAGCTTCTGGCAGTCATTGTTTCTTACAAGGTTCAAGACCATTCATCTCCAGTAATTTGCACAGCTCTATGCCTTTTCTTTCTGACACAATTACATAATCACCATGTTAAGATGAGTACCCTCAAGATTCTTTATTGCCCAAGTACTGCCTACTTCGGATACCTACACCTGTACTCTTGTCCCATTCATTATCATGTATGCAACTGAAGCCTTTGCAACTTGGTATATCATTCATGTGTTTGAAATTCCATACTACTGATGTGTGATGGGTGGGTATCCACAAGATGATGAGCCTGTATATCTAGGCAATATATGCCTGGCCAGTTGCAACTTGCTGAATTGCCTCATGAGGCCTGATGCACTCATGTCAGGACAAATTCAACAATTCTAACAAAAGGAAAAGGTATCTGAGTTTGCCTAACTGATATTTACATTTAAGCACCAGAACACAGTGAGTCTCCATTTGCTTTTTGAGCCCAAGAAGAGTAACCTAGTGATCTCCCTGTAGTTGAGGGACTGCATAGTAGACATGCATGAATGCCATGTTTGGAAGTTTAGAGTATGTCACCCTCCTGACACTGGGAGAACATGAAGATTTTGCCCTGGCACTAACAATCAGCATGAGTGGTAGATAGACACCCAAAGCCAGGAATTTATAGGTAACGTTTACCTATCACTGAGCTGAGCACGGCGCAGGGCCTGCACATCTGACCCAATCCAGGTGTCCCATTTCCCGGAACAATCACAGCTATGTTTCCCCAAACCTATGATTTGGAATTCTACAATAAAAGGCTGTTTGAATTACCATCTTCTTCTCATGGGAATAGGCTTAAGTGATTCCCAAAAGGAAGGGAGAGGCCAACGTCTATGCCTTAAATGTCCGTGGATTCCTAGAAGTTTATGCTTTCTAATATTGAAGGCAGAAATCCAACAACATCTAAGGTAGTTAACCTGAATTTTCAAATTACCTGAATGTGAAATGATTGGGCCACACAATCAGTATCCTTGATCACTGTAATCCAGGAGAGAAGAGATCAAAATGCACAGAGTGCTGATGCCTGGCAGAATTGACATACATAGATTGTCCCAACAATTCCTTCTGAGGCAAGCTCAGTGCTCTCCTAAAGAAGAGCACATGGACCTCACACGATTCCCCAGACATGAAAACACTGCTGGGTGAATGAGGGTCTGTACACTGGCTGATGAGAATGGTCTGAGTAGACTAGGCCCTCATTTCTCCCCAGTCTTATAGCCTCGGCCTCATCATAATCCTATTGAGAATGATTTTTATGTCATCATCACTCTGCATGGCATTGGTTTGTCATCATAGACTCGTTTCCTCAGAAGGCATAGATATATCTGATATTGTGTCACAAAAAGTGCTGCTTACCACGATGACAAAGACCATTTAGAAGGATGGTCTCTGCAATCTTCAGTCAAATCGTTAGCCAGCATTATGCTGCTGCAAGGCAGGAAGCAGAAACAGTTCTCTTAGGCAAGGAAAATTTTGTGCCACCAAAATAACAGGTCAGTGTCAGAGTAATGAAATGCCCAATTTCAGAACACCCAAACTCTCTAGCAAGATAGTTTTGGGCAATTTGTAATCAAACTGTGAAAGAGATAATGAAAATTATAATGGTGGTTACCTGTTTGCTACCCCAAGTAAAGTTTTACACTTCAAATATGTCACCCTCATGCTCACTGCTGGCATTCATAACATCAGCTGACAGACCATTGGGAAGGCATATTATAGGTCTAATGAAAATATTTTAGCTTCTGATCAGACACTGTGTCTTACAAATTCTATGAACATTCATCTCCAGTTCTTTGCACAGCTCTATCCATTTTTTCTGAAATCATTGCCTAATCAACATTGCAAAATTTGTACCCTCAAGGTTTTTTTTGCACAAGCATCACCTACTTAGGATACCTTCACCTGTACTCTTGGCCCATTCCTTATCGCATATGCATCTGAAGCCTTTGCTGCTTGGAATGTCATTCATGTGGTTGAAATTCCATGAAACTCATGTGTGAAGATTTGTTCTCTACATGATAATGAGCCTGTGCATCTAGGCAAAGAGGGGAATGCCTGGATAATTGCACCCTGTCAAATTGCCTCATGTGGCTTGATGCATGAATGTCAGGACAAGTTCACTAATTCTAACAAAAGGAAAAGATATCTGAGTTTGCCTGACTGATACGTACATTTGAGCATTAGAAAACTGTGAGTCTCCATTTGCTTTATGAGTCTAACAAAAGTAACCCAGTGTACTCCCTGCCATTGAGAGCCTGCATAGTGGAAATTCCTGAGCAACATGTTTGCAATTTTGGAGCATATCTATATCCTGACAAAGTAAAAAAAAATGAAATTTTTACTCAAGAAGTAACAATAACCATGAGAGCTAGATAGACACCCCAAGCCAGAAATTTCAAGGTAACATTTACCTAACACTGAGCTGTGCTAGGCAATGTGCCTGTACATCCCAAACCAATTCTTGTGACCCATTTACCTGAACAGTCACTGCTCTACTTCCAAATACCTATGATTTGGAATTATATAAGAAAAGTTAGTTTGAAATGCCATACTTTCACATGTGAATTGGCCTAGGGGATACAAAAAAGGAAGGGAGAGCACATGTTCTGTGCTTCAAGTGTCACTAATATCCTAGAAGATCATGCCATTATATATTTGTAGGCAGATATAAAAAAGAGACCTAGGCACTCAACCTGATCTTTCACTTACCTGAAGGTGAAATTACTGGTGCACCAACTCTGCATCCTGGATCACTGAAATACAGAATAGAAGAGATGGACATTAGCAGAGTTCTGATGCCAGCCAACATTGAGATACATAGAGGACCCAAAAAATGCGTCCTTTGGCAGGACTCATGTTCCCTGAAACAAGAGCACCTGGACGACACAGGGTGCTCTAGACAAGGAAACACTGCTGGGTGAATGAGGGCCTGTGCACTGGCCTGTGAGAACGGCCTGAGGAGACTAGGCTACAATTACTCCCCTGTCCTTTAGCCTGGGTCTCAGCAGAACCCTAGTGAACATGATTTTTATGTCATCCCCTCTCTTCATTACATTGGTTTGTCATAATATACCCATGTCCTCAGAAGGCATAGCTATACCTGTTAGTGTGACACAACCAGTGCTGCTTACCAGGATGAAAAAGACCCACCTATCTAGAAGGTAGGCCTTGGAGAGCTTGACACAAATGGTCAGCGGGAATTAGGCTCCTGCAGGGGATCAAGCGAAATCAGTTGTCTTAGTCAAGGAAAATTTTTGGTGTTCCAAAGTTGCAAGTCAGTGCCAGCAGAATTACAATGTCCAGGTTTTGAATGCCCAAACTATGAATTACGATGATTGAGGCATTGATAATCAGTGCTTTGGTGTAGATAATGATAAATTTCCAATGTGGTTATCTGTTTGCCACCCCTAGCCAAGGTTAAGCCATCACTGGTTTCATCCTTATTCTCACTGCCAACATTAATTGCATGAGGTGACAGACCAGTAGGAAGGCATATTATAGGCCTAGTGAAAATATTTTACCATCTGATCATGCACAGTGTCTTACAAGGTCCAAGAAATCTCATCTGCACTGCACAGAGTTATCCTATTATACTTTGACATCCCTGACTACTCACAATTGTAGCATGCATAACGTCAAGTATCTTAATTATCCAAGTACCACATACATAGGACCCCTTCACCTATTCTTTTGGCGTTCCACATCACATAAAGCATGGGGGCCTTTATAGCTTGGGATGTCATCCATGTGTTTGAAATTTCATGCCACTTATGTGTGGTGAGTGGGTATCCACATGATGCTGAGCCTGTGCATTAAGGAGAAGAAAGAAATGCCTGTCTAGTTGAACCCTGTCGATTGGCTCCATGTGGCCTGATGCCTACATGGCAGGACAAGTTCACTAATCCTAACAAAAAGAAAGGTTATCTGAATTTGCCTTACTGATATGTACATTAGTGCACTAGAACATTTTGGGTCTCTGTCTCCATTTTGACCCTCAGAAAGGTAACATAGTGATCTCTCTTCAGTCCAGGGCCTGCACAATTGACACACCTGAGCACAATCTATGCAAGATTGGATCATGAACACTTCCTGGCACAGTGAGAACACGAAGCAATTGTCAAGGCAGTAACAATCATTATGATAGGTATTTGAAGAATACATTCACATATCAACGAGCTGTGCAAGGAAAATGGAGTGAACATCCTAACACATTTCTTATGTCCCACCTCTTCCAAAATTCCCTGGTCAATTACCCAATACCTACTAGTTGGAATTATAAAAGACAAGACATCTTTAATTACCATCCTTTTATCATGGTTTTAGACAGAAGGGATTCCCTAAAGGAAGGGAGATCACAAGTTCTATGGCTTAAATTTCACTCGATACCTAGAAGTTCATGCTTTTTAAAGTTTGAAGGCAGTTATCCAAATGAGACATAGGCACGTAAGATGATTTTTTCCATGTACCTGAAGGTGAAATGATTGAGGCATCAAGTCTGCATCCACGTTCACTGAAAAGCAGAAGGGAAGAGATAGAAATGAGCAGAGTGCTGATGCCGGCCAGCCTTGACATACATAGATTTCCCCCAAAAGTGCCTTCCTTGGCAGGACTCATGCTCCCCTAAAGAAGAGCACCTGGACTTAACAGGAATCCCCAGAAGGGAACCACTCCTGGATGAATGAGGGCCTGTGCAATGGCCTATGAGAAAGGCCTGATGGACCTAGTTTCCATTTCTCCCTTGTCCTTTAGCCTGGGTCTCAGCAGCCCCAACCTCAGCATGATATTTATGTCATCACCTCTCTTCATGACGTTGGTTGTTCATCATAGACCCATGTCCTCAGAAAGCATAGCTATATATACTAGTGGGACACAAACAGTGCTGATTACCAGGATGTGAAAGTCCATCTATCTAGAAGGTTAGTCTCTGTCAGCTTGGCAAAATGGTCAGCAGGCATTAGGCTCCTGCAGGGGATCAAGTAGAATCAGTTGTCTTAGTCAAGGAAAATTTTGGGGTTTCAAAGTTGCAAGTCAGTGTCAGCAGAATTGCAATGCTCATGTTTGGAATACCCAAACTCTAGATTATGATGATTGGGTGCATTGATAATCAATGCTTTGTGGTAGATAATGATAAATTGCAAATATGGCTACCTGTTTGCCACCACTAGCCAAGTTTAACCCTTCACTGGCTTCATCCTCATCCTCACTGCCAGCATTCATTGCATAAGGTGACACATCAAAGGGAGGGCACATTATAGTCCTGGTGAAAACTCTTTACCATCTGATCATTCACTGTGTCTTACAAGGTCCAAGACATCTTATCTGCTCTGCACAGAGATATCCTTTTGCACTCTGACATCACTTACTAGTCACCATTGTAGGATGCATAACCTTAAATTACTTAATTGCACAAAACCACATGCATAGGGTCCCTTCACCTCTTCTCTTGGCCAATTCATATCACATGAAGGATGGGGCCCTTTACAGTTTGGGATGTCATTCATGTCTTTGAAATTTCATTCCACTTATGTCTGGTGAGTGGGTATCCACATGATCCTGAGCCTGTACATCTAGGCCAAGAGGCGAAAGCCTGGCCATTTGCACACTGTTAAAATGTTTCATGTGGCCTGATGCCTGAATGGCAAGACAAGCTCACTAATCCTAACAAATAAAACTTATCTGAGTGTGCCTTACTGATGTCTGCATTAGTCCACTAGAACAATGTGAGTTTCTGTCTCCTTTTGGGCCCTCAGAAAGGTAAACTAGTGATCTTCCTGCAGTTCTGTGCCTGCACACTGGACACTCCTGAGCACCATCTATGCAAGATTGGAGCATGAAAACTTCCTGATACAGAGAGAACTTGAAGCTCTTGCCAAGTCAATAACAATCATTAAGAAAGATATTTGAAAAATACATTCACTCCACCCTGAACTCTTGGGGAAGGGTCTAGGCCCTGCCCTATATGAAATGACAGACTATGGATACCCCCATGGAGGGCCTCACCCTCCCTGGGGGAATGAGGGGATAACGTGGGGGGGTTGGGGAGAGGGCACAGGAGGAGGGGAGGGAATGGGAGAGGGACCTGGAACTGACTTGTGAAGCAACCTTGTTTCTTATCTAAATTTAAACTGGAAAATAAAATGAGGTTTCATCCTCATCCACTCTGCCATCATTAACTGCATGAGGTGACAGACCTGTGGGAAGGCATATTATAGGCCTATTGAAAATATTTTACCATCTAATCATGCACTGTGTTTTACAAGGTCCAAAAAATCTCACCTGCTCTGTACAGAGCTATCCTATTTCCCTTTGACATCCCTGACTACTCAACATTTTAGTATGCAAAACCTCAAGTTTCTTAATTGCCCAAGCAACACCTACATAGGATCCCGTCACCTGTTCTCTTGGTCAATTCCTTATCACATGTAGGATGGGGTCCTTTATAGCTTGGGATGTCATTCATATGTTTGAAATTTCATGTCACTTATGTGTGGTGAGTGCATATCCACGTGATGCTGAGCCTGGGCATCTAGGAGAAGAAAGGAATTCCTGTCCAGTTGCACCCTGTTCAATTGCTCCATGTGGCCTGATTCCTGCAAGGCAGGACAAGTTCACTAATCCTAACAAAAAGAAAAGGTTTCTGAGTTTGCCTTACTGATATGTACATTAGTTCACTAGAACATTGTGAGTCTCTGTCTCCCTTTTGGCCCTCAGGAAGATAAACTTGTGATCAAGCTGCAGTCCAGGGCCCGCACAATGAAGACACCTGAGTACCATCTATGCAAGATCAGAGCATGAAAACTTCCTGGTACAGTGAGAACTGAAGCACTTGCCAAGGCAGTAACAATCAGTATGGAAGGTATTTGAAGAACACATTCACCTATCAATGACCTCTGCAAGGAAAATCGTCTGAACTTCCTGTCGCATTTCTTGTGTCCCACCTCCTCGAAAAGACACTGCTCAGTTACCCAATACCTACTAATTGGAAATCTAAAAGACAAGGCATCTTAAATTACCATCCTTTTATCATGGTCTTAGTCAGAAGGGATTCCCAAAAGGAAGGGAGAGCCCAAATTCTATGGCTTAAATTTCATTTGATACCTAGAAGTTCATGCTTTTTAAAGTTTGAAGGCAGTTATCCAAATGAGACATATGCACGTAAGCTGATATTTCCACGTATGAGGCACCAAGTCTGCATTCTCGTTCACTGAAAAGCAGATGAGAAGAGATAGAAATGACCAGAGTGCTGAAGCTGGCCAGCATTGACATACATAGATTTCCCCAAAAATTGCCTTCCTTGGCAGGACTCATGTTCCCCTAAAGAAGAACACCCGGACTAAACAGGATTCCCCAGAAGGCAAACACTGCTAGGTGAATGATGGCCTGTGCACTGGCCTATGAGAAAGGCCTGATGATCCTAGTCCACCATTTCTCCCCTGTCCTTTAGCCTGGGCCTCAGCGGAACCATACTAAGCATGATATTTATGTCACCGCCTCTCTTCCTGACATTGGATTGTCATCATAGACCCGTATCCGAAGAAGGCCTAGCTATACCTGCTAGTGGGACACAAACAGTGCTGATTACCAGGATGACAAAAACCATCTATCTAGAAGGTAGGTCTGAGCGATCTTTACACAAATGGTCACCGGGTATTATGCTGCTGCAGGGGATCAAGCTGAATCCGTTTTCTTAGTCAGGAAAATTTTGGGGTTCCCAAAGTTCCATGTCAGTGTCAGCAAAATTGCAATGCCCATGTTTGGAATGCATCAAACTCCGGATTATGATAATTGGGGGCATTGATTATCAGTGCCTTGGGGGAAATAATGATAAATTTCAAATGTGGTTACCTGTTTGCCACCCCTAGCCAAGTTTAACCCTCACTGGTTTCATCCTCATCCTCACTGCCACCATTTATTCCATGAGGTGACAGACCATTTGGAGGGCATATTATAGGCCTGGTGAAAACATTTTACCATCTGATCATGCACTGTGTTTTATAGGGTCCAAGACATCTCATCTGCTCTGCACAGCACTATCCCATTTCCCTCTGATATCACTGACCATTAACCATTTTAGGATGAGTAAGCACAATTTTTTTAATTGCCCAAGCACCACATGCATAGGATACCTTCACATGTTCCTTTGGCTAATTCCTTTTCACATGAAGAATGGAGGCCTTTATAAATTTGGATGCCATTCATGTGTTTGAAATTTCATGCCACTTATGTATGGTGAGTGGGTCTCCACATTGTGATTAGCCTGTGCATTTAAGCAATAGTGGTATGCCTGGCTAGATGTACACTGTTGAATTGCCTCATGTTGCCTAATGCCTGCATAGCAAGAAAAGTTCACCAATCCTAACAAAATGAAAAGGAATCTTATTTTGCCTTGCTCATATGTAAATTAGGCCAAAGAACACTCTGAGTCTCTGTCTCTCTTTTCAGCCCCAGCCAAGTAACCTAGTGATCTCCCTGCAGTCGAGGGCCTGCACACTACTCACTCCTGATTGCCATCTATGCAAGTTTGGAGCATGAAACCTTCCTGACACAGTGAGAACATGAAGCACTTGCCAAGGCAGTAGCAATCAGTATGGAAGGTATTTGAAGAATATATTCACCTATCAATGAGCTGTGCAAGGAATATGGCCTGAACTTCCTGAACCATTCCTTGTGAACTAGCTCTTCAAACAGCCACTGCACAATTACACAATACCTACCACTTGGAATTCTAATGATAAGGCCGCTTGAATTACCATTCTTTTATCATGGTCTTAGGCCTAGGGGATTCCCAAATGCAAGGTAGAACCCAAGTTCTATGGCTTAAATGTCACTGGCTTCATAGAAGGTCATGTTTTCTAATGTTTGAAGGCAGATATCCAAAACAGACCTAGGCACTTAACATGAACTTTCTACTTACCTGAAGGAAAAATGATTGGGGCCAAGTATGCATCTTGGATCACTGTAATTCATAAGAGAAAGATGGACATGAGCAAAATGCTGAGACTGGCCAGCATTGACATACATGGATTGCCCAAATTATTGCCTTCTGACGCAGGACTCATGCTTTCCAAAAGAAGAGCACCTAGATCTCACAGGATTCCCCAGACAGGGAACCACTCCTGGGAAAATGAGGGCCTGTGTTATGGCTTATGAGAATGGCCTGAGTAGATTAGGTCCCCATTTCTCACCTGTCCTTTAGCCTGGGCCTCAGTGTAATCCTATTGATCATGATTTTGATGTCATCACCTCTCTTCATGACATTGGTTTGCCATCACAGACCCATGTCCTTAGAAGGCATATCTATACCCAATAATGGGACACAAACCATGCTGCTTGCCAGGATGCCAAAAAAAACCTAGAAGGAAATCTCAGCAAGCTTCAGACCAATGGTCAGCTTGCATTAGGCTCCTGAAGGTGATCAAGCAGAATCAGTTCTCTTTGTCAAGAAAATTTAGCATCACCAAAATGTCATGTCAGTGTCAGAGGAATTGAAATGCCCAGCTTTGGAAATCCAAACACTCTACACAATGGTTGGGGACAAATGTTATTCCTAGTCGTGGAAGAGATAATGAAAAATTTTAATACTTGTTGCTTGTTTGCTACTGGTAGACAAGTATATTCCTTCCAATGTTTCACCCTCATCATCACAGCATGATTTCATAGCATTAGCTGACAGAGAATTTGGAAGATATATTATTGGTCTGCTGAAAACATTTTACTTTCTGATCAGGCAATGTATCTTACAAATTCCAACACAATTCATGACCAGTTCTTTGCAAAGCTCTATCCTATTTTACTCTGATATCAGCGAGAAATCACCATTGTCAGATGCATACCCTCAAGGTTCTTTATTGGCCAATCACTGCCTGCTAGGAACCTATACCTGTACTCTTGGCCCATTTCTTATAACATATGCAATGAAGCCTTTGCAACTTGGGATGTCATTCATGTGGTTGAAATTCCATGCCAGTAATGTGTGGTGAGTGTGTCTCTACCTGTTGATGAGCATGTACATCTAGGCAAAGTGGGGCATACATGGCCAGATGATACCTTTTGAATTGACTTAAATAGGCTATAGCCTGTATGGCAGGACAATTTCACTAATCCTCAGAAGTGAAAAGGTATCAGTGTTTGTCTAACAGATATGTACATTTGTGCACTAGATTACTGTGCATGTCTGTATGCCTCATGAGCCCCAGAAAAGTAACATAGTGTTCTCCTGCTGTTTAGGGCATGCATAGTGGACATTTTTGGGCACTGTCTATACAAGTTTGGAGCATGTCACCCACATGACCCAGTGAAAACATGAAGCATTTGACCCTGTTGTAACAATCAGTATGGGAAGTAGATAGATACCTCATGACAGGGATTTGAAGATCACATTCAACTATCAATGAGCTATGCAGGGAAAAGTTCCTTAAGGTCCTGACCCAATCGTTTTGTACCACCCCGAAAACAGTCACTGCTCTGTTACCCAGTATCTACTGCTTGGAATTCTACAAGACAAGGCAATTTGAATTACAAACCTTTTTCATGGTTAGGTCTAGGGGATTTCCAAAAGCAAGAGAGAGCACAACTAGTATCCCTTAAAGGTCACTGCATTCCTATAAGGTCATGCTTTCTAATGTTTGAAGGCAAGTATCCAAAAGAGACCTAGCTATTACCATGAACTTTCCACTTACCTGAAAGTGAAATTACTTGTTTAGAAGACTGCATCCTGGATCACTGAAATGTAGAAAAGTAGTGATGAAAATGAGCAGAGTGCTGATGCCGGCCAGCAATGATGTACATAGATTGCCCCAACTAGTGTCTTCTGAGGAAGGACTCATGCTCTCCTAAAGAGGAGCACCTGGAGCTCACAGGATTGCTCAGACATGGAACCACTCCTGGGTGAATGACTGCCTGTGCACTGGCCTATGAGAATGGCCTAAGTAGACCAGGCCCCCACTTCTCCCCCGTACTTTTGCCTGGGCCTCAGTGTAATCCTACTGAGCATGATTTTTATGTCATTTCCTCTCTTCATGACATAGTTTTGTCATCATAGACCCAGGTCCTCAGAAGGCATAGGTATACCTGATAGTGGGTCACAAAAAGTGTTGCTCTCCAGGATGTCAAAGACCATCTAGAATGTAAGTCTCAGCTAGCTTCAGAAAATGGTCAGCCTGCATTAGGCTCCTGCAAGGATCAAGCAGAATCAGTTCTCTTAGTCCTGGAAAATTTAGCATCACCAAAATGTCATGTCAGTGTAAGAGAAATTGAAATGCCCAGCTTTGGAACACCTAAACTCTCTACACGATAGTTGGAGGTAATTGTTAATCAAAGTCGTGGAAGTGATAATGAAAAATTTTAATGCTTGTTACATGTTTGGTACCTGTAGACAAGTTTAACCCTTCAAAAATTTCACCCTCATCCTCACTGTCTGCATTCATAGCATTAGATGACATAACATTGGGTAGGCATATTATTGGTCTGCTGAAAACATTTTTGCTTCCGATCAGGCACTGTGTCTTACAAGGTACAAGACCATTCATCTCCAGTTCTTTGCACAGCTCTATCCCAATTTCACTCTGACATCACTGCCCATGCACCATTGTAAGATACGTATACTCGAGGTTCTTTATAACCCATTCACTGTGTGCTTGGCCCATTTCTTATCACATATGTAAAGAAAGCCATTGCAGCTTGGGATGTCATTCATATGTTTGAAATACTGTGCTACTGCTGTGTGGTGAGTTTGTCTCTACATATTGATGATCCTGTTCATGTAGGCAAAGAGAATAATTCCTGGCCTGATGCACTCTGTCGAATTGCCTCAATTAGGCTGCAACCTGCATGGCAGGACAAGTTAACTAATCCTCAGGAAAGTAAAAGTTGTATAACTGACATGTACATTTGTGCACTAGATTACTGTTGGTGTCTTACTGCCTCATGAAATCCAGAAAAGTAACATAGTGATCTTCCTGCTGTTTAGGGCTTGCATAGTGGACATTCCTGAGCACTGTCTATACAAGTTTGGAGCATGTCTCCCTCCTGACCCAGGGAGAATATGAAGCTCTTGCCATGGCACTGACAATCAGTATGGTAGGTAGATAGATACTCCATAGCAAGAACCTGATGATCACATTTAACTATCAATGATCTATGCAAGGAAAAATCCTTAACTTCCCGACATAACCCTTGTGTCCCACCTCCATGAACAGTTACTGCTCTGTTTCGCAGTACCCACTACTTGGAATTCTACAAGATAAGGCAGTTTGAATTACCACCCTTTTTTCATGGTTTTATCTTATTGTATTCCCAAAATTAAGGGAGAGCCCAAGATGTATGACTTACATGTCACTGCATTCCTAGAAGTTCATGCTTTCTAATGTTTGAAGGTAGATATCCAAAATAGACCTAGGCACTTAACATGAACTTTCCACTTACCTGAAGGTGAAATGAGTAGGTTAGAAGACTGATTCCTGGATCACTGAAATGCAGAACAGAAGAGATGGAATGAGCAGAGTGCTGAGGCCAGCCAGCATTGACATACATAGATTGCCCTAACTGGTGACTTCTGAGGCAGGACTCAATCTCTCCTAAGTAAGAGCAACTGGATCTCACAGGAATCCTAAAGAAGAGCAGCTGGACTTCACAGGATGCCCCAGAGAGGGAACCACTCCTTGATGAATTAGGGCCTCTGCACTGGCTTATGAACATGTCCCAAGAAGAATAGGCCCCCATTTCTCCTCTGTCCTTTAGCCAGGGCCTGAGCGTAATCCTATTGAGCATGATTTGTATATCATCATTTCTTTTCATGACATTGATTTGTCATTATAGACCCGTGTCCTCAGAAGGCATAGCTATACTTGATAGTGGTTCACAAACAGTGCTGATTACCAGGATTACAAACACCATCTAGAAGGTAAGTCTCAGCGAGCATCAGACAAATGGTCAACCGGCATTATGCTCCTGCAAGGGATCAAGCAGATTCAGTTCAAATAGTCAAGGAAAATTTAGTGTCCCTAAAATGTCATGTTAGTATCAGAGGAAATGAAATGCCCAGCTCCCTAACACCCAAACTCTCTACACGATAGTTGGAGGCAATTGTTAATCAAATTTGTGGAAGAGATAATGAAATGTTTTAATGCTTGTTAACTTTTTGCTACTCATAGACATGTTTAAATTTTCAAATGATTAACCAACATCCTCACCACCTGCATTCATATCATTAGCTGTCAGAACATTGTGTAGGCACACTTTAGGTCTGCTGAAAAAAGTTTAGCTTCTGATCTGGCACTGTGTCTTACAAGGTCCAAGACCATTTATATCCAGTTATTTGCACAACTCTATCCCATTTCCCTCTGACATTACCAAATCACCATTGTAAGATGCATAACTTTAAGCTTCTTTATAGCCCATTCACTGTGTGATTAGGATACCTAAACCTATACTCTTCACCCATTTCTTATCACACATGCAATGTAAGCATTTGCAGCTTGGAGTGTCATTTATGTGGTTGAAGTCTCATGCCACTGATGTGTTAGGAGTGGGTCTACACAAGATGATCAGCCTGTGCATCTAGGCAAGTAGTGGAATACCTGGCCAGATGCATCCTGTCAAATTGCCTCATGTGGCCTGATGCTTGAATGGCAGGACAAGTTCACTAATCCTAATGAAAGAAAAGATATCTGAGTTTGCCTAACTGATATGTAATTTATGCATTAGAATACTGTGAGTCTACGTCTGCCTTATTTGCCGCAGAGAAGTAACCAAATTTTCTCCTTGCAGATAAGTGCCACTTACATGAATGTCTCATGATTGGGGCACCATGATGGCATCTGGCACCACTGAAATGCAGAAGAGAAGAGATGTACATGACCAGAGTGCTGATGCCTGGTTTCCTTGACACATGAAGAGTGCCACAATTTCCTTCTGATGGAGGCTCAGTGCTCCTCTAAAGAAGAGCAACTCTACCTCACAGGATTCCCAAGAGAGGGAAATACTCCTGGGTCAATGAGGCCCTGTGCAATAGCCTATGAGAATGGCCTGAGGAGACTAGGTCCCCATTTTTCACCTTTGCTTTTGTTTGGGCCTCCGCATAATCTTATTGAGCATCGTTTTTATGTAATCATCTCTCTTCATGACATTGGTTTGTCATCATAAACCTGGGTCCTCAGAAGAAATAGCTATACTTGATAGTGGGTCACAAACATTTCTGCTTACCAGGATGACAAAGACCATGTAGAAGGTAGATCTCTGCGAGCTTCGGACAAATGAGCAGCTGGCATTTGGATCCTGCATGGTATCAAGAGTAATCAGTTCTCTTACCCAAGGAAACATTTTTGGGTACCAAAATATCATGTCTGTGTCATTGGAATTATAATGCCCATCTTCAGAATTCCCAATCACTCAAGCATGATAATTGGGTCAATTGCTATTCAAAGCTATAGAAGACATAATGAAAAATTTTCATGGTGGTTACCTGCTTGCCACACCTAGCCACATTTAACTCTTCAGTTTTTTTCAACCTCATCCTCACTTCCTGCATTCACAGCATTAGCTGACAGTCTATTGTGAAGGCATATTATAGGTCTGTTGAAAGCATTTTATCATCTGATTATGCACTGTGTCATAAAAGTTCCAACCTGTCATTTTTTGTTCTTTGATGAGTGCTATCCCATTTCCCTATCACCATAGTAAGATGGGTACATTCAAAGTTCTTAATTGTCCAAGAACTTCCTGTTTAGGATGCCTACACATGTTCTCTGAGGTCTTTTCAATGAAGAAGCACAGAATGATCAACAATATTTGGTGACTACATCAGTGACTTCACAATGGAATCCCACTCTATGTGATCTAGAATGCTATTGTAATGAAATAGGATAAATAGATCCAGGATTGCCTAAACAACCCTATAAAATAAAGGAACATCTGTAACTTCAAGCTCTATTACAGAGCTATAGTCTTGAAAACTGATTTGTATTGGCACAAAAATGTACAGGTGGACCAATGGAATTGAATTGAACACCCTGAGATGAATTCACAAACCTCTGAACACTTGATTTTGACAAAGAAGCTAAAATTATACAATGGAAAAAGAAAGCATCCTCAACAAACAGTACTGGTATAACTGGATATAGGCATGCAGAAGACTGTAGATAGATCTATGTCTATTGCCTTGCACAAAACTCAACATAAATACAACCACAATGAAACTCTTAGAAGAGAAATTGGGAGACATCTTCAGGTAATTGGTACAGGAGACAGCTTCCTGAATATAACACCAGTAGCAAAGACTCTGATATTAACAATTAAGAAATGGGGCTTCCTGAAACTAAGAAGTTTCTGTAAGGCAAAGGACACAGTCTGCAAGACAAAAAGACAGACCACCAAATGGGAAAAGATATTCACTATACCCACATCATACAGAAGGCTGATCTACAATATTTTAAAAAAAAACAGAATACGCAATTCCCCAAAACACCAAAGAATGCAATTTAAAACTGGGGTACAGAACTAAATAGAGAATTCTCAATAGTAGAATCTAGAATGGCTGAGAGACACTTGAGAAAGTGCTCAACATCCTCAGCCAATAGATAAATGCAAATCAAAGCAGCTCTGAGAAATCATCTTACTCATGTCAGAATAGTTAAAAACAAAAACAATGATGGCAGTTTATGCAGGAGAGGATGCAAAGAGAAGAGAACAATCTGTCACTGCTGGAGGGAGGGCCAACCCATACACCCACTTTGTAAATCAGTATGGAGATTCCTCAGGAAAATGGGAATCAATCTGCCACAACACCCAGGGATTCCACTCTTAGGCATATATTCAAAAGGTTCAAATTTTTACAACAAGGACATCTGTTCCACTATGATCATAACAGCAGTATTTGTAATTGTCAGAATCTGGAAACAAAGTATATGCTCCTCAATTGAATAATGGTTACAGAATATATGGTATGTTTACACAAATGGTCAGCTGGCATTAGGCTCCTGCAAGGGATCAAGTGGAATCAGTTCTCTTATTGACGGAAAAATTTGCATCACCAAATGTCATGTCAGTGTCACAGGAATTGCAATGCCAGTTTTTGTACATCCATATCTTCAAGCATAATAATTGGGGGCATTTGGTAATCAAATCCTTGAAAGAGATAATGAAAATTTTTAATAGTGGTTACCTATTTGCCACCCCTAGACAAGTTTAACCCTTCACTTGTTTCACCCTCATCCACACTGCCTGCATTCATAGCATCAGCTCACTGACCATTGGCAAGCCATATTATAGGTCTGGTGAAAATATTTTACCTTTGATTCCGTCATGTGTCTTACAAAGTCCAAGACCGTTCATCTCCAGTTTTTCCACAGCTCTGTATCATTTCCCTCTGACATCACTGCTTAATCACCATTTTAAGATGTGTAACCTCAAGGTTCTTTAATTCATAAGCCCTGCCTGCTTAGGATGCCTACACCTGTACACTTGGCCCATTTTTATCACATATGCAATGGAAGCCTTTGCAGCTTGGGATGTCATTCTTGTGGTTGAAATTCCATTCCGCTGATGTGTGGTGACTGGATCTCCACATGATGATGAGCCTGTGCATCTAGGCAAAGTGTGAAATGCCTGGACAGTTGCACCCTGTCGAATTGCCTTATGTGGGCTAATGCCTACATGACAGGTCAAGTTCACTAATCCTAACAAAAGGAAAAGTTATGAGAGTTTGCCTAATTAAAATGCACATTGTGTATCTGTTTGCTTTAAGAGCCTGAGAAAAGCAACCCAGTGTTCTCCCTGCCATTATGGTTCTGCATAGTGGAAATTCATGAGTGCCATCTTTGCAATTTTGGGGCATATCACCTCCGGACACAGCGAGAACCTGAAGATTTTTTTCCCGGCATTAACAATCAGAATTGGAGATACATAAGATACCTCAACCAGGAATTTCAAGATAACATTTCCCTATCACTGAACTGTGCAATGCACAGGGCCTCTACATCCTGACCCAGTCATGGTGTACCATTTCCCTGAACAGTCACTGCTCTGTTTCTCTATACCTACTGTTTGAAATTCTACAATTCAATCCTTAGCCAGGCAGTGGTAGTGCACACCTTTAATTCCAGCACTCAGAAGGCAGAGGCAGGCGACCTCTGTGACTTCGAGGCCAGGCTGGACTGACAGCCTTCAAGACAATACAGAGAAAGCCTGACTCATGGAACCAAAAAAAAGAAATACCATCCTTTTCTCAGGGTATAAGCCTAGGGTATTCCCAAAATGAAGGAAGAGCACATGTTCTGTGCTGCAAATGTCACTGGATTCCTAGAAGGTCATGCTTTGTAATATTTGAAGGCAGATATCCAAAAGAGACCTAGGCACTTAACCTGATCTTTCCACTTTCCTGAAGGTGAAATGACTAGGGCACCAAGTCTGCATCCTGGAGCAATGAAATGCAGAGGAGAATAGATGTACATGAGAAGAGTGCTGATGCCTGTCAGCATTGACATCCATAGTTTTCCCAACAAGTGCCTTCAGAGGCAGGCTCAGTGCTCTCCTAAAAAAGAGCACCTGGACCTCACAGAATTCCCCAGACAAGGAAAGAATGCTGGGTGAAAGAGGGCCTGGGCACTGGTATATGAGAATGGCCTGAGGAGACTAGGCCCCCATTTCTCCCCTGTACTTTATCCTGGCATTTACCGTAATCATATTGAACATGATTTTTATGTCATCACCTTTTATCCGTGACATTGGTCTGACATCATAGACCCGGGTTCTCAGAAGGCGTTATTGTACTTGATAGTGTGACACAAACAGTGCTGCTTACCAACATATCAAACACCATCTAGAAGGTAGGTCTCGGCGATATTTGTTCAAATGGTCGGCTGGATTTAGGCTCCTACAAGGGATCAAATACAATCAGTTCTCTTATTGAAGGGAAATTTTGCATCACCAAAATGCCATGTCTGTGTCAGAGGAATTGCAATGCCCAGTTTCTGAACATACAAACACTCGAGCATAATAATTGGAAGCATTTGGTAATCACAGCTGTGAAAGAGATAATGCAAAAGTTTAATAGTGGTTACCTATTTGTCAATCCTAGACAAGTTTAACCCTTCACTTGTTTCACCCTCATCCACACTGCCTGCATTCATAGCATTAGCTCACTGACCATAGAGAAGGCATGTTATATGTCTGGAGGAAAGTTGATAGCTGTTGATCATGTACAGTGTCATAAAAGTTCCAGTCTGTCATTTTCAGTTCTTTGCACAGCGCTATCCCATTTACCACTGAAATCACTGACTAATCAGTATAGTAAGATGGTTATGCTCAAAGTTCATAATTATGCAAGCACAGCCTGCTTAGGATTCTCTTGACATATTCATTATCACATTTGCAAAGGAAGCCTTTGAAGCATGGGATGTCATTCATGTGGTTGAAATTCCATGCCAATGATGTGTGGTGAGTGGGTCTCCACATCATTATGACTCTATGAATCTAGGCAAAGAACAGAATGCCTTGTCAGATGAACCCTGCCTAATTGCCTCATTTGGCCTTATGCCTGCAAGGCAGGGCAAGTTCTCTAAAGTTAACGAAAGGAAAAGTTATCTGAGTTTGCCTAACTGATATGTTCCTTAGTGCACTAGAACACTGTGAGTCTCCATCTGCCTTATGAGACCCAGAGAATTAGTCAAGTGATATCCCTGCAGTTGAGGGGTTGTACGCTGGATATTCTTTTTTCTTTTTTATTATTATTTATTTTTCAGTTTAAATTTAGATTATAAACATGGTTGCTTCACAAGTCAGTTCCAGGTCCCTCTCCCTTTCCCTCCCCTCCTCCCGTGCCCTCCCCTAAACCCCCTATTACCCCCTATTACCCACTCATTTCCCCAGGGAGGGTGAGGTCCTCAATGGGGGTATCCATAATCTGTCATTTCATCCAGGGCAGGGCATAGATGCTCCCCCAAGTGTTCAGGGTGAGAGTGCATCTCACATTGTTGGATGGGAGCCCAAAGTCAATGGGATAACTAGTGATCTACTGCCCAAGGCTCAATAGATTACCTAGGATCCTCACTGACACCAACATTCAGGGGGTCTTGATCAGTCACATGCTGGATTCCCGGGCTGATGCCTGGGATTCAAGATTTAAACTTTGTCAGGTCAACTGTTTCTGGGGGTTAAACCAGCCCAGTCTTAATCCCTTTGGTCATCAGTCCTCCCTCTCTGTTACTGGTTTTCTTGAGTTCAGCTCAGTGCTTAGCCATGGGAGTGTACCTTTTCTTCCATCAGCCACTGAATGAATTTTCTGTTTCCCAGATTATCTGGCCATGGGACTGTAGGCTGGCACTCCCCAGATCTATGTCTAAAATCCATATATGAGAGAGTACATTCCATGTTTCTCTTTTTGTGACTGGGTTACCTCACTCAGGATGGTTACTTCCAGTGTCATCCATTTTCCTGCAAATCTCAGGATTCCACTGTTTTTATCTGCTGAATAGTACTCCATTGTGTAAATATACCACATTTTCTCTATCCACTCTTCTGGTAAGGGGCATCTAGGTTGCTTCCAAGTTCTGGCTATTACAAATAATGCTGCTATGAACATAGTGGAACAGACATCCTTCTCTATTTAGTTCTGCAGCACACTTTTTAATTGGGTCCTTTGATGTTTTGGAGACTTGCTTCTTGAGTTCTTTGTACATTTTGGAGATCAACCCTCTGTCAGATGTGGGATTAGTGAATATTTTTTCCCGTTCTGTGGGATGCCTTTTTGTCTTTCTGACTGTGTCCTTTGCCTTACAGAAGCTTCTCAGTTTCAGGAGGTCCCATTTATTAATTGCTGATCTCACTGTCTGTGCTAGTGGTGTTATGTTCAGGAAGCTGTCTCCTGTACCAATTCGTTCAAGGGTACCACCCACTTTCTCTTCTAAGAGGTTCAGTGTGGCTGGATTTATGTTGAGGTCTTTGATCCATTTGGACTTAAGTTTTGTGCATGGCGATAAACATGGATCGATCTGCATCCTTCTACATGCCAGCCTCCGGTTATGCCAGCACAATTTGTTGAAGACTCTTTCTTTATTCCATTGTATATTTTTAGCTTCTTTGTCAAAGATCAGATGTTCATACATGTGTGGGTTAATATCTGGGTTTTCAATTTTATTCCTTGTTCTACATATCTATTTTTGTGCCAATACCAAGCTGTTTTCAAGAATATGGCTCTATAATAGAACTTGGAGTCAGGGATGGTGATGCCTCTGTATGTTGCGTTGTTGAACCGAGTTGTTTTGGCTATCGTGGGTCTTTTGGTTTTCCACACAAAATTGATTATTGTTCTTTCAAGGTCTGTGAAGAATTGTGCTGGGATTTTAATGGGGATTGCATTGAATCTGTAGATTGATTTTGGCAGGATTGCCATTTTTACTACATTGATCCTACCTATCCAAGAGCATGGGAGATCTTTCCGTTTTCTGAGGGCTTCTTTAATTTCTTTCTTTACAGATTGAAAGTTCTTGTGATACAGGTCTTTCACTTGTTTGGTTAGCGTTAACCCAAGGTATTTTATGAGAACATGAAGCTCTTTCTCTGCAGTAACACTCAGTAAGGTATGTAGAAAAATGCCGCAAGGCAGGGATTTCAGGATCACATTCAGCTATAACTGAGCTGTGCAAGGGACAGAACCTGAATGTCCTGATCCAATCCTTGTGTCCCACCTCCCTGAACATTCACTCATCTGTTTCCCAGTATCTACTACTTGGAATTCTACAAAACAAGGCAGTTTCAATCAACAGTATTTTCTCATGTGCTTAGTCCTAGGCAATTCCCAAAAGGAAGGGAGCGCACAAGTTCATTGCCCTGTCACTGGTTTCCTAGTATTTCATGCTTTCTAATGTTTGAAGGCAGGGATCAAAAAGATATGAGGCACTTAACCTGATCTTTCCACTTACCTGTAGGTGAAATGACTGAGGCTCTAGGTCTGCATCCTGGATAACTGAAATGCTGAAGAAAAGATACAGACATGAGCAGAGTGCTTATGTCTTGCTGCATTGACATACATCGTTTTTTTCCCAACAAGTGCCTTCTGAGGCAGGCTCATTGCTTTCCTAAAGAATAGCGCCTGGACCACACAATTCCCCACAAAGGGAAACAATGCTTGGTGAATGAGGGCTTGTGCACTTGCCTATGAGAATGACCTGAGGAGAATATGCCCATATTTCTTCCCTGCCTTTTACCCTGGGATTCATTGTAATGTTATTGTGTATCATTTTTGTGTCATCAACTCTTTTAGAGACATTCATCTGTCACCATATTCCTGTCACCTCAGAAGGGATACTACATCAGTGATTTCACAAGATATTCCAATCTATATGACCTAGAATGCTAGTGGAAAGAAATGGTATAAATAGATCCAGGATACCCACAATAACCATATAAATAAGGGAATTTCATGAGGCATCACCATCTCTAGCTTCAATCTCTATTACAGAGCTATAGTCTTGAAAACATCATGGTATTATCTGAAAAATTTACAGGTGGAACAATGTATTCGAATTGAACACCCTGAGATTAATACACAAACCTATAATCACTTGATTTTTGATAAAGAAGCGAAAATTATACAGTGGAGAAATTAAACCATTTTCAACAAACGATACTTGCATAACTGTATATAGGTATGCAGGAGTCTGCAGATTGATCCAGGTTTATCACCTTGCACAAAATTTAAGTCCAAAAGGATCAAAGACGTAAACATAAATCCAACCACACTGAAACTCTTCGAAGAGCATTTGGGAGATACTCATCAATGAATTCATACAGGAGACAACTTCCTGAATATAACACAGTAGTACAATTTGTGTTGGAGAGGATGTGAAGAGAGGGGCACACACTGCCACTGCTGGTGGGAGTGCCAACTCATACACCCACTTTGGAAATCACTATGGAGATTCCTCAGGAAAAGGGGAATTAGTCTACCATAAGACCCAGGAATTCCACTGTTAGGCATATAAACAAAAGATTCAAATTCACACAATAAGGACATCAGTACCACTATGTTCATAATAGCATATTTGTGATTTCCAGAATATGGAAATAAACTAGATGCCCCTCAACTGATGAGAGGATAGAGAAAATGCTGTACATTCGCACAATGGAGTACTACTCAGCAGAAAAAAAACAGTGGAATTTTGAAATTGGCAGGCAATTGATGGCACTAGAAGAAACCATCCTGATTTAGGTAACCCAGTCTCAAAAAGACAAACACGGTATATACTCAATCATATATGGATTTTAGATATGGATCAGGATAGTGCCAGTCTTCAATTCCACTGAAAGAGAGTCTGTGAAACAGGAAAGAACCTAAGGGATATATGCATGGTACCCCAGAGAAGAGGAATGAGGCAAGTTCTCCTGAACAGTTTGGGAACCTGGCAGAAGGTGGGGGGGAGTGGGAGCTGGGAGAAGAGAAAGGGGAAGAGTAGGGGAGGGTAGGTAATTGAGAACTGGAAGGCTGAGAGGGGGTAAAATAGAGGAAGAACGGGATTAGAAATACAATAATAGATGGAGCCATAAGTTTGAATTAGGATCTGGCATGAGTGAAAATACTAGCAATCCAAAAGTGTGACACAAACAGGCAAGCAAAGTGATAGTGGAGAGACTGTCTAAAATGTCCATTACTGATAATGAACTTGACATGTAACTTATATGCCATCCTATCACTTTCATTCAGTTACTGATGGAAGCAGAGGCCAATATCCACAGTTAAACACTGAACTGAACCTGTGGACCTGAGTGACAGAGAGAGAGAAACAATAAGCAAATTCTCAAAGAATGGGCTGGAAAAACCTGCAGAGACAGTTGATCTGAACAACGCGGTAACCTTGGACCCCAGACTGACAGCTGGGAGGCCAGAATGGGACTGTTCCTGAATCCCTGAGTGTAAGATTCAGTGAGCAGTCCTGGTCAACCAATTGGGCACTGGGCAGTAGATCAGTAATTTTCCCAGAGAGAACATGAGGCTCTTTCTCAGCAGTAACAATCAGCAAGGTAGGTAGAAAGACACCCCAAGGCAGGGATTTGAAGAGTATATTCCGCTATCACTGAGCTGTGCAATGGACAGGGCCTGAAATGTCAAGACCCAATCAATGTGTCTCACCTCCCTGAAAAGTCACTGCTCTGTTTCCCAGTATCTATTACTTGGAATTCTGCAAAACAATGCGGTTTCGAACAACAGTCTTTTCTCATGGGCTTAGTACTAGGGAACTCCCAAAAGGAAGGGAGAGCACAAGTTCATTGGCCTAATTGTCACTAATTTCGTAGAATTTCATGCTTTCTAGTGTTTGAATGCGGGGATCCAAAAGACATGAAGCAGTTAATATGATCTTTCCACTTACCTGAAGATGAAATGCCTGGGGCACCAAGTGTGCATCCAGAATAACTGAAATGTAGAAGAAAAAGATGGACATGAGCAGAGTGCCTATGCCTTGCAACTTTGACATCCATAGTTTGTCCCAACAAGTGCCTTCTGAGGCAGGATCATTGCTTTCCTAAATAGGAGCGCCAGGACCTCACAGTATTCCCCACAAAGGGAAACAATGCTGTGTAAAGGAGGGCTGTGACCTTGCCTATGAGAATGACCTGAGGAGAGTAGGCCCATATTTCTTCCCCGTTATTTACCCTGGGACTCAGTGTCATGTTACATAGTATGATTTTTATGTCATCACCTCTCTTAGTGACATTCATTTGTCATCAGAGACCTGGGTCCTTAGAAGGCATAGCTATACCTGATAGGGGGAAACAAACAGTGCTGCTTTTAGGATGACAAAGGCCATCTAGAAGGTATGTCTCAGTGAACTTCAGACCAATGATCAGGCAGCATTAAGCTCCTTCAACTGATCATACAGAATCAGTATTCTTAGTCAAGAAAAAATTTTGGATATCAAAAGTTACAAGTTATTGTCAGTAGAATTGCAATGCACAGCTTCTGTACATCTAAACTCTTGATCAAGATTATTGACAGCAATTGCTAATCAATTCAATGGGGGAGAAAATGATAAATTTTAACGGTGGTTACCTGTTTGCCACCCCTATTCAAATTTAACCCTTCTCCTGTTTCACAATCATCCTCACTGCCTATATTCACAGCATTAGCTGGCAGAATATTGGGAAGGCATGTTATAGGTCTGCTGAAAACATGTTAGTTTCTGATTATGGACAATGTCCAAGATGAGTCATCTACCTTTATTTGCACAGCGCTATACCATTTACCTCTAACTGCACTCCCTAATCACCATAGAAGGATGCATACCCAGAAGGTTCTTAATTGCACTAGCACCAGATGAATACCATCCCTACACATGTTCTCTTGCCCCATTCCTTATCACCTGATTGATGGGGTTCTTAGAAGCTTTGGATGTCATTCATGTGTTTGAAATTCCATGCCACTCATGTGTGGTGAGTTGGTCTCCACAGGATGATGGGCCTTTGCATCTAAGCAAAGAGGGGGAATGCCTGTTTAGAAGCAAGCTGTGGAATTATCTCATGTTGCCTGATGCCTACCTGGCAGGACAAGTTCACTAATCCTAAAAATAGGAAGAGGTAACTGAGTTAGATTTACTGGTATGTCCATCAGATCAGTGGAGTAGAACACTCTGAGACTCTGTGTGCCTTTTGACCCACAGAAAAATAACCTATTGATCTTCCTGCAGTCCAGGGTCTGCATACTGTACATACCTGATGGCATTCTTTGCAATTTCAGAGCATGTGAACCTCCTGACAAAGGGAGAACATGTAACTCTTGCCCCAGAAGTACCAGTCAACATGGGAGGTAGATAGACCCTCAAAGGTATGGATTTCAAGATCACATTCACCTATCACTGAGATGTGCAAGGGACAGGGCATGATCATTCTGACCCAATCCTTGTGTCCACACCTCCCCCAACAGTTACAGCTCTGGTTCCTAATACCTATTAGTTGGAATTATACATGACAAGGCAGAGTAAATTACCATTATTTTCTCATGGGCTTAGACCTTGAGTTTCCACAAAAGGAGGAGAGAGCACAAGTTCTGTGCCACAAGTGTAACAGGAATCCTAGAAGGTCATGGTTTTTAATAGTTGAAGGCAGAGATCCAAAAGAGATGAAGGCACTTAGCATGATGATGCCACTTACCTGAATAGCCCATGACTGGGGCAAATATTCAGGATGCTGTATCACTGAAATGCAGAAGAGAAGAGAATGATATGAGGAGAGTGCTTATGTCTGGCAGCCTTGATATATATAGTGTGCCTCAACAAGTGCCTTCTGAGGTAGGCTGAGTGCTCATCTAAAGAAGAGCACCTGGACCTCACAGGATTCCCCAGATAGGGAACCAATGCTGGGTGAATGAGGGCCTGTGTACTGCACTATAATAAAGGCCTGAGGAGACTAGGCCCTCATTTCTCCCTCTGTCCTTTAGCCTGGGCCTCAGCGTAATCCAAGTGAGCATGATTTTTATGTCATCACCTCTCTTCATGACATTGGTTTGTCATCATAGACCCGCGTCCTCAGAAGGCATACGTATACCTGATAGTGGGACACAAACTGTACTGCTTACCAGGATGACAAAGACCATCCAGCAGGTAGATCTTTGCGAGCTTCAGACATGATCAGCCGGCATTAGGCTCCTACAAGGGATCAAGCAGAATTAGTCTTCTTCATCAAGGAAAGTTTTGGGCTGCCAAAATGGGAGGTTACTGTCCGCAGAATCACAATGCCATACTTTGGAACACCCAAACTCTCCAGCACAATAATTAGTGGCAATTGCTAATCAAGGCCATGGGGGAGATAATGAAACATTATCTCATAAGCAACAGAATACCTAAGAACTTGTGATGCCATGCATGTAGTTGAAATTCCAGGCCCCTGGTGGGTGGTGAGTGGGTCTCCATAGGATCATAAGCCTGTGCATCTAGGCAAATGGGGGGAATACCTGGCCAGATGTGTCCTGTCGAATTGCCTCATGTGGCCTGATGCCTTCATGGCAGGACAAGATCACTAATCCTAACAAAAGGAAAATATATATGACTTTCTAACTGATACGTATGTTTGTGCACTAGAACACTGTGACTCTCCATTTGCTATTAGCCAAAGAAATGTAACCAAATGATCTCCCTGCTGTTTTTGGCCTGCATAGTGGATATTCATGAGCACCATCTTTGCAATTTTAGAGTATATCACCATCCTGACACAAAAAGAACATGAAGTTTTTGCCCCGGCAGTAACATCAGCATAGAAGCTAGATAAACACCCCAATCCAGGACTTTCAAAATCATATTTTACTATAACTGAGCTGTGCAAGGGACAGGACCTGTATATCCTGACCTAATCCTGGAGTCTCGTTTCACTGATCAGTCACTGCTCTTTTTCCTGATACCTAGTATTTGGAATTCTACAAGAAAGGGCAGTTTGAAATACCATCCCTTTTTCATGGGAATAGGCCTAGAGGAATGAGAGTCTACGTTTTCTGCTGCAAGTGTCACTGGATTCCTACAAGGTCATGCTTTGTAATATTTGAATGCAGACATCATAAAGAGACCGAGGCACTTAGCCTGTTCTTTACTTGCTTACCTGAAGGTGAAATGATTGGCGTACCAAGTCTGCATCCTGGATCACTGAAATGTAGACTAAAGAGATTGACATTGGTAGATTACTAAGGCTTGCCAGAATTGACATACATAGATTTCCCCTAATACTGCCTTCTTAGGCAGGCTCAGTGCTCATCTAAGAAGAGTACCTGGAACTCACATGATTCCCCAGACAGGGAAACAATGCTGGGTGAATGAGGGCCTGTGTACTGCACCACTATAAAGGCATGAAGAGACTAGGCCCGACATTCTCACCAGTCCTTTAGCCTGGGCTTCAGCATAACCCTTTTAATAATGCTTTTTTATATCATCACTTCTCTTCATATCATTCGTTTTTCACTACAGACCCGGGTCCTTAGAAGGGATAGCTATAACTGATAGTGGAACACAAATACTGCTGCTTACTAAGATTTTAAATACCATGTAGGATTTAGGTCTTGGTGATCTTCAGAAAATTTTTCAGTGGGCATTAGACTCCCACAATATATCAAGCAGAATCTGTTCTCTTGTTAAAGGATAATTTTTCATGGCCAAAATATTATATCAGTGTGAGAGGAATTGCCAGTTTCTGAAGGTCCAAACTCTTGAGCATGATAATTGGGGGCATTTGGTGATCAAATCTGTGGAAGAGATAATGAAAAAATTTAATGTTGGTTTACCTGTTAGCCACCCCTATACAAGTTTATTGCTTCACTTGTTTTAACTTCATCCACACCGCCTGAATTCATAGCATTAGCTGACTGATCATTGGGAAGGTGTATTATAGGTCTGGTGAAAGCATTTTAGCATCTGATGATGCACTGTGTCATAAAAGGTCCAACCTGCCATCTGCTGTATTTTGCGCAGCACTTTACCATTTACCTTTGAAATGAACAATATTAAGATGGGTATGCTCAAAGTTCTTAATTTCCCAAGCACTGCACAATTAGGATACCTATACACTTTCTTTTGACACTATCCTCATCGAATGAGGAAAGGAAGCCTTTGCTGCTTGGGATACCATTCATGTGGTTAAAATTCCATTCCACTGATGTATTGTGAGTGGGTCTCCACATGATGATGAGCCTGTGCTTCTAGGCCAAGAGGGGAATTACTGGGTACATACACCCTGTCATATTTCCTTATGTGTCCTGATGCCTGCATGTCAAGGCAAGTTCATTAAACTTAAAGAAAGCAAAATGTAACTGAGTTTGCCTAACTGATATGTTCATTAGTGCACTAGAACTTTGTGAGTCTCTGTCTACTTTATGAGCCTCAGAGGAATAACCAATTGATCTCCCTCAGTTGATGGCCTGCAACATGGCCATTCTTAATTGCCATCTTTGCAAGTTTGGAGCATATCACCTTCATGACTCAGCAAAAACATGAAGCTCCTGCCCACACAGTATCAATCAGCAAGGGAGGTAGAAAGACACCCAAAGTCAGGAATTTCAAGTTCACATTTAGCTATGCTGAGCTGGGCAACATTCAGGGCCTGAATGTCCTGAACCAATCATTGTGTCCCACCTCCCCCAATAGTTATTTTTCTGTTTCCAATACCTACTACTTGGAATTCTACAAGACAAGGCATTTTGAAACACGATCCTTTAATCATTTTATGCCTAGGGGATTCCCAAAATAAAGGGAGAGCACAAGTTCTGTGCCTTATGTGTCACTGGATTCATAGAATGTCATGCTTTCTAATATTTGAAGACAGAGATTTAAAAGATTCTGAAGAACTTAACCTGATCTTTCCACTTACCTGAAGGTGAAATGACTGGGGCACCAAATCTGCATTCTTGATCACTGAAATGGAGATAGAAGATATGGACATGAGCAGAATGCTCATACCAACCAGCATTGACATACATAGATTGCCCCAACAAGTGCCTTCTGAGGCAATCTCAGTGCTCTACTAAAGAAGAGCACCTGGACCTCACAGGATTCCTCAGACAGAGAAACACTTCTGGGTGAATTTGGGCCTGTGCACTGGCCTATGATAAATGCCTGAGTAGATTAGGCCCTCATTTCTAACCTGTCCTTTAGCCTGTGCCTCAACATAGACCTATTGTGCATGATTTTTATGTCATCAACTCTCTTCATGACATTGGTTTGTCATCATAGTTCTGAGTTCTCAGAACGTGTAGCTATACATGTTATTGGGGCACAAACAGGGCTATTTACCAGTCTGATAAAGATCATCCAGCAGGTATGTCTCTGCAATTTTCAGACAAATGTTCAGCCGGCATTAGAACATTAGAATCCTGTCAGGGATCAAACAGAATCAATTGTCTTAGTCAAGGAAAATTTTGGCACGCTAATAGTTGTAAGTTAGTGCCAGCAGAATTTCAACACACAGCTTCTAAAAGCACAATGTCTCAATCATAATAATTGGGGACAATTACTAATCAATGTCATGGGGGAGATAATGACAAATTTTTATTTTGTTTACCTGTTTGCCATCTCTAAACAATTTTAACCCTTCACTTGTTCCACCATCATCGTAACTGTTTGCATTCATTGCAGTACCTGACAGAGCATTGGGAAGGCTTATTATAGGTCTTCTCAAAACGCTTTAGCATGTGATCATACACTGTGTCTTACAAGGTCCACGAAGTCTCATCTGCTGATCTTTGTGCACTGCTATACCATTTCCCTGTGGCATTTCTGCCTGCCCACCATTGTGGGATATGTACCTCAAGATTATTAATTGCACAATCACCACCTGCTTCGAATCTCTTCACCTGTTCTCTTGGCCTTTGCAGCTTGGGATGTCATTCATGTGTTTAAAATTCCTTGCCACTGATGTGTGGTGAGTTGTTTTCAACGTGATGATGAGCCTGTGCATATAGGCAAAGAGGGGAATGCCTGGCCAGATGCATGCTGTCGAACAGGCCTCATGCTGCCTGTTTCCTGCATGGCAGGACAAGTTCACTAATCCTAAAAAAAGAAAAGGTATCTGAGTTTGCCTGACTAATGTGTCCCTTACTACACTAGAACACTGTGAGTTTATGTCTCCATTTTGACCCCCAGAAAAGTAACCTTGTGATCTCTATGTAGGCAATGGACTGCACTCTAAACAATCCTGAGCACCAGGTTTTCAGGGCCGGAGCATGTCACCCTCCTGACAGAGTGAGAATAAGAAGCTCTTTCCCTGGCAGTAACATCAGCGTAGGAGGTAGATTGACACACCTATTCAGGGATTTCAAGGTAACAGTCATCTATCACTGACTGAGCAATGGAGAATTCCTGAATGTCCTGACCCAAAAATTTGAGCCACTTCCCAGTCCAGTCACTGCTGTTTCTCAATAACTAATATTTGGAATTACACAAGAAAGGGAGATTGAATTAAAATCCTGGTCTTATGGTCTCCAAGTTCGGAGCATGTCAAAGTCCTGACACAACAAGAATATGAAGCTCTTATTCCAGAAGTAAGAATCAAAATATGAGAAGATAGACAGCCCAAGGTAGGGACTCCAAGTTCATATTTGCCTATCACTAAGCTGTGCAAGTATAGGTCCCATGACCAACCACCCTGTCCAGTCACTGCTCTGTTTCTCAATACATACTGTTTGGAATTTTACAAGACAAGGCAGTTTGAATTACCATCCTGGTCTCATGGGCTGAGGACAAGGGGATTCCCAAAATGAAATTAGAGCACAAGTTATGTGATACAAGTGTCACTGGAAACCTAGAAGTTCATGGTTTTCAAATTTGAAGGCATACCACCTGGACTGAGCCAGGACCTTATGCTAATCTTTCCCCTTACCTGAAGGTCTCATGACTGGGGCACTAAGTCAGCATCCAGGATCATTGAAATGCAGAAGAGAAGAGATGGACATGAACAGTGTGTAGATGACTGGCAAGCTTGATACATGTAGAGTGCCACAACAAGTGCCTTTTGAGGCAAGCTCTGTGCTCTCCTAAAGAAGAGCACCTGGACCTCCCATGATTGCCCAAACCTGGAAACACTGCTGGAGGATTGAGGAGCTGTGTACTGGCCTATGGGAAATACCTTAGTATACGTGTCCCTGATTTCTCCACTGTCTTTTAGGCTGGGCCTTATCGTAATCCTATTGAGCATGATTTTTATGTCATCACCACTCTTCCTGACATTGGTTTGTCAAAATCGACCCAGGCCTTCAGAAGTCATAGCTATACCTGATATTTGGACACAAGAGTGCTGCTTACCAGGATGCTAAGACCATCTTGCAGGTAGGTGTAGCCAAGCTTCAGACAAATGGTCAGTCGGCATTAGGTTCCTACAAGGGATAAAGCACAATCAAGACAAATTTTGGGGCATCAAAATGGGCATATCATAACCAGCATAATTGCCTTATGTATCATTTGAATGGCCAAAGTTCTAGAGCATGATAAGGTGGCAATTGCTTATTAAAGTCTTGGGAGAGAAAATGAACAATATTAATGGTGGTTACCTGTTTGCAACCCCCATATATATTCAACCCTTCACTTGCTTCACACTGATCATCATTGCCTGCATTCATAGCATTAGCTGAGGGACCATTCGGGAGAAATATTATAAGTCTTGTGAAAACATTTTAGCTTCTGATCATGCACTGTGTCATTCAAGGTCTAAGCCCTGTCATCTGTTGTTCCTCGTAATGCGCTATCCCATCTCCCTCTGAAATCACAACCTAATCACCACAGTACGATGAGTACCCCCAATGTACTTAATTGCAAATCATTGCCTACTTTGGATCCATACTCCCATTCTCTTGGCACATTTCAAATGAGATGAGGCAGCCTTTGCAGCTTGAGATATCATGCATATAATTGATATTCAATAATACTTATATTAGGAAAGTTTTGCTCCATATGATTATGAGCTTGTGGATCTGAGGCAAAGAGGGGAATGCCTGGCCACCTCCATTCGCTTTAATTGTCTCAGGTACCCTGAGGATTGAATGGCAGGAAAAGTTCATTAATCCTAAGGAAATTAAATGGAATCTGCGTTTGCCTTACTGATATGTCAATTAGTGCACAGGAACACTGTGAGTTTTCTTCTGCCTTTTGAGCACCAGAAAAGTAATCTGATGATCCCACTTTGAGTCCATGGCCTGAATAATGGACCTTCCCCAGGTCACAAAAGGAGCATAAAATTTTTTAATATTAATTCTTTCTAAATTGTCTGATCATGAGCTTCCTGAGATTCACAACATATACCAATTTTCTGAAGAAATACCGTAAAATGTTACCTCACGCTTTAAAGATTAAATGCATGTTTGAATGCCTTTCTGTACAAAGTACATTTAGAGTAACCCCTTTAACAAGTAAAGAAAATAAATCATGAAACTCTGAGAGGACATGGTGAGAGTTCACAAACATATAAATCAGAAAATTTTGAATATTAAACTTTTTTCTCTATTTTTTGGAATATTCATACTGAATGTGTCCCCTTAAATTACTTTGAAATTAGGAACAGGATCTAATGAGTAGGAATTGGGGTCTGGTAACTGAGAATTAAGAAAAATGAGATAGGAAATCATTGGAGGCATTAAGATTAAAGATAGCATGTTTAACTTGGAACTGAAAGGTTATGATTGAGATGGTTAAAAGAGATATTACAAGATGTCATTTAAACATCTGGGGTCTTTTCAATGAATAAGCACAGAATGACCAATACTATTTGGTGATAACATCAGTGACATCACAAGGAATTCCATGCTATGTGACCTATAATGCTAGTGGAATGAAATGGGATAAATAGATCCAGGATAGCCTCAAAAACCATATACAATAAAGGAATTTCATGAGGCATCACCATCCCTAACTTCAGGATCTATTACACAGCTATAGTCTTGAATACATCTTGGTATTAGCAGAAACATAAACAGGTAGACAAACACAACAAGGATATCTGTACCACTATGTTCCTAACAGTAGTATTGGTAATTGACAGAACCTAGAAACAAGCTAGATGCCCCTCAACTGATGAGTGGATAGAGAAAATGTTGTACATTTGCACAATGGAGTACTATTCAACAGAAAACATCAACGGAATCTTGAAATTTGCAGGCAAATGATTGCACCAGAACTAATCATCCTGATTTAGGTAACCCAGTTACAAAGAGACAACATGGTATATACTCAATCATATATGGATTTTAGATATGGATCAGGATAGTGCCAGTCTGCAATTCTACTGACAGAGAATCTGTGAGATAGGAAAGAACCTAAGGGAGATATGCATGACACCCCAGAGAAGAGGAATGAGGCAAGATCTCCTGAACAGTTTGGGAACATGCTAGAATGTCGGGGGGAGTGGGAGCTGTGAAGAAGAGAAAGGGTGGAGAAGAGTAGGGGAGAGTAGGTCATGGGGAACAGCAAGATTGAGTGGGGGTAAAATAGAGGAAGAACAGAATTAGAAATACAATAATAGATGGAGTCATAAGTTTGAAGAGGAATCTGGCACCAGTGAACCCTCTAGCGATCTAAAAGGATGTCAAGAAAAGGCAAGCAAAGCGATTGTGGAGAGACTACTTTAAATGCCCAATACTGATAATGAACTTGATGTGTATCTTATATGCCATCCTATCACCTTCATTCAGTTACTGATGGAAGCAGAGGCAAACATCCACAGTTAAAAACCTAACTGAACCTGTTGAACCTAGTGACAGAGAGAGAGGAGCAATGAGCAAATTCGCAAAAATGGGCTGGCGAAACCAGCAGAGTCTCCTGATTTGAACAAGGTCGTAACCTTGGACCCCAGACTGACAGCTGGGAGGCCAGCATGGGACTGATCCTGACCCCCTGAGTTCAAGAGTCTGTGAGCAGTCCTGGGAAATCAATTTGGCACTGGGCAGTTGATCAGTATTTTTCCCAGGCACACAAATGGACTTCATGTGTCCATAACACAAAGAGGGATGATTCTCAGCTTGGACCCTTATGAGAGTGTCTGGACCCTGCCCTCAGTGAAATGAAAAACTCTGGGTGTCCCCTTTGTGGAAGGGAGTGTAACTAGCGTGGCAGGCTGGGGGTGGTGGTGGGGGATGCGGGAAGAGGGGAGGGAGAGGGAAATGGGATTGACATGTGAAGCAAGCTATTTCAAATTAAAGTAATAAAAATAGCAAAGGTTATCGTCTGATTAATTTTAGAGGCATTCCATCTTTTGGATTTCATGAGAATATAATCATCATGAGATGCTTACTACATTTTTCTTCCTCCTCTTCTGTATTTCCCTATTATTTCATCATCTTCTCTTATACACAAACACTGAATTCGTCCTGTGTTTCACAATCCAGTATGCATTTTTCCATTTTGTAAATAGCAGTCAAATCTTTGTAGAATCATGCAGTGTGTATTCAAATGCCATCAACTTTATGGATGTGTATCTGGTATGTAATGCCTCCAGTAATATCAGAAGCATTTTCAGTGCATGTCTTGTGGTTTGTGTGTTCTGTCTGATGATGCTTATCTATTGTAACCTACCACTCATTAACTCTCCTTAAATTTCTAAATTTCAGTTATAGATATTCCTAAATAGAGAAGTTGTTTTTGTAACTCTAATTCTTGCTAATGTGTCTGATCATGACCCTCATGAGGGTCTCATTGTGCTCCAACTTTGTGAAAAACAGAGTAAAAGTTTCCCTCATGCCTTAAACAGTCAAATACAAATTTTGAGTGCTTTCCTATAGAAAATATTCTTAAAGACTTCCTTGTGACAGGCAAAGAAAACAGATAGTGAAATCACTATGAGTACATTGTCAGAGTTCACAGCCAGTTGAATCAGAAATGTCGATTTTTAAACTGTATTGTCTGTTCTCCTTGGCTATTCATAGCAAATAGTTTCATTGTATTTCTCCGAATTCTGGATCAGGAATAGGTGCATAGAAACGGGCATATGAGGTACTGAGTTTTAAGAAGCTGAGATAGGAAATCATGAGAAGTAGTAAGATCTAAGATGTCTTAATTACCCAAGAGCAGAAAACGTTAGATTGCGGTGGTTAAAATAGGTTTTACAAAATGACATTCACATAACAGGTCTTTTCAATGAAAAAGCACAGAGGGATCAATAATATTTGTTGAACATTTCAGATGATTTGACAAGGGAATTCTATACTATGTCATTTGAATAACAATGGACTGAAAGGATATGGATGGGATCAACATTCCATGAATCAAAACATAAGTGCAAAGACAGTGAAATCATAGACAAACTATTTTTTGGTTCCCTCGTGTCATAGATCCTGTGGTTCTGATATCTCCTGTCATAGAATGGAGGGACCTGCACAACAGAGTAAGATTCAATGCTTACCACTCCCACCTGAATGTTAAGAGGACTTTGAATTTCCCACCTGCAACTAATTAGAAAAAATAATATCCTGGAAATAATTGTGTCCTGACAGTTATTTCTAGCCTGAACTGCTATTGGCAGTGGTCCTCAAACACCGACAGGGTATGTCTTCTATAACAAAGTTGTGATTGTTGTGACTTTTTCTATACCTGACTGTAAGATATTAATGAAAATATATTAAGAGAAAGGACGCCACATGTTGTTTATGGTTTTTATGTCAATGTAAGGATAATTCTTGAAATTGACTAGCTCTTTGGTGAGTTAGTTCAGGAACTGCTAAATACTGTACATACAGAAGAATCAAATAGTCCATGGACTTCACCTGTATTTGTTTTCAAAAAAGTCTTGGAATTGGACTGTGGATACTTATATGAAAACTATCATCCTGGTAATTCAGCCTATGGGCACTCAACATCATGGGTTGCAACTACCTTTTATAATACCTAAAGATTGGAGAATTGTAGTTATAGATTGAAAAGATTACTTCTTCATTATATCATTAAAAGAGAAACAGAGAAATGTTTTCCTTCACAGTACCTACCTATGTCAATTCTAAACCAGTAGAGTGATTTCAGTGGAAGGTGTTGCAAAAGGAATGTCAAATAGCCCGACTTTCGGCCAGTATTTTGTGCAAAACCCTTAGAAATCATTCATAAACAAGTTATATCATCATTAATATATCATTATATGTATGACATATTACATTCTGATTAAAATAAAGGTACTTTGGAAAAGACATTTGAAGAAGTACCATAAACGTTGCCTCTCTGGTGATTAAAAATTACCACAAAAATATGAGGACATACCATTAATTATTTAGGTTATTAAATGGACTCACAGAAAATTAGACCACAGAAAGTACAGATCAGAAGAGATCGTTACAAGACTCTTAATGATCTTCAAATCTACTTGGAGAAATCTCTCAACAACAGACAATTATAGGAGAAGTACATGACTTAAAACACCTGAATATGGGCTTAAAATAGACAAAGACCTAAATAGTTGACAAATACTATCTGCTGAGGCTGAAAAGAATTAGATTATGTTATAAAAAGAATATTAGAAACACAAATGGACCATGTGTATCCAAAACTAGACTGCATTCTGGTTATTTTACCATCTAGAGAGTACCACACAGGAAGATTAAAACACAGGCAGGACTGCATACTTCAATGGGTATTCCTTCCACATAAAAGGAATTAAAAATTGGTAACACATAAAGAAAGGCTCTCTGATGTGATATTAAAAGATAAGTTAAGGCTTTGTCAATACTGGGAAGATACCCAGCCAAAATTATTGTACCTTTAAGTAATGAGGAAATTTCCTCCTAATGGAAGGGTAATGAATATAGCCTAATGGCCTGCACTAGCATTTTGGAAAAAATTAGTATCAATAATCCCAAAACAGAGAAAATCAAATTCATAAAGAAACAATTTGGATTCTTCCGCATATTTTGAGATAAACGTCTAATTCTGGAGTTTTTTCATTCTACACTGATGCAAAAAATGAGGTAAGGCAAATAATATATATATATATATATACATATACATATATATATGAGATATATGAGACACATCATATCCCATATTTACCTTGGTTGCCAGTTTCCTCTTGTACATACTTGCCACAATAAATATTTGCCTATACCCCCATTGAGTGAGCTGTTTACCTTTAAATACTTTGGTGTGTATAATCATGAGTTTTAACACTTGGGGTAGGACTGAAGCCTTACACAGCAAAATTGTTTTAGATGCCCTTCCTAACATAGATATTTTCCAGAGTATTGACAGTGGCACTTTTAAATGAGTTGATCAACTTCTTTACTCTGAAAGAAAGGGATTTTCTATAAGATCTTGAGAAGTGCACAGCAACCTAGAATTCCCTTGATAGATTCTGTGTGAGAACTGAGTACATTACCACTATGCTATTACCAGTTTTTCTATTCAGTTTCCTTTTCATTAAACATTTTAGGTACAGGTATCCATTCAACACATGTCAGCACTCCTAAAGATTTCATTTATGGTATCTCAGAGAAATAAAAAAATGTTGTTTGATCTTCATTTGTGTGGATCACAATGATTCTGAGTATAGCATTTGTGGTTCATTAGCATCACACTTGAGAAGCAGAGTGTGTCTGTTTCTGTTGCTAAGGTCTGTGTGCAACTACCTAGTTCTCTTTCTTTTCATTGGAGTGTTTTGAGGAGGCATAGATCTTACTGAAGTGCATGTTGGAATTTTATCTGTTTGCCATCTATAAGGTTTTTGAATGGAATATTCTCCTCATTAAACACACATGTTATAAAAAAGCTGAACATCATTCTTCCCAAGTTAGTTGTCAAATACTACTCTGGTGACTTATACTACATCATCAAAAAAGTACAATATAATCCTCTAATAAATTTTAAGAGCCAATCAATGTTTTGAATTTCATGAGAATATATACATCATTAAATGTTTGTTTTATTCATTTTTCTCATCCTCCTGATCTCCCTTATGTTTTCATACTCATTTCTGCCACACAACCACTGAGGTTGTCTGGTGTAACACAGTCCATTAGAGACATTGAAGTTTGTCAACCAGTTGTCAGTAATATGCAGGAACCTGCCATGTGTATACTACTGCCATCAACGTCATGGGAATGTATATTATTGAAAAACTATTCCTTGGATGCCTGAAGTCTTAGATCCCCAAGGTCTGAAATCACCAGTCATAGTGAGGAGTTACCAGCAGAGCAGAATAGAATTCAGTGCTTACCTATCAAGCCTGAATGGTAAGAGTCCTTTGTAATTCCAACCTGCAACAAAACAGAAACACAAAATGTATTGAATGGAATTGTATCCTGACTGCTATATCTAGCATGAACTTCTAGAGAAGTGGTCTTCAAACACAAAGATCGGGCATCAATACCAAAGATATGTTTGTTGTGTCTCCTTCTATTCCTAGCTGTAATATTATAATGAGAATGTGTTCAGAAAAAGGATGCCAGGTGTTCTTTTTGGTATTTATGACAATATTAAAATGATTCAGGGAAGGCAGTTGTTCATTGGTGTGTGTCATCACGTGGTTTATTGCTTGTGTTTTTGCTGAAGTCTAGCACATCAACAGCCTTCTAGATGCCCTTCCTATTCTAGGTTTTTCCAGAATATTTGGACACTGCACTTGTAAATGAGATGGTAAACGTCTTTTCTCTGAAAGAAAGGCATTTTCTATAAGAACATGAGAAGTGCACAGCAACCTAGAATTCCCTTGATGGTTTCTGTGTGATAACTGTGTACATTAGCACTACACTAGGACAAGTTTCTATAATCAGTTAAATTTTCATTAAAAATATTTATGTGTAGGTATCCTTTCAACAAATGTCAGCACTCCTAAAGACTTTCCTTCCTGATATCTCAGTGAAACATAAAAAATATTCTATTGTCTACATTTGGATGGATATTAATGATTGTGCCTATAAGGTTTGCTGTTCATCAGTGTTACACTTGAGAAACTGAGTGTGTCTGCTTCCTTCTCTATGTTCTGTGTGCAAATACCTATATCTCTGTGTTCTCATTGGAATGTATTCAAGATTTGTGGACCAAAGTAAAATGTTTCTTGCAAGTCAGAATATATCTGTGCAACCAAAAGTTGTCTGAGTGCAATGTGCTCCTTATTAAATAAATACATCTTAAAAAACATGAAGGTCATTTTTGCCAATTGGGTGTCAAACACTACTCTTGTGACATGGATCACTTCATTAAATAAAGTACAATATTCTCCATATTTTTTGATGATAGTTGTCGGTGCTTATTCTTTCAGAAGGTGTAAGTGGATTGATGTGGTGTCTGGATGGTCAGATGACCACTGGCATCCAGATATGTTCAGTAATATTACGGAAAAGCAATGATGGTAATCTCCCAATGCTGGTAATTAGTGGCAGGAAGAAGAAACTGCAGCCTCTAAAATTGAAGATAATGGTGGCAGGGAATCTTCCAATCTCCTGTTCTTTTCCCAAGTATAGTAATGTAATAAGTATTGCTTAGGAGATGCTCAGTGATGATTTCACTGATTCAACATTCATTTATTTCTCCTAAGCTGCCATTAGTCAATGCCTTAAAAACATAGTAGACTGTTTGTTGCTGTTAGTATTACAGTTAGTGTTTCATAATGTGATGTGTGAAATGATACATCATTTTGCCACACAAAGAACTACTGTAACCTTAAAGTTTTGGAGAACAAATCCAGTCTGCACAAATATCTGATATGTTTCAAAAGGGATGAGTGCTAGCCACAGTTGGGAATTATCCCTGTTGTCAAGAGGACCTCCTATCTGGACCCCAGATTGGCAAAGTCATGAGTCAATCAATGTGCTCAGAGACTTTTTGTCATCATTGATCCAGACAAGTGCCCTCTCAACACAGGAGTGTTTCCATTGTCACAGGAAAGTTAGAATAGCTAGTCTTTATGACTTTGATGTGTATGTTAAGGACAGTGCAGTTGTCTTGTTGCACAGGTTGTGAACAGAGGCATTGAACAACAGGTAGAATGAATATATGGGCTCCTGCATGTTCAGGCATACATCAGCTGAAAGAATTTCAATGTCCAATTTGCCTGCATTATTCATATGAAAGAGAAATTTCACAGAGATTTCGATGGTTTCATTTTATAAACTGAAGTCTGTTTTATATAAAAATGTATCAAATAGAGCGAGTCCAGCTTCAGGTGAGATTGAGTCTCCGGCAGGGACCGCCCACCCTTCCCCCATCCCCCTTGATGTTTGGGGCCGCTCCTGGAATCCAGAAGACCCGCCCACACAGGAAAGACATCAGCCCCTCCAAGACCCCAACCCCAGCGAGTCCAGCTTCAGGAAAGACATCAGCCCCTCCAAGTCCCCAACCCCAGCGAGTCCAGCTTGAGGACCCAAACTCCGTGTCAGGATCCCCAGCTTCAGCTGCAGGAAGGAAGGAGACCAGTGGAGACGGAAAGTCCCCACCAGCACCCACTGAAAGAAGAGATGGGAAGAAGACAGAATAAGAGATCACTCAGCAATAGAAACACCAACATGACCCCACCAGAATCCAGGGATCCAATACCAGCAAGACCTGAAAAGCACTACATAGACGAAGAAAAGGAGACAGACCTTAAAAATTATTTCATGAAGATGATGGACACCCTCAAAGAAGAAACGAGGAAATCCCTTAAAGAAATAGAAGAAAAAACAAACAAAAAATCCATGAAATGGGGGAAAATTCAAGAAATAAACAAATCTCTCAAAGAATCTAAAGAGCACCAAGAAAGAACAACCAAAAAAAATGAAGGAAACAACTCAAACAGTTGAAGGATTGAAAGCTGAAATAGAAACGATAAAGAATGAAGGGATGCTGGAAATAGAAAAGCTGGGTAAACGATCAGAACTACAGATGCAAGTATCACCAATAGAATACAAGAGATAGAAGAGAGAAACTCAGGTGTTGAAGACTCATTAGAGGATATAGAGTCGTCAACCAAAGAAAATCTCAACCAACAAATCCTTAATACAAATTATCCAGGAAATATGGGACACCGTGAAGAAGCCAAACCTGAGAATAATAGGTAGAGAAGAAGGTGAAGAAATTCAACTTAAAGGTACAGAAAACATATTCAACAAAATCATAGAAGAAAACTTCCCTAACCTAAAGAAAGATATGCCTATGAAAGTACAAGAATCTTACAGAACACCAAATAGGCTCGACCAGAAAAAGAAGTCACCTCGCCATATAATAATCAAAACATCAAACCTACAGAGTAAAGAGAAAATATTAAGAGCAGCTAAAGAAAAAGGCCAAGTAACATACAAAGGCAGACCTATCCGAATTACACCTGACTTCTCAATGGAAACGATGAAAGCCAGAAGATCCTGGACAGATGTCCTACAAACGCTAAGGGAACAAGGATGCCAGCCCAGACTACTATATCCAGCAAAGCTCTCAATTACCATAGATGGAGATAGCAAAATATTCCATGACAAAGACAGATTTAAACAATACGTATCCATGAATCCAGCTCTACAGAAAATGCTAGAAGGAAAACCTAGAGCCAAGGAAGATAACTACATTCACAAAGACACGGGCAATATATAATCACACTTTACAAAACACCAAAAGAAAAAGGGAGGAGAAACTAAACAAAATAACTTCACTAACAATAAATCAAGCACAAGCAAGGATCACCAATCAATGATCATTAATATCCCTCAATGTCAACGGCCTCAACTTGCCTATAAAAAGACACAGACTAGCAGAATGGATGCGAAGACAGAACCTTTCCTTCTGCTGCATACAAGAAACACATCTCAACATCAAAGACAGACGTTATCTCAGAGTAAAGGGTTGGGAAAAGGTCTTCCAATCAAACGGTCCCAAGAAACAAGCGGGTGTAGCAATCCTAATATCTAACAAATTAGACTTCAAATTAAAATCGATCAACAGAGATGAAGAAGGAGACTGCATATTCATCAAAGGAAAAATACATCAAGACGAAGTCTCAATTTTAAACATCTATGCCCCAAATACAAAGGAACCTACATTCGTGAGAGAAACATTACTAAAGCTCAAAATGCACATAAAATCTCACACACTAATAGTAGGAGACTTCAACACTCTGCTCTCACCACTAGAAAGGACCTCCAGACAGAATCTTAACATAGAAACAAAAGAACTAATAGAAGTTATGACCCAACTGGGTTTAACAGACATCTATAGAACCTTCCACCCAAATACAAAGGGATATACCTTCTTCTCGGCACCACATGGAACCTTCTCTAGAATTGACCACATAATAAGAAACATAGCAAATCTCCACAGATGCAAAAAAATTGGAACAACCCCCTGCATCTTATCAGACCACCATGCATTAACATTAGAATTCAACAATAACACAAATCGCAGAAACCCTACAAACTCATGGAGATTGAACAATCCACAATTGCACCATCCCTGGGTAAAGGAACAAATAAAAAAAGAAATTAAAGACTTCCTCGATTTCAGTGAGAATGAAGACACAACATACACAAACTTATGGGACACTTTGAAAGCAGTGCTGAGAGGAAAGTTTATAGCACTAAGTGCCCACATGAAAAAACTGGAGAACAGTCATACTAGAGAATTAATAGCACAGCTGAATGTTCTAGAACAAAAAGAAGCAAACTCCCCCAGGAGGAGCAGACGCCAAGAAATAATCAAATTGAGGGCTGAAATCAATCAAGTAGAAACCAGAAAAACACTGAGAAGAAACAATGAAACAAAGAGTTGGTTCTTTGAGAAAATCAACAAAATAGATAAACCTCTGTCCAAACTAACCAAAAGACAGAGGGAGAGCATGCTAATTAACAAAATCAGGGATGAAAAAGGGGACATAACAACAGACTCTGAGGGAATCCAGAGAATCATCAGGGCATACTTTAAAAATCTGTACTCCACAAAATTTGAAAATTTAAAGGAAATGGACAATTTCCTGGATAGATATCACTTGCCAAAACTAAATCAAGACCAGATAAACTATCTAAACAGACATATAACCCCTAATGAAATAGAAGCAGTCATCAAAAGTCTCCCAAACAAAAAAAGCCCAGGCCCAGATGGCTTCAGTGCAGAATTCTACCAGAAATTCAAAGAAGAGCTAAGTCCAATACTCCTAAAAGTATTTCACACAATAGAAGCAGGAGGCTCACTGCCAAACTCTTTCTACGAGGCTACAATTACCTTGATACCCAAGCCACACAAAGACACAACTAAGAAAGAGAAGTATAGACCAATTTCCCTCATGAACATTGATGCAAAAATACTCAATAAAATACTCGCAAACCGGATTCAAGAACACATCAGAAAAATCATCCACCATGATCAAGTAGGCTTTATCCTAGCAATGCAAGAATGGTTCAACATTAGACAATCTATCAATGTAATCCACCCTATTAACAATCTGCGAAAGAAAAACCACATGATCATCTCACTAGATGCTGAAAAAGCCTTTGACAAAATCCAGCACCCCATCATGATAAAGGTCCTAGAGAGATCAGGGATAACAGGAACATACCTGAATATAATAAAAGCAATATATAGTAAACCAACAGCTAACATCAAACTAAATGGAGAGAAACTCAAAGCAATTCCTCTAAAATCAGGAACAAGACAAGGCTGTCCACTCTCTCCCTATCTCTTCAATATTGTACTTGAAGTTCTAGCTACAGCAATAAGACAACAAAAGGTGATAAAGGGGATACAAATAGGAAAAGAAGAAGTCAAGCTTTCACTATTTGCAGATGATATGATAGTTTACATAAGTGACCCAAAAAACTCCGCAAGGTTACTCCTAGAGTTGATAAACACCTTCAGCAATGTGGCAGAATACAAGGTAAACTAAAAAAAAATCAGTGGCCCTATTATATACAGATGATGAAGTGACTGAGAAAGAAATCAGAGAAACATCACCCTTTACTATAGCCAAAAACAGTATCAAATATCTGGGGATAATGTTAACCAAGGAAATTAAAGACCTGTATATCAAGAACTTTGAGTCTTTAAAGAAAGAAATCAAAGAATATACCAGAAAATGGAAAGATCTCCCATGCTCTTGGATTGGTAGGATCAACATAATAAAAATGGCAATCTTGCCAAAAGCAGTCTACAGATTCAATGCAATCCCTATCAAAATTCCATCACAATTCTTCAAGGACCTGGAAAGAACATTAATCAACTTTATTTGGAAAACAAAAGGCCCAGGATAGCTAAAACATCCCAACACAATAAAGGAACTTCAGTAGGATCACCATACCTGACTTCAAGCTCTATTATAGAGCTATAGTCCTGAAAACAGCTTGGTATTGGCACAAAATATGCAGGTAGAAAATGAAACCGAAATCTCTAATTTTAACCCACACACCTATGAACACCTGATTTTTGACATAGAAGCTAAAACTGTACAATGGAAAAAAGAAAGCATCTTCAACAAATGGTGCTGGCATAACTGGGTACTGGTATGCAGAAGACTGCAGATAGAATCATGTTTATCACCTTGTACAAAACTTAAGTCCAAATGGATCAAAGATGTCAACATAAATCCAGCCACACTGAAACTTTTAGAAGAGAAAGTGGGAGATACTCTTCAACGAGTTGGTACAGGAGACCACTTCCTAAACTTAACACCAGGGCACAGGCACTGAGATCGACAATTAACAAATGGGACCTTCTGAAACTAAAAAGCTTCTGTAAGGCAAAGGACACAGTCAAAAAGACAAAAAGGCAGGCCACAGAATGGGAAAAGATATTCACTAACCCTACATCTGACAGAGGGCTAATCTCCAAAATTTACAAAGAACTCAAGAAACAAGTCTCCAAAACACCAAAGGATCCAATTAAAAGGTGGGGTACAGAGCTAAATAGAGAATTCTCAGTAGAGGAGGCTAAAATGGCCAAGAGACACTTAAGAAAGTGTTCAACATCCTTAGCCATCAGGGAAATGCAAATCTAAACAACTCTGAGATACCATCTTACTCCTGTCAGAATGGCTAAAATCAAAAACACCGAAGACAGTTTATGCTGGAGAGGATGTGGAGAGAGAGGAATACTCCTCCACTGCTGGTGGGAGTGCCGACTCATACAGCCTCTTTGGAAATCAGTATGGAGATTCCTCAGGAAAATGGGAATTAATATACCACTAGACCCAGCAATTCCACTCTTAGGCATATATCCAAATGAGGCAAGTTCATACAACAAGGGCATCTGCTCCACTATGTTCATAGCAGCATTATTTGTAATAGCCAGAACCTGGAAGCAACCTAGAAGCCCCTCAACTGAACAGTGGATAGAGAAAATGTGGTACATTTATACAATGGAGTATTACTCAGCAGAAAAAAACAAGGAATCTTGAAATTCGCAGGGAAATGGATAGCTCTGGAAGAAACCATCCTTAGTGAGGTAACCCAGTCGCAAAAAGACAAACATGGTATGTACTCACTCATATATGGATTTTAGACATGGATCAGGATAGTGCCAGTTTACACTTCCACTGATAGAGAGTCTAGGAAACAGGAAATAACCTAAAACATATGCATATATGCATAGTACCCAAGATAAGAGGATGGAGACAAGATCCCCTGAATTGATGGGGAACACGGCGAGGGGTGGGGGGGAGTGGGACCTGGGAAGGAGAGAGAGGGTGAAGAGGAAGAGAGTTGGTCATGGGGGAAAAGAAAGTTGAGGGCGTGGGGGTAGAATAGGGGGAAGAGGGAATCATAGGATCGAATACAGATCAGGCACCAGAGCGACCTCGAGTGATATAAAGGGATAACACCAATTGGCAAGCTAAGCAATAGTGGAGAGACCACCTCGAATGCCCATTCCTGATAATGAACTTGATGTCTATAACCATCAGGGAGCCTTCATCCTGTGACTGATGGAAGCAGAGGCAAACACACAATTAATCACTGAACTGAACCCAAGGAACCCAGTGACAGAGAGAGAGGAGTGATGAGCAAATTGGCCAAGAATGGGCTGGCAAAACCAGCAGAGACAGCTGATCTGAACAGGGGAGAGGTCTTGGAACCCAGACTGACAATGGCGAGGCCAGCATAGGACTGATCTGGACCTCCCAAATGTGAGTGTCAGCGAGAAGGCCTGGGCAACCTATGGGGCCCTGAGGTGTGGATCAGTGTCTATCCCTGATATACAAACAGTCTTCGTGTGCCTATAGCACAAAGAGGGATGCTCTCTCAGCCTGGACTCTTAGGGCAGTGCCTGGACCCTACCCAGAGTAAAATGTCAGACTCTGTTATCCCCTAAGTGGAAGGATTTGGTAATAGGGTGGGAGGGTGGGGTCGAAGGGGAGTGTGGGAAGAGGGGAGGGAGAGGGAACTGGGATTGACATGTAAAACAAGCTATTTAAAATTAAAAAAATGATAAAATAAAAAATATATAAGATATTAAAATATCTCATCAAAAATGGCTCCAACTTTGTGAGGAATTACAGCAAGGGTATTTCCTGGAACTGAAGCATTCCTATATTGCTCCTGGAGGAATAAGAAACCTAGAGCCTATGGATGGAGCCTGCCTAAACCATCCCTCACGTTGGGAAGACAGCAGAGAGCAAGGGTCGATGGCAGAGGACAGACGGCAGACAGGAGAGGGCAGTGGGCAGAGGGCATAGTGCTGTGTGTGCTCTGGGCACCCTTCCTGGTCCCGATGTCCTTATGCTTGTGAATGAGAGTCCATTACTGTCCTATTAAAAGGCCCATGGAGAAGATGGCCCCATTTCTCACCTGTCCACTAGGCTGAGCTTAAGCGTAATCATATTGAGCATGATTTCTATGTCATCAGATCTTTTTGGGAAATCAGTATGTCATCAGAGACTCAGGTCTCAAGAAGTCATAACTATACCTGCCTAATCACCATAGCAAGATGGATACATTCAAATTTCTTAATTCCCAGGCACTGCCAGCTTAGGATGCCTACACATGTTCTCTTGTATCATTCCTTATCACATGAGCAATGCAAGCCTTTGCAGCTTGGCGTGATTTTCATGTGTTTGAAATTCCATGCCACTGATATGGTGTTTGGGTCGCCACATAATAATGAGATTGTGCATCTAGTCAAAGAGAATAATGCCTGGCCTGATGCACCCTGTCAAACTTTCTCATGTTGCCTGATGCTTGCATGGCTTGAAAAGTTCACTATTCTTAAAAAAAGGAAAAGGTATGAGTTTGCCTTACTGATAGGTACATAAGTGCACTAGAACACTGGGAGTATCCTTCTTTTATGAGCCCCATAAAAGTAACCTAATGATATCTTGGCAGTCCAGGGCCTGCATTTTGGACATTCCTGAGCAACCGCTTTCTATTTCGTGGCTTTTCACCCTTCTGACCCAGCGAGAAGATGAAGCTCTTGTCCTTGAAGTACCAATTAGTATGGGAGGTAGATAGACACCCCAAGGCAGGGATTTGAAGATCACTTTAACCTATCACTTAGCTGTGCAATGGACAGGGCCTAAATGTCCTGACCCAATCCTTGTGTCCCACCTCCTTGATACTGCTTTGAATTCTATGAGACAAGGCAGTTTGAATTACCATCCTTTCCTCCGGTTTTTGTCATAGGGGATTCCCAAAATGAAGGGAGAAGACACATTCTTTAATGCAAGTGTCACTGGATTCAAAGAAATAATGCTTTCTCTTATTTGAATGCAGAGGTCTAAAAGAGAGGAAGGCACATAGCCAGATATTTCAACTTACCTGAAAGTGAAATGACTGGGGCACCAAGTAGGCATCTTGGATCATTGAAATGCAGTATAGAACAGACAGAAATGAACAGAGTTCTGAGACCTGGCAGCCTTGACATACATAGATTGCCCCAAAAAGTGCCTTCTGAAACAGACTAAGTGCTCTCCTATCAAAGCACACCAGGATCTGACACGATTCCTCAGACAAGGAAACACTCCTGGGTGAATGAGGTCTGTGCACTGGCCCAGGAGAATGGCCTGAGTAGATTAGGCCCCCATTTCTCCCCTGTCCTTTATCCTGGGCCACAGCATAATCCTATTGAGCATGATTTTTATGTCATAACCTCTGTTCATGACATTGGTTTGTCATCATAGACCCGGGTCCTCAGAAGGCAGAGCTATACCTGATAGTGGGGCACAAACAATGCTGCTTACCAGGATGAAAAAGACCATCTAGAAGGTAAGTCTTGGCAAGCTTCAGCCAAATTATCATCCAACATTAGGCTCCTGTATGGGATGAAGCAGAATCTGGTCTGTTAGCGTCCCATAATGTCATCTCAGAATCAGAGGAATTGAAATGCCCAGCTTCTTAACACAGAAAACTCTCTACATGATAGTTTTGGGCTAATTCTTTTTTTTTGTTTTTATCAGACAGGGTTTCTCTGTATTGTTTTCGAGGCTGTCAGTCCAGCCCAGCCTCGAATTCACAGAGATCTGCCTCCCGAGTGCTGGGATTAAAGGCGTGTGCCACCACCACCCAGCTATTGGGCTAATTCTTAATCAAGTCGTTTTAGAGATAATGAAAAATTTTAATGTTGTTACTCGTTTCTACCCATAGAAAAGTTTAATCCTTCAAATGCTTCACCCTCATCCTCACTGCCTGCATTCATAGCATTAGCTGACAGACCATTTAGAAGGCATATAATAGGTCAGCTGAAAATATGTTACCTTCTGATCAGGCAATGTTTCTTACAAAGTCCAAGACCATTCATGTGCAGTTCTTTGTAAAGATCTATCCCATTTCACTCTGACATCACTGCATAATCACCAATTTAATATGTGTACCCTCAAGGTTTCTTATGTGCCAATCATCGACTGCTAGGATAGCTACAATTGTACACTTGGCCCATTTCTTATGACATATGCAACGGAAGCCTTTGCAGCATGGGATTTCATTCATGTGTTTGAAATTCCTTGTCACTGCTGTGTGGTGAGTGCATCACACATATTGATGAGCCTGTTCATCTAGGCAAATTGTGGAATACCTGGCCAGATGCACCCTGTCAAATTGTCTCAGTTAGGATGAAGCCTACTTTGCAGGAAAAGTTCACTAATCCTAAGGAAAGGAAAAGTTATCTGTGTTTGTCTAACTGATATTTTCATTTCTGCACTAGATTACTGTGTGTGTCTGTCTGCCTCATGAGCCGCAGAAAAGTAACATAGTGATCTCCCTGCTATTGAGGGCTTGCATAGTAGATATTCTGGAGCACTGTCTATACAAGTTTGGAGCATGTCACCCACCTGAGCAGCAAGAACATGAAGCACTTGCCCTGACTGTAAAAATCAATATGTTAGTTAAATAGATACCCCAAGGCAGGGATTTGAAGATCACATTCACCTTCAATGAGCTATGCAAGGAAAAGGAACTGAACTTCCTGACCCAATCCTTGTGTCCCACCTCCGCAAACAGTCACTTTTCTGTTTCCCAGTACCTATTACTTGGAATTCTACAAGATAAGGCAGTTTGAATTACCACCCTTTTCTCATGGTTTTAGGCCTAGGGGATTCCAAATAGGAAGGGAGGGCCCGAGTTGTATGTCTTAAATATCACTGCATTCCTAGAATGTCAGGCTTTCTAATGTTTGAAGGCAGATATCCAAAAGAAACTTAGGCACTTAACCTGAACTTTCCACTTACCTGAATGTGAAATGACAGGGTTTCAAGTGTGTATCCTGGATCACTGAAATGCATAACAAAGGAGTTGGATATGAGCAGAGTCCTGATGCAGGCCAGCATTGACATACATAGATTTCCCCAACTAGTGCCTTCTGAAGCAGGACTCATGCTCTCCTAAAGAAGAGCACCTGGACCCAATAGGATTCCTAAGACAGGGAGCCACTCCTGCTGAAAACATTTTAGCTTCTGACCAGGCACTATGTCTTACAAGGACCTACACCATTCATCTCCAGTTCTTTGCACAGCTCTATCATATTTCACTGTGAAATCATTGTCCATCACCATTGTTGGAAGGGTAGATTTAAGGTTCTTTATAGCCAAATCACTGTGTGCATAGGATACGTAAACCCGTACTCTTGGCACATTTCATATCACATATGCAACTTAAGCCATGACAGCTTGGGGTGTCATTCATGTGGTTGAAATTCCATGCCACTGATTAGTTGGGAGAGTGTCTCGACAAATAATGAGCCTGTGCATCTAGTTAAAAATAGAATGCCCAGGCAGATCCATCCTGTCGAATTACCTCATGTTGCCTGATGCCTGCATGGCAGGAAATGTTCACTAATCCTAACGAAAGAAATGATATCTGAGTTTGCCTAACTGATGTGTACATTTGTGCACCAGAACACTATGGGTCTCTGAATCCATTATGAGACCCAGAGTAGTATACAATTTTTCTCCTTGCAGTTGTATGCCTGAAAGTTGGTGCATTCTTTGTTTTTTGCTTTTACAAGACAGGATTTCTCTGTATTGTATTGGAGGCTGTCGTTCCAGCCCGGCATCGAACTCACAGAGATCTGCCTGTCTCTGCCTCCTGAGTGCTGGGATTAAAGGCATGCACCACCACCACCTGGCTGCAAGTTGGGCATTCTTAAGTGCCATTTTTGAAAGTTTGGAGCATTTCAAACTCCTGACACAGCAAGAACATGAAGCTCTGTTGCCAGAAGTAACATACATCATGGGAATTCAATAGACACCCCAAGGCAGGATTTCCAGATCACAATCACCTATCACTGAGCTATGCAAAGAAAAATTCCTGAACATCCTGACCCAATACTTGTGTCCCACATCAGGGAACAGTCACTGCTCTGTTTCACAGTACCCACTACATTACAAGATAAGGCAGTTTGAATTATGACACTTTTCTCATGGTGTTAGGCCTAGTAGATTCCCAAAACGAAGGAAGACCACAAGTCGTATGCCTTAAATGTCACTGCATTCCTAGAACATCATGCTTTCTAATGTTTTAAGGCAGAAGACCAAAAGAGACCTAGGCACTTAACATGAGCTTTCTACTTACCTGAAGGTGAAATGACTGTGTTAGAAGACTGCATCCTGGAGCACTGAAATGCAGAAGAGAATAGATGGACATGAGCAGAGTGCTAATTACGGCCAGCATTGACATACATAGAATGCCACAACTAGTGCCTTCTGAGTCAGGACTCATGCTCTCCTAAATAAGAGCACCTGGACCTCGGAGGATTCCTCATACAGGGAACGACTACTAGGTGAATGAGGGCCTGTGCACTGGCCCAGGAGAATGGCCTGAGTAGATTAGGCCCCCATTTATCCCCTGTCCTTTATCCTGGGCCAGAGTATAATCCTATTGAGCATGATTGTTATGTCATAACCTCTCTTCATGACATTGGTTTGTCATCATAGACCCGCGTACTCAGAAGGCATAGCTATACCTGATAGTGGGACACATACTGTGCTGCTTACATGGATGACAAACACCATCTAGAAGGTAAGATTTGGTGAGCTTCAGAAAAATGGTCAGCCAGCATTAGGTTCCTGCAAAGGATCAAGCAGAATCAGTTTTATTAGTCAAGGAAAATTTAGAGTCCTCACATGTCATGTCAGATTCAGAGGATTTGAAATGCCCAGCTTCTGAACACCCAAACTCTCTAAACAACAGTTGGTTTCAATTGTTTATCAAAGTCGTGGTATAGATAATGAAAATTTTAATGCTTTTACCTGTTCGCTACCCGTATACCAGTTTAACACTTCAACTGTTTCACACACCTCACTGCCTGTATTCAAAGCATTAGCTGACTCATCATTTAGAAAGCATATAATTCGTCTGCTGAAAACATATTACCTTCTGATCAGGCAATGTTTCTTACAAATTCCAAGTTCATTCTTGTCAAATTCTTTGCAAAGCTGCAACCCATTTGACTCTGACATCATTGCCTAATCACCATTGTCAGATGAGTACCCTCAAGTTTCTATATTTGTGAACCACCACCTGCTAGGATAACTCCACCTGTACTCTTGGCCCTTTTCTTATGACATATGGAAGGGAAGCCTTTGCAGCTTTGGATGTCATTCATGTCTTTGAAATTCCTTGCCAGTGATATGTGGTTAGTGTGTCTCTAAATAGTGATGAGCCTGTTCATCTAGGCAAAGAGGGGAATGCCTGGCCAGGTGCACCCTGTTGAATTGCTTCAATTAGGCTGATGTCTGCATGCCAGGACAAGTTCACTAATGCTCAGAAAATTAAATTGTATCTTTGTTTGTCTAACTTATATTTACCTGTTTGCACTAGATTACTGTGCGTGTCTGTCTGCATCATGAGCCCCAGAAAAGTAACAGTGATCTCTGTGCTGTTTAGTGCTTGCATATTGGACATTCTTGAGCACCGTATATACATATTTGGATCATGTCAACCTCCTGACCCAGTGAGAACATGAAGCTCTTCTCTGGATGTAGCAATTGGTATGGCAGGTAAATATACATCCCATAGCTGGTATTTGAAGGTCACAATCACCTATCACTGAGCTATGCAAGAAAAAGTTCCTGAAAGTACTGACCCAATCCTTATGTCCTACCTCTGAGAACAGTCACTGCTCTGTTTCCCAGTACCTCCTAATTAGAATTCTACAAGATAAGGCAGTTTGAATTAACACCCTTTTATAATGTTGTTAGGCCTAGGGGATTCCCAAAAGGAAGAGCGAGCCCAAGTTGTATGCCTTTAATGTCACTGCATTCCCAGTAGGTCATGCTTTCTAAGGTTTGAATGCAGATTTCCAAAAGAGACCCAGGAACTTAACATGAATTTTCAACTTACCTGAATGTGAAATGACTGAGGGATAATTCTGCATCCTGGATCACTAAAATGCAGAAGAGAAGAGATGGAAATGAGCAGACTGCTGATTCGGGCCAGCATTGATATACATAGATTGCCCCAACAATTGCCTTATTAGGCAGGCTCAGTGCTCTCATACAGCACCTGGACTTCACAGGATTCCCCAGAGAGGGAAACATGCCTTGTTGAAAGAGGTTCTGTGTACTGGCCTATGAAAATGGCCAGAGGAAACAAGGCCCCCATTTCTCCCTGTCCTTTATTGTGGGCTTCAGCATAATCACATTGAATATGATTTTTATGTCATCACCTGTCTTCATGACATTGGTTTGTCATCAAAACCGGGTCCTCAGAAGGCATAGCTATACTGGATTGTGGGACACAAATAGTGCTGTTTACTAGGATGACAAATACCATGTAGGATCTAGGTTTCGGTGATCATCAGACAAATGGTCTGGGGGCATTAGGCTCCTGCAAGCGATCAAGTGGAATCAATTCTCTTATTCAAGGAAAATTTTCCATCACCATAGTATCATGTCAGTGTCAGAGCAATTGTAATGACCTGTTTCTGAACGTCCAAACTCTTGAGCAAGATATTGGGGGCATTTGATAATCAAAGCAGTGGGATAGATCATGAAAAATTAAAACAATGATTACCTGTTTGCCACCCCTAGACAAGTTTAACCCTTCACTTGTTTCACTCTCATCCACACTGCCTGCATTCATAGCATCAGCTCACTGACCATGGGGAAGGCATGTAGTATGTCTGGTGAAAATTTTTAGCTGTTGATCATGTACAGTGTCATAAAAGTTCCAGCCTGTCATTTGCAGTTCTTTGCACAGCGCTATCCCATTTCCCTCTGAAATCACTGACTAATCAGTATAGTAAGATGGTTATACTCAAAGTTCATAATTGTGCAAGCACAGCCTGCTTAGGATGCCTACACACATTCTATTGACACATTCCTTATCACATGAGCAAAGGAAGCCTTTGAAGCATGGGATGTCATTCATGTGGTTGAAATTCCATGCCACTGATGTGTGGTGAGTGGGTCTCCACATTATGATGACTCTATGAATCTAGGCAAAGAACAGAATGCCTGGCCAGATGCACCTTGCCTAGTTGCCTCATTTGGCCTGATGCCTGCAAGGCAGGGCAAGTTCACTAAAGTTAATGAAAGGAAAATATATCTGAGTTTGCCTAACTGATATGTTCATTAGTGCACTAGAACACTGAGAGTCTCCTTCTGCCTTATGTAACCTAGAGAATTAATCAAGTGATCTCCCTGCAGTTGAGGGTTGTAAACTGGACATTCTTAAGTACCCTATTTGCAAGTTTGGAGCATGTCACCCTCCTAACACAGTGAGAACATGAAGCTCTTTCTCGGCAGTAACAATCAGCAAGGGAGGTAGAAAGTTACTGCAAGGCAGGGATTTCAAGATCACATTCAGCTATCACTGAGCTGTGCAAGGGACAGTGCCTGAATGTCCTGATCCAATTCTTGTGTCCCACCTCCCTGAACAGTCACTCCTCTGTTTCCTAGTATCTACTACTTGGAGTTCCACAAAACAAGGCAATTTCGATCAACAGTCTATTTTTATGGGCTTAGTCCTAGGGAATTCCCAATAGGTAGGGAGAGCACAAGTTCATTGCCTTAACTGTTACTGCTTTCATAGAATTTCATGATTTCTAATGTTTGAAGGCAGAGATCAAAAAGATATAAGGCTCTAACCTGATCTTTCCACTTACCTGAAAGTGAAATTACTGGGGCACAATGTCTGCATCCTGGATAACTTAAATGCAGAAGAAAAGAGATGGACATGAGCAGAGTGCTTATTCCTTTCAGCATTGACATACCTAGTTTTTTCCCAACAAGTGCCTTCTGAGGAAGGATCATTGCTTTCCTAAAGAATGGAACAAGACCTCACAGGATTCCCCACAAAGGGAAACAATGCTGGGTGAATGAGTGCTTGTGCAATTGCCAATATAATGACCTGAGGAGACTATGCCCACATTTCTTCCATGTCTTTTTACCCTGGGAATCAGTTTAATGTTATTGAGTATGATTTTTGTGTCATCACCTATATTAGAGACATTCATTTGTCACCATATTCCCGGGACCTCAGAAGGCATAGCTATACCTGATAGCGGGAAACAAACAGTGCTGCTTTCAGGATGAAAAAGACCATCTAGATATTAGGTCTCTGCTAGCTTCGGAAAATGGTCAGCCGGCATTAGGCTCATGCAAGGGATCAAGCAGAATCAGTTTCCTTTTTTTCACATTGTCTCTCATTTTCATCTCTCTCTCTCTCTATCATGTTTGTTTCCCCCATTTTGGTCTCATTATGATAAACTATGTCTAATTTGCTCTCCATGGGTTTTGCTCTATCCATTGTGCCGGGCCTTATTTCCTAATTATCAACAATGAATAGTTGGCTAGGTTTCCAGTTCCAGGGATGAATTCATTCCTATTAATCAGGTCCTCAGTCCAATCTCACACCTCTTGGATTAACCCTAAGATATAAATGCTGCTATTATATGCATGTAGACATGCTGTTCCTTATGATGTGTAGGTGTCACAGATGCCTAATACTATTGAATGCTTTTCTCCCTTGGAAGCTTGTATAGCACCCTATGGTACTGTGCAAGCTCATCCTCAGGGAGGAAGAATCCAGGTCAGCTGCAGCTCTATTATTCCTCCATGTCCTGTGTCTGAATTGTATGGCATCTTCACTGAGACTTACTTTTATGTTCTGGGAAGCAACCAATGGCAACAGCAATAGCCTGAGATTTGGAAACTATATGTCTAATATAAGGACTTTGATAGGATGATGGGATATTCTGAAGGCCACTAAGGAAGAATCTATTCTGTATCTCTCTCCTTAACTTGTTAATATCTGATTCCTACCTATACAATCACATTGTATTCCATCTGTACATATCTGCATCCAAATTTCCCTCTATATAAAAATCAAGTCAACCTGGTTTGGAACACACTGTAGTGGTATTATTTAAATTTTAGAGCTAGTATGACGCTGGGACTTCCACATATGAACTTGAGGGTGGGGAGAGGCAAATAATTTGATATGAAGAATAACCTCTGAATATAAGCTTTTAATTTTGATGAAATTCAATGTTGTTCTTGTCATTTGAATTTTTAGGTTCAGATTTAAGGCATCATTGCTAACTCAATAGCCATGAAATTTACCCCTACATATTCTTCTAAGAGTTTTTTCCTCTTTTTTATTTTTCATTATTTATTTTTAAATTTAAATTTAAGTTAGAAACAAGGTTGCTTCATGTGTCAATTCCAGGTCCCACTCCATTTACCTCCCCTCCTCCCCTGCCCTCCCACCAGTCCCCCCAATATCCCCTCATTTTCACAAGGAGGTTGATGCCATCATTGGGGGTGTCAATAATCTGTCATTTCATCCATGGCAGGGCCTAGGCCATCCCCCAAAAGATCAGGGTGAGAGTGCATCTCCCATTGTTGGATGGGAGTCCAGTGTCCATTTGTATAACCAGAATAAATACTGATCTACTGCCCAAGGCTCAGTAGATTCCCTAGACCTCCTCACTGACACCCACATTAAGGGATTCTTGATAAGACCCATGCTGGATTCCCAGGCTGATGCCTGGGATTCAAGAGTTAACCTTTGTCAGGTCAGCTGTTTCTGGGGGTTAAACCAGCCCAGTCTTAATCCCTTTGGTCATAAGTCCTCCCTCACTGTTACTGGCTTTCTTGAGTTCAGCTCAGTGCTGAGCCATGGGAGTCTGCCTCTGCCTTCATCAGCCACTAAATGAAGGTTCTGTTTCTCTGACTCTCCAGCCATGGGATTTTAGGATGGCACTCACCAGATCTATGTCTAAAATCCATATATGAGAGAATACATGCCATGTTTCTTTTTGTGTCTGGGTTACCTCACTCAGGATGGTTTCTTCTAGTGTCATCCATTTGCCTGCGAATGTCATGATTCCTTTTTTTTCTGCTGAATATTACTCCATTGTGTAAATGTACCACATTTTCTCTATCCACTCTTCAGTTGACGGGCATCTAGGTTGTTTCCAAGTTCTGGCTATTACAAATAATGCTGCTATGAACATAGTGGAACAGACATTCTTGTTGTATGAATGGGCATCATTTGGATATATGCCTAAGAGTGGAGTTGCTGTGTCTTGTGGTAGGTTTATTCCAATTTTTCTGAGGAATCTCCACACTGATTTCGAAAGTGGCTGAACAAGTTGGCACTCCCACCAGCAATGGAGGAGTGTTCCCCTTTTACCTCATCCTCTCCAGCATAAAATGTCGTTGGTGTTTTTGATTTTAGCCATTCTGATAGGAGTGAGATGGTATCTAAGAGTTGTCTTGATATGCATTTCCCGGATGGCTAAAGATGTTGAGCACTTTCTCAAGTGCCTCTTAGCCATTTTGGACTCCTCTATTGAAAATTCTCTATGTGGTTCTGCAGCCCACTTTTTAATTGGATCCTTTGGTGATTTGGAGACTTGCTTCTTGAGTTCTCTGTAAATTTTGGAGACCAACCCTCTGTCAGATGTGGTGCTAGTGAATATTTTTTCCCATTCTGTGTGTTGCCTTTTTGTCTTGCTGACTGTGTCCTTTGCCTTACAGAAGCTTCTCAGTTTCAGGAGGTCCGATCTATTCAATTTGCATATCAATGTCTGTGATACTGGTGTTAAGTTCAGGAAGCTGTGTCCTGTACCAATTCGTTCAAGGGTACCAACTACTTACTCTGCTAAGAGGGTCCGTGTGGCTGAGTTTATGTTGAGGTCTTTGATCCATTTGGACTTAAGTTTTGTGCATGGAGATAGACATGGATCGATCCACAGTCTTCTACATGCCAGCCTCCAGATATGCCAGCACCATTTATTGATGATGCTTTCTTTATTCCATTGTATATTTTTAGCTTCTTTGTCAAAGATACGTGTGTGGGTGAATATCAGGGTTTTAAATTTGATTCCATTGGTCTACCTGTCTATTTTTGTGCCAATACCAAGCTGTTTTCAGGACTATATCTCTATAATATAGCTTGAAGTAAGGTATGGTGATGCCTCCAGACATTGCCTTGTTGAACAGGGTTGTTTTGGCTATCCTGGGTCTTTTGTTTTTCCATCCAAAATTGACTATTGTTATTTCAAGGTATTTGAAGAATTGTGCTGGTATTTTAATGGGGATTGCATTGAATCTGTAGATTGCTTTTAGCAGGACTGCCATTTTTACTACATTGATCCTACCTATCCAAAAGCATGGGAAATCTTTCCATTTTCTGATGTGTTCTTTAATGTCTTTCTTTAAAGATTCAAAGTTCTTCTGATACAGGTCTTTCCCTTGTTTGGTTAGCGTTACTCCAAGATATTTTATGTAGTTTGTGGCAATTGTAAATGGCAATGTTTCTCTGATTTCTTTCTCAGACCTTTTATCATCTGCATATCGTAGGGCTACTGATTTCCTTGAATGGATCTTGTAGCCTACCACATTGCTGAAGGTGTTATTCAGCTGTAAGAGTTCCCTGGTAGAGCTCTTTGGGTCATTTATGTAAACTATCATATCATCTGCAAATAGTGAAAGTTTTACTTATTCCTTTCCAATTAGTATCCCCTTGATCTCCTTTTGTTGTCATATGGCTCTGACTAGAAATTCAAGTACAATGTTGAAAAGGTATGGAGAGAGTGGATAGCTTTGTCTTGTTCCTTATTTCAGAGGAATTGCATTGAGTTCCTGTCCATTTATTTTGATTTTGGCAGTTTGTTTGCTGTACATAGCTTTCATTATGAATAGGTATGATACTGTTATCCCAGATCTCTCCAAAACCTTTATCATGAAGGGGTGTTGGATTTTTTAAAGGCTTTTTCTGCATCTAGTGAGATGATCATATTATTTTTGTTTTTCAGTTTCTTTATATGGTGGATTGCATTGGTGGATTTTCGTATGTTGAACCATCCCTGCATCCCTGGGATGAGACCTACATTTTCGTGGTGAATGATTGTCTTGTTGTGTTCTGGGATCCAATTTTCCACTATTTAATTGAGGATTTTTGCATCAACGTTCATGAGGGATATTGGTCTGAAGTTCTCTTCCTTAGTTGTGTCTTGTTGTGGCTTGGGGATCAAGGCAATTGAAGCCTCATAGAAAAAGTTTGGCAAAGACCTTTATGCTTCTATTGCGTGGAATGCTTTGAGAAAAATTGGTATAAGCTGTTCTTTCAATTTCTGGTAAAATTCTGCACTGAGGCCATCTGGACCTGGGCATTTTTTGTTGGGAGACTTTTGTTGACTGCTTCGATTTCCATAGGTGTTATAGGTCTATTTATATTGCTTATCTGTTCTTGATTTAATTTTGGCAAGTGATAGCTATCCAGGAAGTAGTCCATTTCCTTTAAAATTTAGAAATTTGTGGAGTACAGGTTTTCAAAGTATGACGTGGTGAGTCTCTGAATTTCCCCAAAGTCCGTTTTTTCCATGTTCACACACTGCTATTTGGTAAGCTTGGACAAAGTTTTGGCCTTCTTGTTGATTTTCTCAAAGAACCAACTCGTCCTTGCATTGATTCTTTGTATTGTTTTCCTAGTTTCTACTATATTGATTTTAGACCTCAATTTGATTATTTCATGGCATCTACTCCTCCTGTGAGAATTTGCTTCTTTGTGTTCTAGAGCTTTCTGCTGTGCAGTTAATTCTCTAGTATAACTAATCTCCAGTTTCTTCATGTGGGTACTAAGCGCTATGAAATTCCCCCATATCACTGCTTTGAAAGTGTCCCATAAGTTTAGGTGTGTTGGGTCCTCATTCTCAATGAATTCTAGGAATTCTTTAATTTCTCTCTTTCTTTCTCTCTTTCTTTCTTTCTTTCTTTCTTTCTTTCTTTCTTTCTTTATTCCTTCCTTCCTTCCTTCCTTCCTTCCTTCCTTTCTTTCTTTCTTTCTTTCTTTCTTTCTTTCTTTCTTTCTTTCTTTCTTTCTTCTTTGACCCAGGAATTATGCAGTTGTGCATTATTCAATTTCCCTGATTTCTGCAATCTGTGTTATTGTTGAATTCTAATTTTAACGCATGGTGGTCTGATAAGATGCGTGGAGTTATTCCAATTTTTTTGTAGATGCAGAAATTTGATATGTTGCCAAGTATGTAGTTGATTTTTGAGATGCTTCCATGTGGTGGTGAGAAAAATGTGTATTATTTTTTATGTGGCTGGTATGTTCAATAGATGTCTGTTAATCCCAATTGGCTCATTACTTCTATTAGTCCCTTTGATTCTTTGTTGAGTTTCTGTCTTGTATTCCTGTCTAATGGTGAGTGTGGGGTGTTGAAGTCTCCCACTATAAGTGTGTGGGGCTTTATATGAGATATACATTTTATGAATGTTTCTTTTACGAATGTGGATGCCTTTGTATTTGGGGCATAGATGTTCAGAATTGAAACTTCATCTTGGTGGATTTCACCTGTGAAGAGTATGTAATGATCTCCTTCATATTTTTTGGTTGATTTCATTGTATTGTCTAATTTGTTAGATTTAGGATTGTTGCTGTGCTTGTTTCTTGGGTCCATTTGATTTGAAAATCTTTTCCCAACCTTTAACTCTCAGGTAATGTCTATCTTTGAGGGTGAGGTGTGTTTCCTATATTCAGCAGAAGGATGGGTTCTGTGCTCGAGTCCATTCTGTTAGCCTGTGTCTTTTTGTGAGAGAGTTAAGGCCATTAATGTTGAGGAATATTAATGACCATTGATGGCTCATTCTCCCTTGATTCTTAATGGTTGTTATTTGTGGAATTATGTGTGGAATTCCACACCCTTCTTCTTTGGCTTTTGGTGAAGTGGGATTATCTAATGCCTATGTTTTTCTGGTTGTACATAACTTCCTTGTGTTGGAGTTTTTCTTCCAGAACTTTCTGTAGGGCTGGGTTAGTGGATACATATTGCTTGAATATATTTTCATCATGGAATATCTTGTTTTCTCTATATATAGTGACTGAGAGCTTTGCCAGTAATGGTAGTCTGGGCTGGCATGCATGGTCTCTTTGTGTTGGTAGAATATCTATCTAGAACCTTCTCGCTTTCAGAGTTTCTGTGGAGAAGACAGGTGTAATTTTGATAGGTTTGATTTATATGTTACTAACACTTTTCCCTTAGCTGCTCTTAATATTCATTCTTTATTTTGTATATATGGCTTCTTGATTATTATGTGGAGAGGGGAATTTTTTGTTATCCACTCTATTTGGTGTTCTGTAAGCTTCTTGTACCTTCATTGGCTTGTCTTTCTTTAGTTGGGAAACTTTTCTTCTATGATTTTGTTGAGTATGTTTTCTGCCCCTTTGAGGTGGTTTTCTTCACCTTCACCTATACCTATTATCCTTAGGTTTGGTCTTTTCACGGTGTCCCATATTTCCTGGATGTTTTGTGTTAGTGATTTATTGGGCTTAAGATTTTCTTTGGTCGTTGAATCTAATTCTCCTAGTGTATATTCAACACCTGAGATTCTCTCTACTATCTTTTGTATTCTGTTGGTAATGTTTGTATCCGTAGTTCCTGACCATTTGCCCAGCTTTTCTATTTCCAGCCTTTCTTATGATTGTGTTTTTTATTGTCTCTATTTCAGTTTTCAACACTTGCACTGTTTGAATTTTTTCTTGCAAATTTTGTTTTATCTTTTTGTCCATTTGTTGCATTTTATGAATTTTTTGGTTTGTTCTTTCTTCCATTTCTTGCATTTTTGGGGTTTTTCCTTCCACTTCTTGCATTTTTGGTTTGTTTTTCCGTTCATTTCTTTGAGTGATTTTCCTATATCCTCTTTCAGGGGCTCTATCATTTTCATGAAGTTGTTTCTAAGGTCATTCTCTTCTGCTTCATTTGCATTGGAATGTTGGATTCTTTCTGGTGTGGAGTCTCCAGAATCTGACTGTGTCATATTTTATTTTCTGTTGCTGAGTGTGTTTTTGTATTGTCTCTTTCCCATCTCTTCTTCTACTGGTCTTGTGTTTAGGGGATTGAAAGGGGACAAGTGTTCCCTTTTGGTAAGTGCTAGCAAGTCCAATATTCTGGTAGTCCTTTTATTCCTCGTGTCAGTACTGGTCCCGTGGTTGCATCAGAATACCAGGAATCTTGGGTGATTCACATCCCACCTGGTTCCCTGGTCCCTTTGGTGGAAGAGAAGACTTTGTATATGGTGTGCTCCCATCGGGATTGGAAGCTCTGTGTCCATCCCCAGTCATTGTAAGCCAAACAGGGGATGCGGGTCTTGTTTACCTGGATCTGCTGGTTTCCTGGTCTCGTTGGTGGAAAAGAAGACCTGAAATATGGGTTGCTTGGCTTCTACCAGGAAGGTAAGCTCTATGAAAGTTCCCAGGCAATCCTCAGGCACTGGAATGCATACCCGAATGCAGGGCCTGTTTTAAATTGTCCCACTGGACCAGCTGGTCCATTGGTCTTTCTGGTGCATGACTTCTGCTGGGATCCCCTCTAATTTTAATAACCATTCCATCTTTTGGATTTCATGAGAATACTTGCACCATGAGATGCTTGATATATTTATCTTCCTCCACTTCCAAATCACCATATGATTTTATCCTTATCTCCCTCATATAACCATTGACGTAATCCTGTGACATACAGTCATTATGGACTGTCTGTTTTGTCATACACCTGTTAAAAATATGTAAATTCTGCAATGTGTACACCCGTGCCATTGCTTTCATGCATGTACAAATGATACATAATGTCAACAGTAATATTAGAAACGTTTTCAGTGCCATCCTTTCAGTTTATTGTCTTCTGTCTGTATATGGTTCTATATTTTATACTACCTTTTGTAAGTGTCCTCTGAATTTCCAAAAGCTCTGTTGTAGAGAGAACCAAATAGGAAAGGGTTTTATGTAACATTTATTCTCGCTAATTTGTGTGATCATGTGCTTCCTGAGATTCTCTTTATGCTCCCATTTTGTGAAGTACAGAAAGTAGATTTCCTGAAACTCAGCATGCTCGAATTGCTTTTGGAGGAATGAGTGACCTGGATCCTGCTGAGTGCATCTGCCTACACCTTCCCCCACTCAAGGAAGAGGGGAGAGGGTCAGGGCAAGGGCAGAGGGCAGAGGAAGAGGGAAGAGGGGAGAAGGCAGAGTGCAGAGGGTAGAGGGCCGAGGGCAGAGGGCAGTGTGAGCTGTAGAACCCCTTCTTAGTCCCCACATTCTTCTGCTCATGAATGTGGGTCTGTCTTCTGGCCTACTAAATGTCCCAAGGAGAAGATTGCCCGATTTCTCACCTGGCCAATAGGCTGAGCTTTAGGGTAACCATATTGAACATGATTTCTATGTCATCAGCCCTTTTCAGGACACTAGTGTATAATCATAGAACCAGGTCCCAAGAGGGCATTACTATACCTGCCTAAACACCATAGTAGGAAGGGTACGATCAAATTTCTTAATTTCCCAAGCACTTCCCACTTAGGATGCCTACACACATTCTCTTGGCACATTCCTTATCAAATTTGCAAAGGAATTTTTGAGCTTGGGATGTCATTCATGTGGTTGAAATTCCATGCCACTGATGTGTATTGAGTGGTTCTCCTCATGATGATGAGCCTGGGCATCTAGGCAAAGAGAGGAATGCCTGGCCAGTTGCATCGTGTCAAATTGCCTCATGTGGCCTGATGCCTGCATGTCAGGACAATTTCACTAATCCTAACAAGAAAAAGATATTAAAGTTTGCCTAACTGATATGTACATTTGTGTACTAGAACACTGAGAGTCTCCCGTTGCATTATGAGCCTGAGAGGAATAATCTAGTGATATCCCTGCCATTGAGAGCTTGCATATTGGAAATTCATTGGCGTCATCTTTGCAAATTTGAAGTATATCAACTTCCTGACACAGCGAGAACATGGAGTTTTTTCCCTAGCAGAAACAATCAGCATGGGAGCTAGATAGACACCAAGTCAGGAATGTCACTGTAACATTTATATATCAGTGAGCTGTGCAAGGCACATGGCCTATACATCCTGACCCAATCCTGGTGTTCATTTCCCCAAACAGTCACTGCTCTGTGTCCCCATACCTACTATTTGGAATTCTACAAGAAAAGACAGTTTGAAATACAATCCTTTCCTCATAGGAATAGGCATAGGGGATTCCAAAAGGAAGGGAGAGCACATGTTCTGTGCTACTAGTGTCACTGGATTCCTAGAAGATCATGCCAGGTAATATTTGTAGGTAGATATCCAAAAGAGACCTAGGCTCTTAAGCTGGTCTTTCCACTTACCTTAAGGTGAAATGACCGGGGCACCATGTCTACATCCTAGATCACTGAAATGCAGAAGAGAAAAGATGGACATGGGCAAAGTGCTGTTGCCAGCCAGCATTGACATACATAGATTGCCTAAACAAGTGTCTTCTGAGGCAGGCTCATTGCTTTCCTAAAGAAGAGCACCTGGACTTCACAGGATTCCCCAGAGAAGGAAACACTACTGGGTGAATGAGGGCCTGTGTACTCATCTATGAGAACAGCCTGAGGAGTCTAGACCCCATTACTCCCAAGTCCTTTTGCCTGGCTCATTGTAATCCTATTGACCATGATTTTTCCGTCATCACCTCTTTCATGACAATGGTTTGTCATCATAGACCCGCATCCTCAGAAGACAGCTATACCTGATAATGGTACACAAACAGTGCTGCTTGCCGGGATAACAATGACCATGTCTCAGGTAGTTCTTGGCGAGCTTTGGACAACTGGTCAGCCTGCATTTGGCTCCTGCATGGGATAAAGTAGAATCGGTTCACTCAGTTAAGGAAAATTTTGGCATGCCAGAATGTCATGTCTGTGTCATTTGGTATGTAATACCCTTCTTTTGAATGCCCCAAAACAGGAGTATGATAATTGGGGGCAATTGCTAATCAAAACCGTGGAAGAGATAATGAAAATTTTTAATGGTGGTTTCCTGTTAGCCACCGCTAGCCTAGTTTAAGTCTTCACTTGTTTCAACCTTATCCACACTTCCTGCATTCATAGCATTAGCTGACAGACAATTGTGAAGGCACATTATCGGTCTGTTGAAAACATTTTAGCTTTTGATCATGCACTGAATCATAAAAGGTACAACCTGACATTTACTGTTCTTTGCACAGCGCTATTCCATTTCCCTCTGAAATCACTGCCTAGTCACCATAGAAAGAAGGGTATGTTCAAATTTCTTAATTGTGCAACCACTGCCCACTTAGGACGCCTACACACAGTCTCTTAGCACATTCCTTATCACATGAATAATGAAGTTTTTACAGCTTTTGATATCATTCATGTGGTTGAAATTCCATGTAACTGATGTGGGCTGAGTGGATCTCCACATATTGATGATCCTGAGCATCTAGGCAAAGAGGGGAATGCCTCTCCAAGTGCACCCTTTCGAATTGCCTCAGGTTGAGTGATGCATGAACGGCAGGACAATTTCTAATCCCAATGAAAGGAAAAGGTTTCTGTGTTTTACTAACTGATATAGTTACATTTGTGCACTAGTACATTTGTGCACTAGAACACTGTGAGTATCCATTTGCTTTATGAGCCCAAGAAAAGTAGTGCACAATGAGCATGCATAGAGGACATTCATGAGTGCCATGTTTGGAAGTTTGGAGTATGTCACCCTGCTGACACAGGGAGAACATGAAGCCCTTGCCCTGGCTCTAATGATCTGCATGAGAGCTAGATAGACACCCAAAGGCAGAGATTTGAAGATCACTTTCATCTATCACTGATCTGTGCAAGGGACAGGGCCTGAATGTCCTGCCTCAATCCTTATGTCACACCTCTCTGAAGAGTCACTGCTCTGTTTCACAACACCTACTACTTTGAATTTGTGAAGACAAAGATTATCTTCCTTTTCTCATGGTCTTCTGACTAGGGTATCCCAAAAGTAAGGTAAAGAAAAAGTTTTTTACTTTAAATGTCACTGGAATCCTAGAAGGTCATGCTTTCTAATGTTTGAAGGCAGAGATGCAAAAGAGATTGAGGTACTTAAACTGATCTTTCAACTTACCAGAATGTGTAAGGACAGGGGTTCCAAATCGGTATCCTTGATCATTGAAATGCAGAAGAGAAGAGACAGACATGAACAGAATTCTGATGCCTGACAGAACTGACATACATAATTGCCCCAACAAATGCCTTCTGAGGCAGGCTCAGTAGTCTCATTAAGAAGAGCACCATTCCCTCACAGGATTCCCCAAACTTGGAAACACTTCTGGGTGAATGAGGGCCTGTGCACTGGCCTATGAGAATGGCCTGAGTAGACTAGTCCCCCTTTTCTCTCCTCTCCATTAGCCTGGGTCTCAGCATAATCCTATTGAGCATGATTTTTTTGTCATCACCACTCTTCATGACTTTGGTTTGTCATCATAGACCTTGGTCCTCAGAAGGCACAGCTATACCTGATAATGGGATACAAACAGTGCTACTTACCAGGATGACAAAGACCATCTAGAAGGTAGGTCTCCATGAGCTTCGGACAAATGGTCAGCCATCATTAGACTCCTGAAAGGAATCAAGCACAATCAGTTCCCTTAGTGAAGGCACATTCTGCTTTGCAAAAAAAAATCAGGAAATTGTCAGAGGAACTGCAATGCTAAGCTTCCAGACACCCCAACACTGTAGCACAATACAATTTTTAATCAAAGTCATGAAAGAGATAATGAAAAAATTTAATGGTAGTTACCTGTTTGCTACCCCTATACATGTTTAACCCTTCTAATGTTTCACCCTCATTCTCCCTGCCTGCATTCATAGCATTAGCTGACAGATCACTGGGAAGGCATATTTTAAGTTTGGTGAAATTATTTTAGCTTCTGTTAAGTCACTGTGTCTTTCAAGGTCCAAGACCATTCATCTCCAGTTCTTTGCACAACTCTATCCCATATCCCTATGATTTCACTGCCTAATCAACATTTTAAGATGAGTACCCTCGATGTTATTTATTTCACAAGAACCACCTGTTTAATATACCTACAACAATACTCTTGGCCCATTCCTTTTCACATGTGCAATGGAAGACTTTGCAGCTTGTGATGTCACAATTCCCTCTGACATCATTGTCTAATCACGATTGTAAGAAGCTGACCCTAATGGCTTTTCTATTTCCCAAGTAATGCCTACATAGGATATCTAAACCTGTACCTTTGGCCCATTCTTTATCATATATGCAACATAAGCCTTTGTAGCTTGGCATGTCATTCATATGGTCGAAATTCCATTCCACTGATGGGTGGTGAGTGGGTCTCCTCATGGTGATGAGCCTAGGCATCTAGGCAAAGAGAGGAATGCCTGGCCAGTTGCATCCTGTCCAATTGGCTCATCTGCCCTGATGCCTGCATGGCAGGTCAAGTTCACTAATCCTAACAAAATGAAAAGTTATGTAAGTTTGCCTAACTGATATGTACATTGTGCACTAGAACACTGTAAGAATCCGTTTGCTTTATGAGCCTGAGAAAAGCAACCTAGTGAATTCCTGCTGTTGAGGGTCTGCTTAGTGGAAATACCTGAGCACCATCTTTGAACTTTTGGAGCATATCACCGTCCTGACACAGCGAGAATATGAAGTATTTGCCTTGGCAGCAACAACCAGCATGGGACCTAGATAAACCACCCCAAGCCATGAGTTTCAAGGTAACATTTACCTATCACTGACCTGTGCAAGGCACAGGGCCTGTACAACCTGATCCAATACTGGTGTCCCATTTCCCCGAACACTAACTGCTCTGTTCCCCATACATACTATTTGGAATTCTACAAGAAGTGGAAGATTGAAATACCATCCTTTTCTCATGGGAATAGGCTTATGGGATACCCAAAAGGAAGAGAGAGCACATGTTTTGTGCTGCAAATATCACTGGATTCCTGCAAGGTCATGCTTTGTAATATTTGAAGGCAGATATCCAAAAGAGACCCTGGCAGTAAAACTGATTTTCCACTTACTTGAAAGTGAAATGATTGGGGTACCAAGTCTGCATCCTGGATCACTGAAATGCAGAACAGAAGATATGGACATTAGCAGAGTGCTGATGCTGACCAGCAATGGCATACTTAGATTGCCCCAACAAGTGCCATCTGAGGCAGGACTCATGCTTTCCTTAAGAAGAACACCTGGACCTCACAGGATTCCTCAGTCAGGGAACCACTCCTTGGTGAATGGAGGCCAGTGCACTGGCCTATGAGAAAGGCCTGATGGGACTAGGCCTCCATTTATCCCCTGTCCCTTAGCCTGGGCCTCAGCGTAACCCATGATTTTTCATCATCACGTCTCTTCATGAAAGTGGTTTGTTATCATAGACCTGCATCCTCAGAATGCTTAGGCATACCTGCTAGAGGGACTCAAACAGTGCTGCTTACCAGGATGGTAAAGACATAGAAGGCAGGTATTGGCGAATTTAGCACAAATGGCAGTGGGATTTATGCTCCTGCAGTGGATTTATCAGAATCAGTTGTCTTAGTCAAGGAAAATTTTGGGGGTCCCAAAATTGCAAGTCACTGTCAGCAGAATTGAAATCCCCAGGTTTCTAATGCCCAAATTCTGGATTATGATAATTGAGGGCATTGACAATCAGTGCCTTAAAGTAGACAAGAATAAAACTTCAATTGTGGTTATGTTTGACACCCCTAGCCAAGTTTAAACCTTCAAATATTTCACCCTCATCCTCATTGGAAGCATTCATTGCCTTAGGTGACAGACCATTGGAAAGGCATATTATAGGCTTGGTGACAACATTTTACAATCTGATCATGCACTGTGTCTTTCAAGGTCCAAAACATCTCATCTGCTCTTCACAGTGCTATCGCATTTCCCTCTGACATCAATGACTACTTACCATTGTAGGATGCATAACCTCAGGTTTCTTAATTGCCCAAGCACCACATGTGTAGGATCCCTTCACCTGTTCTCTTGGCTAATTCCTTATCACATGAAGGATCGAGGCCTTTATAGATTGGGATGTCATTCACGTGTTTGAAATTTCATGCCACTTATGTGTGGTGAGTGGGTCTCCAAATGGTGATGAGCCTGTGCATCTAGGCAATAGAGGAATGCCTGGCCAGATATACACTGTCAAATTGCCTCCTGTTGCCTAATGGCTGCATGGCAGAACAAGTTCTCTACTTCTAACAAAAAGAAAAGGTATCTGAGTTTGCCTTACTTATATGTACATTAGTCCACTAGAACACTGTGAGTCACTCTCTCTCTTTTGAGCCCCAGAAAGGTAATCTAGTGATCTTCCTGAAGTCCAGGGCCTGCATACTGGACAGCCATGAGCACCATCTGTGAAAATTTGGAGCATGAAACCTTCCTGACACAGTGAGAACATGAAGCTCTTGTCCCGGCAGTAACTATCAGTATGGAAAGTATTTGAAGAATACCTTCACCTATCAATGAGCTGTGCAAGGAAAATGGCCTGAACATCTTGACCCATTCCATGTGAAACACATCTTTGAACCATCCCTGCTCAGTTACCAAATACCTACTACGTGGAATTCTAAAAGACAAGGCAGGTTGAATTAGGCCAAGGGATTCCAATAAGGAAGGAAGAGCCCAAGTTCTATGGCTTAAAAATCACTAGATTCATAGAAGGTAATGTTTTCTAATGTTTGAAGGCAGACATCTACAACAGACCTTGGCACTTAACATGAAATTTCCACTTACCTGAAGCTGAAATGACTGAGCTAGAAGACTGCATCGTGGACAACTGAAATGTAGAAAAGAAGTGATGGAAATGAGGACAGTGCTGATGCCGGCCAGCATTGATGTACAAAGATTGCCCCAACTAGTGTCTTCTGAGGCAGGACTCATGCTCTCCTAAAGAGGAGCACCTGGAGCTCACAGGATTGCTCAGACATGGAACCACTCCTGGGTCAATGACGGCCTGTGCATGCCTATGAGAATGGCCTAAGTAGACCAGGCCCCCATTTCTCCCCTGACCTTTTGCCTGGGCCTCAGAGTAATCCTATTGAGCATGATTATTATGTCATCACCTCTCTTCTTGACATTGTTTTGTCATCATAGACCCACATACTCAAAAGGCATAGCTATACCCTAATAAAGGGACACAAAAATTGCTGCTTACCAGGATGACAAAGACCATCTAGAATGTAAGTCTCGGCTAGCTTCAGAAAATTGTCAGCCGGCATTAGGTTCCTGCAAGGGTAAAGCAGAATCAGTTCTCTTAGTCCTGGAAAATTTAGCATCACCAAAATGTCATGTCATTGTAAGAGAAATTGAAATGCCCAGCTTTGGAATACCCAAACTCTCTACATGATAGTTGGAGGCTATTTTTAATCAAAGTCGTGGAAGTGATAATGAAAAATTATAATGCTTGTTACCTGTTTGGTACCTGAAATCAAGTTTATCTCTTCAAAAATTTCACCCTCATCCTCACTGCCTGCATTCATAGCATTAGATGATAGACCATTTAGAAGGTGTATTATAGGTATGCTGAAAACATTTTACCTTCTGATCAGGCAAAGTTTCCTACAAAGTCCAAGACCATTCATGTGCAGTTCTTTGCAAATCTATTTCCCATTTCACTCTGACATCTCTGCCTAATCACCATTGTCAAATGCATACCCACAGGTTCTTTATTGGCTTAAAACTGCCTGCTAGGACACCTACACCTGTACTCCTGGCCCATTTCTTATGACATATTCAACGGAAGCCTTTGTAGCTTGGGATGTTATTCATTTGTTTGAATTTCCTTGCCACTGCTGTGTGGTGAGTGTGCCTCTACATATTGATGAGCCTTTTCATCTAAGCAAAGAGGGTAATGCCAGTCCAGATCACCATATCTAATTGCCACAAATAGGCTGAAGCATGAATGTCAGGATATGTTCACTAATCCTAAGGAAAAGGAAAAGGTATCTGTGTTTGTTTAACTGATATGTACATTTGTGCATTAGATTACTGTGCTTGGCTGTCTGCCTCATGAGCTCCAGAAAAGTAACATAGTGATCTCACTGCAATATAGGGTATGCATAGTGGACATTCTTGAACACCATCTACACAAGTTTGGAGCATGTCACACTCCTGGCCCAGCGAGAAAATGAAGCTCTTGCCCCAGCTGAAACAATCAGTATGTGAGTTAGATAGATACCCCATGGCAGGGATTTGAAGATCAAATTCACCTATCAATGAGCTATGCTAGGAAAAGTTCCTGTATGTCCTGACCCAAACATTGTGTCCAACCTCCACAAACAGTCACTGCTCTGTTTCACAGTACCTACTACTTGGAATTCTACAAGATATGGCAGTCTGAATTACCAAACTTTTCTCATAGTGTTAGGCCTAGCAGATTTTCAAAAGGAAGGGAGAGCCCAAGTTGTATGCCTTAAATGTCACTGCATTCTTAGAAGATAATGCTTTCTAATGTTTGAAGGCAGATATTCAAAAGAGTCCTAGGTACTTAACATGAACTTTCCACTTACCTGAAGGTGAAATGACTGTGTTAGAAGACTGCATCCTCAATCACTGAAATGCAGAACAGAAGAGATGGGCATGGACAGACATACATAGATTGCCCCAACTAGTGCATTCTGAGGCAGGACTCATGCTCTCCAAAAGAAGAGCACTTGGACCTCACAGGATTCCTCAGACAGGGAACCACTCCTGGGTGAATGAGGGTCTGTGCATGCCTATGAGAATGGCCTAAGTAGACCAGGCCCCCATTTCTCCCCTGACCTTTTGCTGGGCCTCAGAGTAATCCTATTGAGCTTGATTTTTATGTCATCACCTCTCTTCATGACATTGGTGTGTCATCATAGACCCGCGTGCTCAGTAGGAACAGCTATACTGTTAGTGGGACAGAAACAGTGCTGCTTACCAGGACGACAAAGACCATCTAGAAGGTAAGTCTTGGTGAGCTTCAGACAAATGGTCAGCCGGCATTAGGCTACTGCAATGGATCAAGCAGAATCAGTTGTCTTAGTCAAGGAAAATTTAGCATCCCCAAAATATAATGTCAGTGTCAGAGATTTGAAATTTCCACCTTTGGAACACCCAAACCCTCTACATGATAGTTGGGGGCAATTTTAAATCAAACTTGTGGAAGAAATAATGAGAAATTTTAATGCTCCCTGTAGAAAAGTTTAACCTTTCAAATGTTTCAACTTCATCCTCAATTCCTGAATTCATAGCATTAGCTGAAAGACCATTTAGAACACATATTATAGGTCTCCTTTTTAGCTTCCTTTTTATCATTTTTTATTTTAACTTTAAATAGATTGTTTTACATGTCAATCCCAGTTCCCTCTCCCACCCCTCCTCCCGCACTACCCTTCCCACCCACCCTCCCACCCTATTGCCAAATCCTTCCACATAGGGGATATCTAGAGTCTGCCATTTCACTCTGGGTAGAGTCTAGGCACTCCCCTAAGAGTCCAGGCTGAGAGAGCATCCCTCTTTGTGCTATAAGCACACGATGACTGTTTGTATTCCAGGGATAGACACTGATCCACAGCTCAGGGCCCCATAGGTTTCCCAGGCCTTCTCGCTGACACTCACATTTGGGGGTTCCAGACAAGTCCCATGCTGGCCTCCCCACTGTCGGTCTGGGGTCCAAGAGCTCTCCCCTGTTCAGATCAGCTGTCTCTGCTGGTTTTGCCAGCCCATTCTTTGCCAATTTGCTCATCACTCCTCTCTCTCTGTCACTGGGTTCCTTGGGTTCAGTTCAGTGATTAATTGTGTGTTTGCCTCTGCTTCCATCAGTCACAGGATGAAGGCTCCCAGATGGTTGTAGACATCAAGTTCATTATCAGGAATGGGCATTCGAGGTGGTCTCTCCACTATTGCTTAGCTTGCCAATTGGTGTTATCCCTTTAGATCACTCGAGGTCACTCTGGTGCCTGATATGTCTTCTATCCTAGATTCCCTCTTCCCCCTCTTCTACCCCCACCCCCTCAACTTCCTGTTCCCCCATGACCAACTCTCTTCCTCTTCAACCCCTCTTTTCTTCCCAACTCCCACTCCCCACCCACCCCTTGCCGTGTTCCCCATCCATTCAGAGGATCTTGTCTCAATCCTCTTCTCTTGGGTTCTATGAATATTTGCATATCCTTTAGGTTCTTTCCTGTTTCCCAGACTCTATCAGTGGAAGTGCAGACTGGCACTATCCTGATCCATGTCTAAAACCCATATATGAGTGAGTACATACCATGTTTGTCTTTTTGCGCCTGGGTTACCTCACTCAGGATGGTTTCTTCCAGTGCTATCCATTTCCCTGCGAATTTCAAGATTCCATTGTTTTTTTCTGCTGAGTAATACTCCATTGTGTAAATGTACCACATTTTCTCTATCCACTCTTCAGTTGAGGGGCATCTAGGTTGCTTCCATGTTCTGGCTATTACCAATAATGCTGCTATGAACATAGTGGAGCAGATGCCCTTGTTGTATGAATTTGTCTCATTTGGACATATGCCTAAGAGTGGAATTGCTTGGTCTAGTAGTAGATTTATTCCTATTTTCTTGAGGAATCTCCATACTGATTTTCAAAGAGGCTGTATGAGTTGGCACTCCCACCAGCAGTGGAGGAGTTCCTCTCTCTCCACATCCTCTCCAGCATAAACTGTCTTCTGTGTTTTTTTATTTTAGCCATTCTGACAGGAGTAAGATGGTATCTCAGAGTTGTTTTGATTTGCATTTCTCTGAAGGCTAAGGATGTTGAGCACTTTCTTAAGTGTCTCTTGGCCATTTTAGCCTCCTCTATTGAGAATTCTCTATTTAGTTCTGTACCCCACCTTTTAATTGGATCCTTTGGTGTTTTGGAGACTTGTTTCTTGAGTTCTTTGAAAATTTTGGAGATTAGCCCTCTGTCAGATGTGGGGTTATTGAATATCTTTTCCCATTCTGTGGCCTGCCTTTTGTCTTTTTGACTGTGTCCTTTGCCTTACAGAAGCTTTTTAGTTTCAGAAGGTCCCATTTGTTAATTGTTGATCTCAGTGCCTGTGCCACTGGTGTTGTGTTTAGTAAGTGGCCTCCTGTACCAACTCGTTGAAGAGTATCTCCCACTTTCTCTTCTAAAAGTTTCAGTGTGGCTGGATTTATGTTGAGATCTCTGATCCATTTGGACTTAAGTTTTGTACAAGGCGATAAACATGGATCTATCTGCAGTCTTCTGCATACCAGTACCCAGTTATGCCAGCACCATTTGTTGAAGATACTTTCTTTTTTCCATTGTACAGTTTTAGCTTCTTTGTCAAAAATCAAGTGTTCATAGGTGTGTGGGTTAAAATTAGGGCTTTCGATTCGGTTCCATTGGTCTACGTGCCTAATTTTGTGCCAATACCAAGCTGTTTTTAGGACTATAGCTCTATAATAGAGTTTGAAGTCAGGTATGGTGATGCCTCCTGAAGGTCCTTTATTGTATAGGGTTGTTTTGGCTTTCCTGGGCCTTTTGTTTTTCCATATAAAGTTGATTAATGTTCTTTCTAGGTCCTTGAAGATTGTGATGGAATTTTGATAGGTAGTGCATTGAATTTGTAGACTGCTTTTGGCAAGATTGCCATTTTTATTATGTTGATCCTACCAATCAAAGAGAATGGGAGATCATTCCATTTTCTGGTATCTTCTTTGATTTCTTTCTTTAAAGACACAAAGTTCTTGATATACAGGTCTTTCATTTCCTTGGTTAACATTATCCCCAGATATTTGAGGCTGTTTTTTCCTATTGTTAAGGGTGATGTTGCTCTGATTTCTTTCTCAGTCACTTCATCATCTGTATATAATAGGGCCACTGATTTTTTTGAGTTTACCTTGTATCCTGCCACATTGCTGAAGGTGTTTATCAGCTTTAGCAGTAACGTTGCGGAGTTTTTTGTGTCACTTATGTAAACTATCATATCATCTGCAAATAGTGAAAGTTTGAATTCTTCTTTTCCTATTTGTATCCCCTTTATCTCCTTTTGTTGTGTTATTGCTGTAGCTAGAACTTCAAGTACAATATTGAAGACATAGGGAGAGAGTAGACAGCCTTGTCTTGTTCCTGGTTTTAGAGGAATTGCTTTGAGTTTCTCTCCATTTAGTTTGATGTTAGCTGTTGGTTTACTGTATATTGCTTTTATTATATTCAGGTACGTTCCTGTTATCCCTGATCTCTCTAGGACCTTTATCATGAAGGGGTGCTGGATTTTGTCAACGGATTTTTCAGCATCTAGTGAGATGATCATGTGGTTTTTCTTTCGCAGTTTGTTAATATGGTGGATTACATTGATAGATTTTCTAATGTTGAACCATCCCTGCATTCCTGGAATGAAGCCTACTTGATCATGGTGGATGAGTTTTCTGAAGGTTCCATGTGGTGCCGAGAAGAAGGTATATCCCTTTGTATTTGGGTGGAATGTTCTATAGATGTCTGTTAAACCCAGTTGGGTCATAACTTCTATTAGTTCTTTTTTTTCTTTGTTAAGTTTCTGTCTGGAGGTCCTGTCTAGCAGTGGGAGCGAAGTGTTGAAGTCTCCTACTATTAGTGTGTGAGATTTTATGTGCATTTTGAGCTTTAGTAATGTTTCTTTTACGACTGTAAGTGCCTTTGTATTTGGGGCATAGATGTTTAAAATTGAGACTTCGTCTTGATGTATTTTTCCTTTGATGAATATGCAGTCTCCTTCTTCATCTCTGTTGATCGATTTTAATTTGATGTCTAATTTGTTAGATATTAGGATTGCTACACCTGCTTGTATCTTGGGACCGTTTGATTGGAAGATCTTTTCCCAACCCTTTACTCTGAGATAACGTCTGTCTTTGATGTTGAGATGTGTTTCTTGTATGCAGCAGAAGGAAGGGTTCTGTCTTCGCATCCATTTTGCTAGTCTGTGTCTTTTTATAGGCAAGTTGAGGCCGTTGACATTGAGGGATATTAATGACCATTGATTGGTGATACTTGTTTGTGCTTGATTTATTGTTAGTGAAGTTATTTTGTGTAGTATCTCCTCCCTTTTTCTTTTGGTGTTTTGTAAATTGTGATTATATATTGCCTGTGTCTTTGTGAATGTAGTTATCTTCCTTGGATCTAGGATTTCCTTCTAGCATTTTCTGTAGAGCTGGATTCATGGATACGTATTTTTTAAATCTGTCTTTGTCATGGAATATTTTGCTATCTCCATCTATGGTAATTGAGAGCTTTGCTGGATATAGTAGTCTGGGCTGGCATCCTTGTTCCCTTAGCGTTTGTAGGACACCTGTCCAGGATCTTCTGGCTTTCATCGTTTCCATTGAGAAGTCAGGTGTAATTCGGATAGGTCTGCCTTTGTATGTTACTCGGCCTTTTTCTTTAACTGCTCTTAATATTTTCTCTTTACTCTGTAGGTTTGATGTTTTGATTATTATATGGCGAGGTGACTTCTTTTTCTGGTCGAGCCTATTTTGTGTTCTGTAAGATTCTTTTATTTTCATAGGCATATCTTTCTTTAGGTTAGGGAAGTTTTCTTCTATGATTTTGTTTAATATGTTTTCTGTACATTTAAGTTGTATTTCTTTGCCTTCTATACCTATTAGTCTCAGGTTTGGCTTCTTTAAGGTGTCCCATATTTCTTGGATATTTTGTGTTAAGGATTTGTTGGTTTTGAGATTTTCTTTGGTTGATGACTCTATATCCTCTAATGAGTCTTCAACACCTGAGATTCTCTCTTCTATCTGTTGTATTCTATTGGTGATACTTGCATCTGTAGTTCCTGATCATTTACCCAGCTTTTCTATTTCCAGCATCCCTTCATTCTGTGTTTTCTTTATCGTTTCTATTTCAGCTTTCAATCCTTCAACTGTTTGAGTTGTTTCCTTCATTTTTTTTGGTTGTTTTTCTTGGTGCTCTTTAGATTCTTTGAGAGATTTGTTTATTTCTTGAATTTTTCCCTCATTTCATTTATTTGTTTGTTTGTTTTTTTCTTCTATTTCTTTAAGGGATTTCCTCATTTCTTCTTTGAGGGCCTCCATCATCTTCCTAAAATAATTTTTAATGTCTGTCTCCTCTTCTTCGTCTATGTAGTGCTTTACGGGTCTTGCTGGTGTTGGGTCCCTAGATTCTGGTGGGGTCATGTTGGTGTTTCTATTGCTGAGTGAGCTCTTATTCTGTCTTCTTCCCATCTCTTCTTCCAGTGGGTGGTGGTGGGGTCTTTCTGTCTCCACTTGTCTCCTTCCTTCCTGAAGCTGAAACAGGGGATGCTGACAGGGAGTTTGGGGCCTGGAAGGGCTGATGTCTTTCCTGAAGCTGGACTCGCTGTGGTTTGGGTCTTGGAAGGGCTGATGTCTTTCCTGTGTGGGCGGGTCTTCTGGATGCCAGGAGTGGCCCCGGAAGATCAAGGGGATGGGTGTTGGGCAGGGAGTCCTGCCGGAGACCTAATCTCACCTGAAGCTGGACTCGCTGGGGTTTGGGGCTTGAAAGGGCATATTTTAGCTTCTGATCAGGCACTGTGTCTTACACCTTCCAAGGCCATTCATCTCTAGTTTTTTGCACAGCTTTATCCCATTTCCCTCTGACATCACTGCCCAATCACCATTGTTGGATGGGTAGACTTAAGGTTCTTTAAAGCCCATTCAATGTGTGCATAGGATACATAAACCCATACTCTTGGCACATTTCATATCACATATGCAACTTAAATCGTTGCAGCTTGGGATGTCGTTCATGTTTTTGAAATTCCATGCCACTGTTTCGTTATGAGAAGGTCTCGACAAGGTGTTGAGCCTGTGCATCTAGGCAAAAACTGGAATGCCTGGCCAGATGCATGCTGTCAAATTTCCTCATGTTACCTGATGCCTGCATGGCAGGAAAGTTCACTAATCCTAATGAAAGGAAGGATATTTGAGTTTCCCTAACTGATAAGTACATTTGTGCACTAGGCCACTGTGGGTCTATGTCTGCCTTATAAGCCACAGAGAAGTAACCAATTTTTCTCCTTGCAGTTGTGGGCCAGCAAGGAGGATATTATTAAGTGCCATCTTTGCAAGTTTGGAGCATGTGAAACTCCCGACACAGCAAGAACATGAAGCTCTGGCCCCAGCAATAACATACAGTTAGGAGTTCAATAGACACCCCAAGCAGGGATTTCAAGAATACAATCACCTATCATTGACCTATGAAAAGAAAATTTCCTGAACGTCCTGACCCAATACTTGTGTCCCACCTCCAAGAACAGTCACTACTCTGTTTCCCAGTACCTCCTACTTGGAATTCTACAAGATAAGGCAGTTTGAATCACCACCCTTTTCTAATGGTTTTAGGCCTAGGGGATTCCCAAAAGGAAGGAAGAGCCCAATTTGTATGCCTTAAATATCAATGCATTCCTAGAAGATCATGCTTTCTGTTGTTTGAACGCAGATCCCCAAAAGAGACCTAGGCACTTAACATGAACTTTCCACTTACCTGAATGTGAAATGACTGGGATATAGGTCTGCATCCTTTATACTGAATAGCACCTGGACTTCACAGGATTCCCCAGAGAGGGAAACACGTCTTGTTGAAAGAGGTTCTGTGTACTGGCCTATGAGAATGGCCTGTATAGACTAGGCCCCCATTTCTCCACTATCGTTTATTCTGGGCTTCAGCATAATCATATTGAATATGATTTTTATGTAATCACCTATCTTTGTGACATTGGTTTGTCATCAAATCTGGGTCCTCAGAAGGCATAGGTATACCTAACTGTGGGACACAAATAATGCTGCCTATTAGGATAACAAATACCATGTAGGATTTAGGTTTTAGTGATCATCAGACAAATGGTCTGGGGGCATTAGGCTCGTGCAAGCGAACAAGTAGAATCAATTGTCTTATTAAAGGAAAATTTTCCATTGACATAGTATCATGTCTGTGTCAGAGGAATTGTAATCTCCTATTTCTGAACGTCCAAACACTTGAGCATTATAATTGGGGGCATTTGATAATCAAAGCAGTGGGATAGATAATGAAAAATTAAAATGATGGTTACCTGTTTGCCACCCCAAGACAAGTTTAACAATTCACTTGTTTCACCCTCATCCACACTGCCTGTATTCATAGCATTAGATGACTGACAATTGGGAATGCATAATACATTTCTGATGAAAGCTTTTTAGCTTCTGATCAGGCACTGTGTCATAAAAGTTCCTACCTGTCATTTGCAGTTTTTTGCACAGCTCTATCCCATTTCCCTCTGAAATCACTCACTAATCAGTATAGTAAATGGTTATGCTCAAAGTTCATAATTGTGCAAGCACAGCTTGCTTAGGATGCCTACACACATTCTATTGGCACATTCCTTATCACATGATCAAAGGAAGCCTTTGAAACATGAGATGTCATTCAGGTGATTGAAATTCCATGCCACTGATATTTGGTGAGTGGGTCTCCACATCATGATGAGTCTATAAATTTAGGCAAAGAGCAGAATGACTGGCCAGATGCACCCTGCCTAATTGCCTCATTTGGCCTGATGCCTGCAAGGCAGTGCAAGTTCACTAAAGTTAACAAAAGGAAAAGGTATCTGAGTTCGCATAACTGACATGTTCATTAGTGCACCAGAACACTGTGAGTCTCCATCTGCCTTATGAGACCTAGAGAATTAAAAAAGTGATCTCCCTGCAGTTGAGGGTTTGTAAGGTGGACATTCTTAAGTACCATATTTGCAAATTTGGAGCATGTCACCCTCCTAATACAGTGAGACCATGAAGCACTTTCTCAGCAGTAACAATCAGAAAGAGAGGAAGAAAGATGCCGCAAGGGAGGGATTTCAAGATCACATTCAGCTGTCACTGAGATGTGCAAGGGACAGGGTCTGAATGTCCTTATCCAATCCTTGTGTTCCACCTCCCTGAACAGTCACTCCTCTGTTTCCCAGTATCTACTACTTGGAATTCTACAAAACAAGGCAGTTTCGATCAACAGTCTATTTTTATGGGCTTAGTCCTAGGGAATTCCCAAAAGGAAGGGGGAGCACAAGTTCAATGCCTTAGCTATCACTGGTTTCCTAGAATTTCATTCTTTCTAATGTTTGTAGGCAGGGATCAAAAAGATATGAGGCACTTAACCTGATCTTTCCACTTACATGAAGGTGAAATGACTGAGGCACAAGGTCTGCATCCTGGATAACTGAAATCCAGAAGAAAAGAGATGGACATTGGCAGAGTGCTTATGCCTTGAAGCTTTGACATACATAGTATTTCCCAACAAGTGCCTTCTGAGGCAGGTTCATTGCTTTCCTAAAGAACAAAACCTGGACCTCACAGGATTCCCCCACAAAGGGAAAAATGCTTGGTGAATGAGGGCTTGTGCACTTGCCTATCAGAACAACCTGAGGAGACTATGCCCACATTTCTTCCCTGTCTTTTACCCTAGGACTCGGTGTAATGTTATTGACTATGATTTTTTTCTGTCATCACCTCACTTAGAGTCATTCAATTGTTACCATATTCCCTGGACCTCAGAAGGCATAGCTATACCTGATAGGGGGAAACAAACAGTGCTGTTTCAGGATAACAAAGACCATCTATATATTAGGTCTCAGCTAGCTTCAGACAAATGGTCAGCTGGCATTATGCTCATGCAAAGCATCAAGCAGAATCAGTTTACTTTTTTACTCAATCTCTCTCATTTTCCTCTATCTCTCTCTCTCTGTCATGTCTGTCTCCCTACATTTGGTCTCATTATAATAAATTATGGCTAATTTGCTCTCCATGGCTTGTGCTTCATCCATTGTGCCAGCCCTTATTCCCTAATTTTCAACAATGAGTAGTTGGCTAGGCTTCCAGTTCCAGGGATTAATTCCTTCCTATTAATCAGGTCTTCAGTCCAATCTCACACCTCTTTGTCAACCCTAAGTTATAACTGCTGCTATTGTATGCTTGTAGACATCTTTCCATGCTGTTCTTTGTGATGTGTAGGTGTCACAGATGCCTAATACTATTGAATGCTTTTTTCCCTTGGCAGCTTGTATAGCACTCTCTGGTACTGTGCAAGCTCATTCCCAGGGAGGAGGAATCCAGGACAGCTGCAGCTCTATTATTCCTCCATGTCCTGTGTCTGAAGTTTGTGGTATGTTCAGTAACTGAGACACTTACTTTTATGTTCTGGGAAGCAACCAAGGGCAACAGCAATAGCCTACATTACTTGGGGGAGTTTCTTGGACTCTTAACTTTGTCTGCTTTCATTTCCTAGAGTCATCAGAACCAACTTAGAATGGTTTGTTCTCCTGAACTTTTGGAAACTATAGGTCTAACATCAGGTCTTTGATAGGATGATGGAATCTTCTGAAGTCCACTCGGGGAGAATCTATTCTGTCTCTCTCTCTTTAACTTGTGAATATCTGATTCCTACCTATAATCTCATATTGTATTCCATATATACATATCTGCATCCAAATTTCCCTGTATATAAAGAGTCAAGTCATCCTGGTTTGGATCCCACTTTTGTGGTTTTATTTAAATTTTAGAGCTAGTATGAACCTGGGACTTCAACATATGAACTTGGGGGTGGGGAGAGGCAAACAATTTGGTATGCAGCATATCCTCTGAAGAGAAGCTATTAATTTTTGTGAAACTCAATGTTATTCTTGTCATTTGAATATTTAGGGTCATATTTAAGGCATCATTGCTAACTTAATGGCCATGAAATTTACCCCTACATATTCTTCTAAGAGTTTTTTCTCTTTTTTATTTTTTATTATTTATTTTTAAATTTAAATGTAAATTGGAAACAAAGTTGCTTCACATGTCAATTCCAGGTCCCTCAGCATTTCCCTTCCCTCATACCAATATCCCCTCAATTCCCCCAGGAGGTTGGGACCCTCAATGACGGTGTCCATAGCCTGCCATTTCATCCAGGGCATGCAGGGCCTAGACACTCCCCCAAGAGTTCAGCGTGAGATGCATCTCACATTATTTGATGGGAGTCCAAAGTCCATTTGTATAACCAGAATAAATACTGATCTACTGCCCAAGGCTCAATAGATTCCCTAGACTTTCTCACTGACACCCACATTCAGGGGGTCTTGATCAGACCCATGCTTAATTCCCAGGCAACATCCTGGGATTCAAGAGCTAACACTTGTCGGGTCACCTGTTTCTGGGGGTTAAACCAGCAAAGTCTTAATCCCTTTGTCATCAGTCTTCCCTCTCTGTCACTGGCTTTCTTGAGTTCAGCTAAAAGCTTAGCCGTGAGAGTCTGCATCTTCTTCCATCAGCAACTAAAGGAAGGTTCTGTTTCCCAGACTCTCTGGCCATGGGATTGTAGGATGGCAATCCCCAGATCTATGCGTAAATTCGATATATGAGAGAGTACATGCCATGTTTCTCTTTTTGAGACTGGGTTACCTAGCTCAGGATGGTTTCTTCCAGTGCCATCAATTTGCCTGCAAATCTTAGGATTCCATTGTTTTTTTCTGCTGAATAGTACTCAAATGTGTAAATGTACCACATTTTCTGTATCCACTCTTCGGTTGAGGGGCATCTACGCTGCTTCCAAGTTCTGGCTATTACTAATAATGCTGCTATGAACATAGTGGGACAGACATCCTTGTTGTATGAATCTGTATATTTTGGCTATATGCCTAAGAGTGGAGATGCTGGTTATTTTGATAGGTTGATTCCCATTTTTCTGAGAAATCTCCATACTGATTTCCAAAGTGCCTGAGCAAATTTGCACTCCAACCAGCAATGGAAAAGTGTTCCCTTTTTACCACATCCTCTCCAGCTTAAATTGTCGTTGGTGTTTTTGATTTTAGCCATTCTGACAGGAGGGAGATGGTATCTCAGAGTTGTTTTGATTTGCAATTCCCAGATGGCTAAGGATTTTCAGCACTTTCTCAGGTGCCTCTCAGCACTTTTAGACTCCTCTATTGAAAATTTTCTATTTAACTATGCAGCCCACTTTTTAATTGGAATCTTTGGTGTTTTGGAGACTTGCTTCTTGAGTTCTTTTTATATTTTGGAGATCAGCCCTCTATCAGATGTGGGGTTAGTGAATATTTTCTCCCATTCTGTGGGCTGCCTTTTTGTCTTGCTGGCTGTGTACTTTGCCTTATAGAATCTTCTCAGTTTCAGTAGGTCCCATATATTAATTGTTGATCTCACTGTCTGTGCTGCGGATGTTATGTTCAGGAAGCTGTCTCCTGAACCAACTCATTGAAGAGTATCTCCCACTTTCTATTCTTAGAGTTTCAGTGTGGCTGGATTTATGTTGAGATCTTTGATCCATTTGGACTTAAGTTTTGTACAAGCGATAAACATGGATCTATCTGCAGTCTTTTGCATACCAGTACCCAGTTATGCCAGCACCATTTGTTGAAGATGCTTTCTTTTATCCATTGTATAGTTTTAGCTACTTTGTCAAAAATCAAGTGTTCATAGATGTGTGGGTTAAAATCAGGGTTTTCAATTCGGTTCCATTCGTCTACCTGCCTATTTTTGTGCCAATACCAAGCTGTTTTCCTGACTATAGCTCTATAATAGAGCTTGAAGTCAGGGATGGTGATGCCGCTGGACATTGCCTTTTTGAACAGGATTGATTTTGCTATCCTGGGTCTTTTGTTTTTCCATACAAAATTGTTTTAAGAGGTCTTTAATTTCTTTTTGTTCTAAGAAAGTTATTCTTATTTTTAAGCAATGACTTTTTATTTCTCTCTCCCTCAGTTATTTTTTATCATTTTTATTTTAATTTTGAATAGCTTGTTTTACATGTCAATCCCAGTTCCCTCTCCCTCCCCTCTTCCCGCACTCCCCTTCCCCCCTCCCTCCCACCCTATTGCCAAATCCTTCCACATAGGGGATATCTAGAGTCTGTCATTTTACTCTTGGTAGGGTAAAGGCACTCCCCTAAGAGTCCAGGCTGAGATAGCATCTCTCTTTGTGCTATAGGCACTTGAAGACAGTTTGTATACCAGGGATAGACACTGATCCACAGCTCAGGGCCCCATAGGTTGCCCAGGCCTTCTCACTGACACTCACATTTGGGGGGTCCATATCAGTCCCATGCTGGCCTCCCCACTGTCGGTCTAGGGTCCAAGAGCACTCCCCTGTTCAGATCAGCTGTCTCTGCTGGTTTTGCCAGCCCATTCTTTGCCAATTTGCTCATCACTCCTCTCTCTCTGTCACTGGGTTCCTTGGGTTCAGTTCAGTGATTAGTTGTGTGTTTGCCTCTGCTTCCATCAATCACAGAATGAAGGCTCCCGGATGGTTATAGGCATCAAGTTCATTATCAGCAATGGGCATTCAAGGTGGTCCCTCCACTATTGCTTAGCTTGCCAATTGATGTTATACCTTTAGATCACTCGAGGTCACTCTGGTGCCTGATCTGTCTTCGATCCTATGATTCCCTCTTCCCCCTCTTCTACCCCCACCCCCTCAACTTCCTGTTCCCCCATGACCAACTCCCTTCCTCTTTACCCCCTCTATTCTTCCCAGGACCCACTCCCCCCACCCCTCGCCGTGATCCCCATCCATTCAGAGGATCTTGTCTCCATCCTCTTCTCTTGGGTACTATGCATATATGCATATCTTTTAGGTTCTTTCCTGTTTCCCAGATTCTCTATTTGTGGAAGTGCAGACTGGCACTATCCTGATCCATATCTAAAATTCATATATGAGTGAGTACATACCATGTTTGTCTTTTTGCGACTGGGTTACCTCACTCAGGATGGTTTCTTCCAGTGCTATCCATTTCCCTGCGAATTTCAAGATTCCATTGTTTTTTTCTGCTGAGTAATACTCTTTAATTTCTTTATTATTTCTTGTTTGACCCAGGAATGGTGCAGTTGTGCTTTATTCAATTTCCATGAGTTTTTAGGATTTCTGCAATATGTGTTGTTGTTGAATTCTAATTTTAGCACATGGTGGTTTGATAAGATGGATGGAGTTATTCCAATTTTTTGATACTGCAGAGGTTTGACATGTTGTAAAGTATGTGGTCGATTTTTGAGATGGTTCCATGTGGTGGTGAGAAGAAGGTATATTCTTTTTTATGTGGATAAAATGTTCTATAAATGTCTGTTAATCCCATTTGTGTCAGTACTTCTATTATACCCTTTGCTTCTTTGTTGTGTTTCTTTCTGGTATTCCTGTCTAGTGGTGAGAGTGGTGTGTTGAGATCTCCCACTACAAGTTCGAATCAGTTTTCTTATTCAAGAAAAAATTTGGTGAGCCAAAAGTTTCAAGTCTTTGTCACCAGAATTGTAATGCACAACTTCTGTATATCTAAATGCTCGAGCAAGATTATTGGGGCAATTGCTAATCAATTCAATGGGGGAAATAATGAAAAATTTTAACAATGTTTCCCTGTTTGCCACCTGTAGACAAGTTTAACCCTTCTCCTGTTTCACCATCATCTTCACAGCCTGAATTCATACCATTAGCTGGCAGAACATTGGGAAGGCATATTATAGGATGGGTGAAAACAAGTTAGATTCTAATAATGGACAATGTCCAAGACATGTCATCTACTTTTATTTGCACAGTGCTATACCATTTCCCTCTGACATTAGTCCCTAATCACCATTGGAGGATGCATACCCACAAGGGTCTTAATTGCACTATCACCATATGCTTAGGATCCCTACAACTGTTCTCTTGGCCCATTCATTATCACATGATTTATGGGGGTCTTTGAAGCTTTGGATGTCATTCATATGTTTGAAATTCCTTGCCACTTATGTGTGGTGAGTTGGGCTCCACAGGATGATGAGCCTTTGCATCTATGCAAAGGGGGGAATGCCTGTCTAGATGCTAGCTGTGGAATTGCCTCATGTTGCCTGATGCCTGCAAAGCAGGACAAATTCACTAATCCTAAAAATAGAAAAAGGTAACTGAATTTCATTTACTGATATATCCATCAGTGCAGTAGAACACTGTTAGACAGTTTCTGCCTTTTGACCCACAGAAAAATAACCCAGTGATCTTCATGCAGTCCAGGGTCTGCATACTGTGCATTCCTGAGCCCCATGTTTGCAACTTCATCGCATGTAAAACTCCTGACATGAAATTCTTGCCCTGGCTTTTCCAGTCAACATGGAAGGTAGATAGACACCTGGGGCAGGGATTTCAAGATCACATTCACATATCACTGAGCTGTGCAAGGGACAAAATCTGATCACTCTGACCAATCCTTTTGTCCCACCTCCCTCAACAGTCACTACTCTGTTTCCCAATACCTATTATTTGGAATTGTACATGACCAGGTATATTGAATTTCCATTCTTTCTCGGGGTTAGACTTTGAGGATCCCTAAAATGAAGCGAGAGCACAAGTTCTGTGCTGCAAGTATCACAGTAATCCTAGATGGTCATGTTTTTTAAAATTTTAAGACAGAGATCCAAAAGAGACGAGGGCACTTAGCATTATCATGACTCTTACCTGAATATCTCATGACTGGGGCAAATATTAGGCATGCTGGATCACTGAAATGCAGAAGAGAAGAGAATGACATGTGTAGAGTGCTTATGTATGGCAGCCTTGATGTATATAATGTGTCAAACAAGTGCCTTCTGAGGCAGGCTAAGTGCTCCTCTTAAGAAGAGCAGCTGGAACCCACAGGATTCCCCAGACAGGGTAACAATGCTGGGTGAATGAGGGCCTGTGTACTGCACTATAATAAAGCCTGAGAGACTAGGCCCTCAATTCTCCTTCTATCCTTTAGCCTGGGCCTCAGCGTAATCCAAGTGAGCATGATTTTTATGTCATCACCTCTCTTCATGACATTGGTTTGTCATCATAGACCCGGGTCCTCAGAAGGTATAGCTATACCTGATAGTGGGTAAGCAACAAACAGTGTTGCTTACCAGGATGACAAAGACCATCTAGCAGGTAGATCTTGGAGAGCTTCAGACAATCAGTCAGCCAGCCTTAGACTCCTGCAAGGGATCAAACAGAATTAGTTTTCTTAGTCAAGGAAAGTTTGGCATGCCTCTCCAGGATGATAATCAGTGGCAATTTCTAATCAAGGCCATTAGGGAGATAATTAAACATTCTAATAGTGGTTACCAGCTCCACCCTTAGATAAGTTTAAACTTTCACTTGTTTCACCCTCATCATCACTAACTGCATTCATAGCTTTTCTGACAGACCATTGTGAAGTCATATTATAGGTCTGTTGAAAACATTTAATCATCTGATCATGCACTATGTCATACAAAGTCCAACCTGTCATCCGATGTTTTTGCACAGCCCTATGCCATATCCCACTGAAGTCACTGCCTAATCATAATTGTAAGATGCATACCCACTAGGTTCTTTACTGCCAAAGCACCACAACTTGCTTAGGATACCTACACCTGTACTCTTGGCCCATTCCTTATCTCATATGCAATGCAAGCCATGGCAACTTGGGATGTCATGCATGTGGTTGAAATTCCAAACCACTGATGATGCATGAGTGAGTCTCCATATAATGATGAGCCTGTGCATCTAGGCAAAGGGGGGAATGCCTGTCTAGATGCACCCTGTCAAATTGCCTTATGTGGCATGATGCCTGCATGAAAGGACAAGTTCACTACCCCTAACAAAAGGAAAAGATATTTGAGTTTGCCTAACTGACATGTATGTTTGTGCACTATAACAATGTGAGTCTCCGTTTGCTTCTTGAGACTGAGAAATGTAACTAAGTGATCTCCCTGCTGTTGAGGAACTGCATACTGGAAATTCATGAACACCATCTTTGAAATTTTGGAGCATATCACCATCATGACACAGCAAGAACATGAAGTTTTTTCCCAGCAGTAACATCAGCATGGAAGCTAGATAAATACTCCAAGCCAGGAATTTCAAAATCATATTTACCTATCACTGAGCTGTGAAAGGGACAGGACCTGTAAATCCTGACCCAATCCTGGAGTCCTATTTCACCGTTCAGTCACTGCTCTGTTTCCCAATACCTAATATTTTCAATTCCACAAGGAAAGGCAGTTTGAAATACTATGCTTTTCTCATGGGAATAGGCCTAGAGGATTCCCAAAATGAAAGGAGAGCACAAGTTTTGTGCTGCAAGTGTAACTGGATTCCTAGAAGGTCATGCTTTTTAATATTTGAAAGCAGATATCCAAAAGAGATGTAGGCACTTAAGCTGGTCTTTACACTTACCTGAAGGTGAAATTATTGGGGCACGAATTCTACATCCTGGATCGAAGAAATGCAGAAGAGAAGAGATGGACTTTATCAAAGTGCAGATGCTGGCCAACATTGACATGCATAGAGTTCCCCAATAAGTACCTTCTTAGGCAGGCTCACTGGTCACATAAAGAAGAGCACCTAGACCTCACAGTATTCCCCAAACAGAGAAACACGTCTTGTTGAATGAGGTTCTGTGTACTGGCCTATGAGAACTGCCTTAGGAGACAAGTTGCCATTTCTCACTAGTCCTTTCACCTTTGCTTCAGCATAAACCTTTTAATCATGATTTTTATGTCATCATTTCCATTTGTAGCATTTGTTTGTCACTATAGACCCGGTTCCTCAGAAGTCATAGATAAATAGTGCTGCTTACTAGGATTACAAATACCATGTAGGATTTAGTTCTTGGTGATGTTTAGTCAAATGGTCACGGCGCATTAGGCTCCTGCAAGGTATCAAGCAGAATCTGTTCTCTTGTTTAAACATAATTTTCCATTCGCCAAAAATCATATCAGTGTCAGAGGTATTGTAATTCCCAGTTTCTGAAGGTCCAAACTAACAAGCATGATAATAGGGGCATTTGGTAATCAAAACCGTGGAAGAGAAAATGAAAAATTTTAATGGTGTTTTACCTGTTTGCCACCCCTAGACAAGTTTAACCCTTCACTTGTTTCAACTTCATCCATACTGCTTGTATTCATAGCATTAACTGACTGATCATTGGGAAGGCATATTATAGGCCTGTTGAAAGCATTTTATCATCTGATCATGCACTGTGTCATAAAAGGTTCTTTGTACAGCGCTACACTGTTTCCTTGTGAATTCACTGCCTAATAACTATTGTAAGATGGGTACGCTCAAAGTTCTTAATTTCCCAAGCCCTGCAGATTTAGGATGCCTACACACTTTTTCTTCACATATTCCTCATCAAATGAGCAAAGGAATGCTTTGCTGCTTGGGATGCCATTTATGTGGTTGAAATTCCATGCCACTGATATATTGTCAGTGGGTCTCCACATGATTATGAGCTGGTGCATCTAGGCAAAGAGGGGAATGACTGGCTAGATACACCCTGTCAAATTCCCTCATGTGTCCAGATGCCTGCATGTCAGCGCAAGTTTATTAAACTTAATGAAAGGAAAAGGTATCTCAATTTGCCTAACTGATATGTTCATTAGTACTTCTTTATGAGCCCCAGAAGGGTAACCATTTGATCTCCCTGCTGTTAATGGCCTGCAAGGCGGACATTCTTAAGTACCATCTTTGCAAGTTTGGAGCATGTTACCCTCTTGACACAGCAAGAACTTGATGCTTCTAACCTGGCAGTAGTAATCAGCAAGGGAGTTAGAAAGATACCCCAAGGCATGGCTTCAAAGTTCACATTCAGCTATCACTGAGCTGTCCAAGGTGCAGTGCCTGAATATCCTGAACCAATTCTTGTTTCCCACCTGCCCCAAAAGTCACTTCTCTGTTTCCAAATACCTACTACTTGGAATTTTACAAGAAAAGGCAGTTTGAAATACCTCACTTTAGTCATTTAAGGCCTAGTGGATTCTCAAAAGGAAGGAAGTGCACAAGTTCTGTGCCTTAAGTATTACTGGGTTCATAGAATGTGATGCTTTCTAATATTTGAAGGCAGAGATCTAAGAGATACTGAAGAACTTAACCTCATCTTTCCACTTAACTGAAGGTGAAATAACTGCATCCTTGATAACTGAAATTAAGATAGAAGAGATGTACATGAGCATTATGCTGATGAAGGCCAGCATTGACATACATAGATTGGCCCAACAAGTGCCTTCTGAGCACTCAGTGCTCTCCAAAAGAAGAGCACCAGGAATTCCTATGATTCTCAAAACTTGGAAACGCTGCTGGGAGAATGAGGCCCTGTGTACTGGCCTATGGGAAAGGTCTGAGTATACTTGGTCCTGATTTCTCCACTGTCTTTTACTGGACCTCTGCGTAATCCTATTGAGCATGATTTTTATGTCATCACCTCTCTTCCTGACATTGGTTTGTCAAAATTGACCCAGGCTTTCAGAAGACATAGCTATACCTGATAGATGGAAACAAATGTGCTGCTTACCAGTATACTAAGGCCATCTTGCAGGTAGGTCTAGGCATGCTTCAGCAAATGGTCAGCTGGCATTAGGGTCCTGCCAGAGATAAAGCAGAATAACGTCTTTATTCAAGACAAATTTTGGGACATCAAAATGGGCATGTCAGGGTCAGAATAATTGCCTTGCCTACCTTTTGCACAGCCAAACCTCTAAAGCATGATAAGTTGGCAATTGCTTATCAAAGTCATGGGAGAGATAATGAAAAATATTAATGGTGGCTACCTGTTTGCAACACCCACGTATGTTTTACTCTTCACTGGCTTCACAATCATCCTCATTGCCTTCATTCATAGCATTAGCTGTGGGACCGTTCAGGAGACATGTTATAAGTCTGGTGAAAGCATTTTAGCTTTTGATCATGCACTGAGTCATACAAGGTCCAGGACCTGTTATCTGATCTTCCTTTCACTCTGCTATCCCATGTCCCTCTGAAATCACATCCTAATCACCACAGTAGAATGAGTACTCTCATTGTACTTAACTGCAAATCATTGACTGCTTAGGATCACTACTCCCATTCTCTTGTCACATTTCAAATGAGATGAGACAGCCTTTGCAGCTTGGGATGTTATGCATATAATTGAAATTCCATAATACTGATATTAGGTAAGTTTTGCTCTATATGATTATGAGCCTGTGCATCTGAGGCAAAGAGGGGAAAGCCTGGCAAGCTCCATTCTCTTGAATTGCCTCATGTACCCTGTGGACTGAATGGTAGGACAAGTTCATTAATCCTAAGGAAATAAGCCAGGCGGTGGTGGCACATGCCTTTAATCCCAGCACTCGTGAGACAGAGGCAGGCAGATCTCTGTGAGTTCGAGGCCGGGCTGGACCGACAGCCTCCAAAACAATACAGAGAAACCCTGCCTCATAAAGCCAAAAAATCCTAAGGAAATTAAATGTAATCTGTGTTTGCCTTACTATTATGTCCATTAGTGCACAGGAACATTATGAGTTTCCATCTGCTTATGAGCCCGAGAAAAGTAATCTAATGATCCCCCTTGAGTTCATGGACTGAATAATGGACATTCCCCAGGGCAAAAAATGGAGCATAAAATGTTTTTTTGTAACATTGATTCTTGCTAACTTGTCTGATCATGAGCCTCATGAGGTCAACATTATATACCAATTTTCTGAAGAAATACAGTAAAATGTTACCTCATCCTTTAAAGGTTAAGTGCAGGATTGAGTGCTTTTCTGTACAAAGTATACTTAGAGTAACCCCTTTAACATGTAAATATAATAAATCATGAAAACTCTGAGAGATATGATGAGAGTTCACAGACGTATAAACCAAAAAAATTTTAATATTAGTACTGAATGTGTTCCCTTGTATTCCTTTGAATTCAGAAACAGGAGTAGATGAGTAGCAATGGGGGTCTTGTAACTGAGAATTAAGAAAGATGAGAAAGGAAATCATTGGAGTCATTAACATTTATGATAGCATGTATACCTTGGAACAGAAATGTTATGATTTATATGGTTAAAAGAGATATTACAAGATGCCATTCAAACAGTTGGGGTCTTTTCAATGAAGAAGCACAGAATGACCAATAATATTTGGTGATTACATCAGTGAACTCACAAGCAATTCCACTCTATGTGACCTAGAATGCTAGTGGAAAGAAATGGGATACATAGATCCAGGATAGCCACAACAACCATATACAATAAAGGAATTCATGAGGCAATCACCATCCCTAACTTTAAGCTCTTTTACAGAGCTATAGTCTTGAAAACATCATGGTATTAGCAGAAAAATATTCAGGTAGAGCAATGTATTCATCTTGAACACCCTGAGAGGCCAGCATGGGACTGATCCTGACTCCCTTAGTGTGAGACTCAGTGTCCAGGCCTGGGCAACCAATGGGGCACTGGGCAGGAGATCAGTATTATCCCAGTCATACAAATGGACTTCGTGTGTCCATAACCCAAAGAGAGATGATGTCTCATCCTGGACTCTTTTTTTGTTTGTTTGTTTTTATTTTTACAAGACAGGGTTTTTCTATATTGTTTTGGAGGCTGTCGGCCCAGCCTGGCCTCGAACTCATAGAGATCTGCCTGCCTCTGCCTCCTGAGTGCTGGGATTAAAGGCATGCGCCACCATCGCCTGGCCTCATCCTGGACCCTGACCTCAGTGAAATTACAAACTCTGGATATCCCCTTTGTGGAAGGGAGTGTGGATAGCGTGGCAGGCTGGGAGTGATGATGGGGGATGCTGGAGGAGGGGAGAGAGAGGGAATTGGGTTTGACATGTGAAGCAAACTATTTAAAATTAAAGTAATAAAATGGCAAAGGTCATCGTCTGATTAATTTTAGACAGTGTATACTCAAATGCTATCAACTTTATGGATGTGTGTCTGGTATGTAATGCCTACAGTATTATCAGAAGCATTTTCAGTGCAGGTCTTTTGGTTTTTGTGTTTCTGTCTTGATGATTCTCACTATGGCAAACTACCACTTTGTAATTTTCCTTAAATTTCCAAATTTCAGTTATAGGTATCCCTAAATAGAAAAAAAATTTATGTAACACTAATTCTTGCTAATTTGTCTGATCATGAGTCTCATGCAGGTCACCTTATGCTCCACTATGGTGAAAAAGAACAGTAAAAAGTATCTCATGCCTTAAATAGTTAAATAAAAATTTTGTTTGCTTTCCTATAGAAAATGTTCTTAAAGTCATCCTTGTGACAGCAAAGAAAACAAATAGTGAAAACTCTAAGAGTACATTGTCAGAGGTAACAGCCAGTTAAATCAGAAATCTTGATTATTAAAATGTATTGTCTGTTTTCCTGGGCTATTCATAGTGAATTGTTCCATTGTATTTCTCAGAATTCTCTGCGTAGAAATGGGCATATGAGGTACCGGTTTTGAGAAGATGAGATAGGAAATCATGAGAGGCAGTAAGAATTAAGATGTCTTATGTACTTAAGAGCAGAAATCTTAAGATTGAGGTGGCTAAAATAGATTTTACAAAATACCATTCACATAACTGGTGTCTTTTCAATGAAAAAGCACAGAGGGATCAGTAATATTTGTTGAACATTTCTTTGCCTTGCTAAGGGAATTCTAGACTATGTGAAATGGAATAACACTGGACTGAACAGAGATGTATATGATCATCATTCCATGAATTAAACATAAGTGCCAAACAGGGAAATCATAGAAAATCTATTTCTTGGACCTCTCGAATCATAGATCTTGAGGTTCTGAAATCTCTATTCATAGTAAGGAAGGAACAACACAAAGGAGTACAACTTAATGCTTACCTCACCCGATTGAATGTTAAGAGGCCTTTGCAATTCCAACGTGAAATGAATTAGAAATAAAAAAAAAACATCATGGATGGAATTGTGTCCTGACTGCTATTTCTAGCCTCAACTGCCATAGGAAGTGGTCCTTAAACACAGACAAGATACGGCTTCTATAACAAAGATGTGTTTGTAGTGATTTCTTCTATACTTGTCTATAAGATTATATTGAGACTGTATTAGAAGAAAGGATGCCAGATATTCTTTATGATTTTTATATCAATATTAAGATAATTCATGAAAGGGACTAGTTCATTGGAGTGTATCATCATGGGGTTTATTCCTTGCGGTGGTGCTGTAGCCTTGCACATCAATAGTGTTTAGATGCCCTTCATATTGTAGATGATTTCTAAAATATTCAGCCATGACACTTGTAAATGAGAGGGAATTTTTTCTCTGAAAGAAAGGCATTTTCAGGCCCCTCCAAGACCCCAACCCAGGGAGCCCAGCTTCAGGTGAGATTGGGTCCCCGGCTGGGACCACCCGCCCATCACCCATCCCCCCCATCTTCGGGGCCGCTCCCGGCTTCTAGAAGAGCCGCCCACACAGGAAAGAGATCAGCCCCTCCAAGACCCCAACCCAGCGAGCCCAGCTTCAGTTGAGATTGGGTCTCTGGCTGGGACCACCCGCCCATCACCCATCCCCCTCCATCTTCGGGGCCGCTCCCGGCTTCCAGAAGAACCGCCCACACAGGAAAGAGATCAGCCCCTCCAAGACCCCAACCCAGCGAGCCCAGCTTCAGTTGAGATTGGGTCTCTGGCTGGGACCACCCGCCCATCACCCATCCCCCTCCATCTTCGGGGCCGCTCCCGGCTTCCAGATGAGCCGCCCACACAGGAAAGAGATCAGCCCCTCCAAGACCCCAACCCAGGGAGCCCAGCTTCAGGAAAGAGATCAGCCCCTCCAAGACCCCAACCCCAGCGAGGCCAGCTTCAGCTTCAGCTGCAGTAAGGAAGGAGACCAGTGGAAACAGAAAGCCCCCACCAGCACCCACTGGAAGAAGAGATGGGAAGAAGACAGAATAAGAGATCACTCAGCAATAGAAACACCAACACGACCCCACCAGAATCCAGGGATCCAACACCAGAAAGACCTGAAAAGCACTACATAGATGAAGAAGAGGAGACAGACCTTAAAAATTATTTCATGAAGATGATGGAGAGCCTCAAAGAAGAAACGAGGAAATCCCTTAAAGAAATAGAAGAAAAAACAAAAAAAATCCATGAAATGGGGGAAAAAAATCAAGAAATAAACAAATCTCTCAAAGAATCTAAAGAGCACCAAGAAAAAACAACCAAGAAAATTAAGGAAACAGCTCAAACAGTTGAAGGATTGAAAGCTGAAATAGAAACGATAAAGAAAACACAGAATGAAGGGATGCTGGAAATAGAAAAGCTCGGTAAACGGTCTGGAATTACAGATGCAAGCATCACCAATAGAATACAAGAGATAGAAGAGAGAATCTCAGGTGTTGAAGACTCATTAGAGGACATAGCATCGTCAACCAAAGAAAATCTCAAAACCAACAAATCCTTAACACAAAATATTCAGGAAATATGGGACACCGTGAAGAAGCCAAACCTGAGAATAATAGGTATAGAAGAAGGTGAAGAACTTCAACTTAAAGGTACAGAAAACATATTCAACAAAATCATAGAAGAAAACTTCCCTAACCTAAAGAAAGATATGCCTATGAAAGTACAAGAATCTTACAGAACACCAAATAGGCTTGACCACAAAAAGAAGTCACCTCGCCATATAATAATCAAAACATCAAACCTACAGAGCAAAGAGAAAATATTAAGAGCAGCTAAAGAAAAAGGCCAAGTAACATATAAAGGCAGACCTATCCGAATTACACCTGACTTCTCAATGGAAACGATGAAAGCCAGAAGATCCTGGTCAGATGTCCTACAAACGCTAAGGGAACAAGGATGCCAGCCCAGACTACTATATCCAGCAAAGCTCTCAATTACCATAGATGGAGA